AAGCAACATCATTGCTCTAGTGCAAATTGAAAGAAATTTTTTACACGAGAATGAAAATCTTTAGCCAAGAAATAAAAATATTATAATCTTATGTGATGCTCCTTCTACAACACAAATTATTTCTTGTGATTTTAATACCACCTAAGTGTAAATTTGTCTTTACTTCAATCCTCAATTGTGTCATCTAAAGCTACAAACAATTCTTATATATGATGGTTAACTAACTATTCTAACTATCTTGAATTCAAAAGAGATGTCATTTTTTAAAACATTAATGTATGTATCGTATAATATTGAAAAAGTAGAAATTTTTTATTGAAAAGTCTATATTATAAAAATTTATATCATAATTTACGTGAAAATAATCAAATTTGCAAATCATCAATCACATTCATTCATGCATTTGTATTATGATTCACAAGTATAGCACTAAGGTTTTGATTCTGTTTCATTTTTTGATCTATATATTAATAAAAATAAATTCAATAGAACATAATTTTAATTGCAATACTTGTATGTTGCTCTACATTAATTTGCAACAATTATTGATATTCTTAACATATTTACTTCATTATAATTTGAATTATTTATTTTTTATATTAATGATATAAATACATATGTTTCAAAATTTACATCTACACTTTTATATTAATTCTATTTCTTAGATTGCAAGATGATTAAGAAGCATAATATTGAAGTAGAATTGAAAAACATGAGTTTATTGAAAAATTTGTTTACAATAATATTGTACGCAAAATGCATTCTATTGTAACACTAGGGGTATAAGCTCACTCAAAGACTAAAACATAAATTTTGAAGATAAAAAAAATCAACAAAAATTCTAGTTGGATTGTTTGTATTGTGTTTTTTAACCTTTTGACCCTTTGGGTTCCACGGGCTTGATCTATTTACCATTACTTTATATAGCTTTTTCTAACAAGTACAAGGAGATAAAATCTCATTCATTCTTATTGGATGAATGATGTGACGGATTATTCTAACAAGCATATCGATTGCTAATGTGGCACTCTCAACTAACACACTCAATCATTACCTAACATCACACGAATTGTTGATGTGGCGTTCTCAACTAACATATTAATTAACACACTCAATCATTACCTAACAAGCACACTGATCTCTGACGTGATGTTGTCAACTAACACACTTACTCTCTACCTACCAAATAAACAAATCGTTGATATGACAACTATAACTTATGCACGCTAAACGTCATATAAATTCATCTTGACAGAGCTCTACTTTCACTCTAACTAACTAAAGATTGTTACATTTATAAGCTAAGATATGTTGATGCAATGTCAATGTCTTTGAAAGCATACAAAGTATCAATTCTAGTTCACATTACTTTTATTAAAAAATATACTTGCTGATATAAATGAATCAAAATAGTTAAGCAAAATATATTTTGGATATAAATATTTTACACTGATATTTTTTTTTGATGTGTACATGAAAAAATCTTATATCCAAGGCATCATCATTTAAATTGTTAAAAAGTGTTTCTTTTATCAAAAATAATTTACTCTTCTATACATACACAAACCTTTCTATTGAAATTCACAAATCTTTTTTTTCTTGAATATATCAAAATTTCATTGAGATATTTGCTTGATGGTAGCCCATCAAAACGTAAATTGATTGATGGGATCCATCAAGTTGCAATTTACCTGATGGTATCCCATCAAAGTTCTACCGTCGTTGAGTTTTAATAAATGTTCTAGTACGAATATGTTCTAATTCGTGTTTCTGCGATGGTTTCCACGGCGTGCCACTGGAGTTTTGTTAACCCAACCGAATTTATCTAAGCTTTTGGACATTGAGGGTTGCATTCGCGTTCCAAAATCAATCTGCACAATCACACTGTATCGGAGAAATCCCTTTTGGATTTGGAAACATTGAGAGAAAGATCTGAGAGACAGTGCAATGCCATTGGCAGTACACCTTCCACCTTGAGTGATCTTGAGTTCTTTCGTCAAACCATCAAATTTCTGCTCGATGAGATCTACAATACCAGACTACCACAATGAAGATTTCTACGCATATGAATTGCTGCGGACAAATTCATTCTTGAAACAACGGTGAGTTTTTAAGGAGACGATTTGACTGTGACGTGGAACATTCCGTGGGTTCCCATCGGGTAAATTGAAACTTGATGGGTCCCATCAAGCAATTTACCTTTTGATGGGATACCATCAAGCAAATCTCTCAAATTTCATTTGAACAAAAAACATCTACTTATGTAAGTACATGATCAAAAGCTTCATAATGAAGTTCATCACATTGAATTGTATCACCACTGAAAACAACTTTTTGAAAAATTTTATTCTTATTATCTTCACAGCAAGTCTTCAACTATTCAAATATCGTATTTTCTTTAAATAAAATTATTTCTAAGAAAGATTTCAACTTCTACGACTAGATTTGATTATACTTAACAGACATGCAATAAGGGGTGAACATTTACAAGTATACACACTTCCAATCTTGTAAATAAAAATTTCATACATCACAATGCGTTCCAAGATGGATGCACAGGAGAAGAGACAGTACATAAATGAAAATAAAGAGATACGGACTTCACTTGTTTCGAAACGGAGCATGTTCATTTCTGCTTTTCTACTTCTACAGGGAGTTACATCAGTACCCCACTAGAGTCCAAGATCTGAAAGTGAGCTAATACTTGTGAAAGTTTCTACTTATCCAACTTGAGACATGAACTTGTGCTCGAAATCACTCCTTCCTTCACCTTTGACGATGACGACTTTGTATTCCCACGTGCCTGATGATGGGGAAGCGTTAGACTTTATACGTAGAGAAAGTTGACTGCACTTCGCTCAGTCTTCGGCACTTTCAGTTATCATTTTCTCCGGCTCGGTTTGAAGTCTATTCTTCTAGGGATGCCACCGGCAAAGTAACTCATTTGTCTGTTGTAGACAGCTCCAAGTCTGGCGTACTGGTTTCGCCACTACGCATGATAATGGTTAGGAAACAGTAAAATGCGGTTATCTTTCTTTTGATAAGTATATCCTTACAATAAGATCGTAGATAATTGTTCATTTTTTCTTAAACTGGCAGTTTTCGTCGAAATTGTTGCTGGCGTCAGAAAATGTAAATAATGAATGCACCAACACGAATAAAAAACCTCACCAAAGAGATCAAATCTTTCACATCGTCAAAACAAAACTTTTCTTTGCTACTTTTCTTAAGCAATGACTCTCTGAGCTTGAAATATATTTATGATATTCATATTCCACAGTGTCAATTCTTGCATCCATAGATCCATACCCACGTCCGAGATATAACTAATCTGAAGAGAATTTGTTCCTTAGATTATTCTAACAGATAAATTTAACGGGGAATTCGAAATAAAGGCAACAAAAGAAAATGAGTATTTCTGTGGAGCCTTGACGAAGTTCACCGCTAAGTGAAATCAAAGAGTAGGACTTGTAGGGAGCTATTTGACTTTGGGATGAAACCTCGATTCACTTATAGCACGTACCTATCAAAGGAACAGTCTGCGGAGGAAGTGAATTTGAAGGGATAGAGTCTCGGACTTCCTCTTTGTCTTCATTAGAGCCAAACCGATTTATAATCTCATCTTAAGTATCTTGCGGACTGCACACACAGGTTCTCCTTGTAAGCAAGTACCAAAGTATATCTTCTCCACCTTAGTGACTCGATTGAATCTAAAGTCTACTAGTGTTCCTGCAGCACATAAAATAATGCACTTACCGCCAGGACAGAATACGGTTCCAGTCTGAGTTTTGTTGTTCATTGTCATGAACAAGTCCTTGGTTCGCACTACTAACGCACGCTGTCAAAATAATACTGAGAATTCAACAAGCCACATGCTCTACGCAAAAGAGTTGGAACAAATCCAGAAGTTGAAGCCTTTTCTCCAGTTTCAGACGTGGATAACCACAGTTTGATCAAACTGCAACTCGGCAAATGAAGGCACAATTTCTAAGAATTATAAACCCCGTACGCAGTCACCTTCGAAAATCTTGAGAAAAAATCCGCTTGGGGTAAAGAAAATCCAGAACGAGCCCACGCAACTATGTTGCAGCCCTAGCAGACTTTACTAGGCAAGCACGAATATTATCATCACTCTTAAACTTTTGTAATAAATCATATAGCTGCAGAAGCTTATCCTGGAATTAAATTACTGAAGCACAGTACACTTTCATAACGAAGATCGACAAAAAATATAAAATATACAAGAACATCTCAACAACAAGATATCCACGATCTAGAATCCATGTAGAATTTCAAAGTGCTGGACAAATCATCCTAAGCTCAGCACGAATATGATCAGACTAAACTGATTGCTTTCTCAAAAACCCCCAGCAACATTTGTTCATAGGAACCTTTCGAAGGACTAATAAACGAATCTCATCTGGTTGTATCTTCGATAGAAATACATGTGGAAAAAGTTGAGCTGCAAAACTCGAATTCTATGAAATACCCTACAAGCATGCTCATCAATTTACAAAGACGTCGCGTGTCTCGATTGAATGTAATTGGCATCACGTAAGGCAGGCTCACAAATATGTTCTTAGACCTGATTGTTCATACCTGAACAGGTCAGTCCATAACACCTGTGAAAGTGATCGGCCACGATGCGCACTTGACATATCTGCTTTCTTCTGTGCTCGTCGTTTGTTCACCAGTTCAAAAAGCTGTACAGTCTATCTTATTGCAGGATATGGACTAGGAAAGTAGTTGTGACCAATGTTGTTGAACTCTACCTAAGCTCGAGGTAAATAGGTTCTCTCATGAATGCTTCATATGGAGACATGGTAGTGGATAACCATACCAACCGTGAAGTGAAACTAAACGTTTTACCGAAAGTAAAACTACATCTATGGTACAATGTGTAGAGCAATTTTCACGCTGAGTTTTGCAGCAGATGTAGATCTGGTGATGCGTAGAAGACAGTGAGTCACGATCAAATGTCTCACTATCGCCTGCTCACATCAACTTTGCAGGAACTCACATTCGTGCAGACGAGTAAGGATCTCGTCATAGCTTGGTCTAGCTGAAGGAACTTCAGCCCAGCAATCCGCTATCAGCTTGCCTAAAAGACCTTCGGGTATCTCCAGCCTGGCCTTTGCGTGAGCAACTTTATATACCACCTTCACGACATAAAAGAAGATCAGAGAACAAGATCAGTCACTTAATCCTTCAACTTTGAACTCAAAGTACACCTCAGCGCTAGAGAAGCAATGGTACGTTGCTCACGTTTCGAACTTACTTGCATGGGTTCCACATCTTTCCAGGGACGCTTTAGAGTACATAGTTCCCACATTATAACACCAAGGCTGAAGACGTCGCATTTATCAGTGACAGGCTCATTTCGTAACAATTCAGGAGCCATCCACTCAGGAGTACCAGCTGCTGTACTATCTTGTACTGGTCCAGAAGCAAGACGAGATAGACCGAAGTCGCAGATCTTGACGGTCCAATGCTTGTCCACTAAGCAGTTTGCACTCTTGAGATCACGATGCACGATGTTCATTCGCTGCACTGACATCATTCCCCTGCAAAAGAATATATTATCCAAATACATCATCATCTTGTCAGCACGAAGCAAGCCAGTCAGACATAGTCGTCTAAACCGCAAATTAAATTATGTCCGCACAGAGATGCACGGAAGAATAGTCAACAGACTCTGAAAAATAGGGTCAATACAAAAAATGTGACAACAGAGAGTGCATTGAAAGCATTGTGCTTAACCTGCAAATATCCCGGAGCATCTTCAATCTTCGCCGATAGCTTAGCTTCTTACCCTGGCCAGTTAAATGGACAAGGCTGTACAAAGAACCCATATGCATGTACTCGGTCACCATCGACAAATGAGGTGGTGTTGTGCATGCTCCCATGAAAAGAATCACTGCATTTACGCAATATTTGTGTAAATACCAAGGAAAATAAAAGCGATAATGAAATCCTTGTCAGCAAATGCTAAGAGTTGGACAACAAGTGATAACTCTTATTGAAACACCATATGAGATAATAAAAGAATAAACTGAAGGAGGACTTTCTCTGTACAACCGAATGTACACTGCTTTGATCTTGAAGTCACATCTCTCCTCTACTGTAAAGAAAAATAAAAACGAGCGCCAAGCGCTAGAACCTCGTGGTGAATGACACCTTGAAACCTAGCGACCAGTAACCTGAACCCTGATGGCTGTGGCATAAAACAGACAGACTAGAAAACATATTCATTACACTTTGAAGCGCTAAATTAGATAAAGGACTAACAAACTTCCTATGCCGATTACTCTGAAAGCAGTGATACACTAGGGAAATGATGAGATCTTACCATTAGGATGACGGAGCCGGCTGCACAACAGCAGATCCACAAGGTACACATAGTCAGCGCACTATTCAACAGTACAGCCAGCAGATAGTAACCATGTTCATCTAGCTTTACAAGAATCAATTATTTGGGTGCGCAGAGTTTGGGTGTGCAGAGTAGGCAAGACACGGAAGAACGTATTGAAAACAAATGGATGGAGAAAACATCAACAGTCATACGCAACGAGTCGGCAGTAACGTAATGAGTAGGCGGGAAAAACCTCAAAAGAGAAATCTCATTGCAGAAATCTGCTGTATTCTCGTCTGTTAAGTCCTGTTCAAGCAACCGTTTGATTGCGACCTCCGTGCCCCTCCACATCCCGCGAAAAACCTCTCCAAAAGACCCTGGATAACAGTCGTCAGAGTACAGGAACTTTAAAATACAAAACATCGTTTTAACATAATAACAAATGGGTCACACCATAGACGTAGTTGATACTACGACTTTTGGCGATGGCCCAAAAGATACGACGTTGTTCCCAGATAATTCAAATGGGGAAGCTCACCTATACCAACTCGCACGCCGATGCGTAACTCTTTGTAGTCAATATGCCACTCTGAAAATGGCATCAGGGGACCGTTGAGCCAAGCAGGTGGCTTTAGATCTACAGTATGATTTGACGATTCGGCAGTTGATTCCTTCTCCGAGCAAGAGTTCCTCGTTTCCGAGCACTTCTTCTTGTCAACACAATGTCCCTTTTCTTCATATGTACTTGCGTGTTTATCATCGACTACAAAGGGCCCTACGGTACTTTGTAACGAGGTGGGATCGCTAGCAGTCCTTAGATGTACTTTCTCTGCTGGAGTGGATCCCTGCAAACAAGTGAAATCAGACGATCCGCATGATAATACGGTTTGGAAGACTAATACGGCTACATGAAGTCAATGACTTCAGGTAATTGGTTGCAACTGTAGATTTTAATGACAAATTGGATGAGATTGCTTTGGTTAGGCAATCCACTTCACTCCATCAACTGGTCGGTTTCAACAAACTGTCCTAGTTTGTCAATTAGTGCCTGATCGATAAAAAAAAAAAAGGGCAAGTCCAGTTTAAACTATATTGTCACGAGCTCTTCATACATACGTTTGTCTAAAATGGACAGCTATTTTAGACAAACGCTAAGACCTCTTTAAAAGCTTCAAAAACTTCCGGCTGAGCATGTACCTCTTCGCCCTCATTTTCGTCTTCTGCACGAGGACCATCGGCATTGCTGCTTTTGCTCTGTTGCTCTGTTGCTCTAGAACGACACCGTTCCTGCTTTAACTTTTCATTCATTTCGCGTACCGCCCTTCAAAACCAGAAAAAGCACTAATGAGATTGCAAGTAACAGCAATTCTCGATGTCTATGTATTTAAGTTGGAAGCCTAAGCCACAATAGCATTTGGCATGATATTCAGTAGCCGATTGATGTGACCAAATACTAACTTTATATCACACCCCGTACACTTCAAAATTCCAGAGGACAATAGTAACCAACGGTTGGGAACCTACCCTGAGATGCACCTATTTCAGGACTACAAGGACTGGCTACCCAGTAAAACAAAACATGGCTGTTTCAATCCAGAATTCAACTCTTTAAGAACCAACTCAAAGCTACCATTCATCCTCCAGAAAATAAGTTGTCATGGATAAAGTTAAGACTATCAGAAAAAGAGAGTGATTTCAGCGTACGTAGTCGAGCTAGTAACTAAGTTTTGAACTAACCTAGTAAGCTAGTAACTCGATCTATGAAACTGTTTCATAAAACGAGTTTGCTTAAAAAAGCCTGGTTTTGACAAACCTCTGACGTATACAAGAGGCTTCGCTCCAAAGGGGGCTTTAGTGTAAGACGACAGATACAACGATACCCTTATACAACATTGCCCTGTAGTTGCTTAATATTTTAAGTGATATGACATTCAAATAATAAAAAGAAGTCCCTCGTAAAAACAGCTTCGTCACCAAGAAGAGAACCAGTTAGCCGTGGTGACCGGCTGGCTGGACAATAACACAACACAATAAAGTTCATAATATAGTTCGAATCTAACGTAACGAGTTTCTCTTTCACAAGTAGGAATTGCCGGATGATAGAACAAAGACTGAAACTCCATTGCCAAACCATGCTTGACTTCACCAAACTTTGACAACCATTCTTTAGTCATGGGTTATGAAAAGTATTGCAGGACTCAGGAGTCCGGGCCCTCAGGCACATCCAAGACGGAAGCTTGTGAACCTAGACTCAAACGTAGCTTACGTTAAATGACATAGTGATAACCAGAGGGTATCTGCTAACAGATAACACATTATATACGCTTCTACTCAGAAAGTGAGTCAAACAACTCTCAGTCCAGATAATTCGGATAGGATCAATGCATATAATGAACAAAAGGTAAACTCTTTCCAATTTTTTCAACAGAAACTGGGATTTGTAGAAGTAAAAGTTACCAAACATTCAAAAGGACCCGCCAGAAAGATTCTGCTGAAGAAAATATTCAATGACTGCTCTGGGCTGCAAAGCAGATATCCTTTGTCAGCACCCAAATGTTTGCGTTTAAAGTCTCTATTACGATCTGATTACTGACGTGTCATATGCAGTAAAGAAAGACGGGAACTCATCTCACAAGACCCCAAACTGCGGAGTAGAGAGGAAGACAGGCTTTATGTAGGCAACCGTTTAAAAAAAAGAAGCAAGCTTGTTCAGCTTTATATTCACATTAATATCCTTTGTGCAGGAAAGCATACTTAAGGAGTCTTGTCACTTGGTATACTTGTGCTAATAATTTCGTTGGAAGGCGTGATCTTGTCCGCATTGCGGCATAAAAATGCGGACAATGGCCGGCGGAGAAAACGGATGTCTACAGATCTCAGCAAGAATGACCCACAGGTACGAGGTAACTACTTAACAAGAAGGGATTGGTGCGCACTAGAGGGAGGTCAGCAGGTGCTTTGAGACAGTTATGCCTCAGTAATAACCTAGACGAAGGATCGGAAAATTTAAAGGAAGCAAACGGTACCTCTACAATTTGCATCCTAAATACCTCAATCACAAAGCACAGACCAGATAAAACAGAAAATGCATCACCTCGTGTAGGATATGAAAATAAAGCCCTCTGAAAGAAAATCTCAGCAGAAAGACAGGGACAAAAAAACGAAGAGAAGGTGCAACGATTGTAGCAACAAACATCACATGACCAACAATAACAGAAATCTTTGACACAAATAGTTGGTCCCATACAAACTGCAAATTTCCAGATGTCTACTGACATCTTCACACCTGAACCTTCCGACAACGTTTCAGGAGGAAGGTCAAAACATTTTTGTACCTGACCACATCATCGCTGATTTCAGGTGCAACACTTCGTTTTCTAGGTCTACGAACATCTGGCGAGGGAGTGGTCCTGTCCAAACACGAAGCAGGGCGTCATGTTAGCAAGATGACATCATACTTGTCATATCCGAGATAAATGAGTCGTCAGACTTGTCTTCAGACTTGGTCAAGGGATTGTAACCAATATTTCCTCGTTCTATGTACGCGAAGATACCCGTAGCTTTTTTATTAGAAACATACAGTTGCAGGTTGATTTTCAAGAATATGATGTATGAAGTAGTATGACGTCGTAAGCTAGAGTTGATGGAGTGTCATTGGGCAAACGAAATATCTTTAATCACGTCAACATGATGTATACAGTAAGTATTGAAGGTGTAGCATTGAGAGGTTCAGACAAAATAAATAGGAGAAAACGAGACCGATGGAAGTTTGAGAAAACTCAAGGTTACAAAAAACAGAATCTAGCATCAGAAGCGAGTATAAAGGAGTCGCTTCTGAGGTATTTGAATGGTTGTGAAAGAAATGTCGCAAGTACCAGTAAAAAGGAAAATTCATGATAGCCAGATGCATGACCTCCAGGGTCAAAAGATGAAGACATCATAGTCAAGGTCACTTCTACAGTGGCCTTAACTGTATGTCGACAGTAGTAAACAATCAACTCTAAACAAGCCTTCAAAACTTTTCTTTATCAGGGCAGCACTTTTATTACAACTGCCGTAGTAAAGGCGGGGATATGTGCAGCTGTGGAGCCTACTGCTAACTGTCAGTGAGAGAAGATAGGAAAAGGAAAGTGTATATTTTTCAGGCTCTAATGCAGGTCCATTCAACATATTTATTAACTGGTACTCAACTTGGACCATATATACGACTCGGGAGCTTACCTTCATAAAAAATTCAGGTCTCAGGTCATTCCAAACGTCCCGAGATATAAGTATTCACAGAGATAGGTCAGTCATGATGTTCCTTAACTAGTTTGTAATAAACATGCTAAATCAAGCAGGATCAATGACTGATGGACTAATCGATCGTCAGTATTCGATGCCATACGAACAAAAGAAAATTTGTAAATACGGCGTGGATACGTGCAGCACAAGGTTCCCATACAGGTTAACACGCCAGAAATCAGAATAAAAAAAGTTCCGGAAAACGAATGTCGCATGCATTCCAGACTCTTCAATAGGTATGACGTTCCCCTGCAAATACGAGATGGCCTGTGAAATTAGAGTGGACGAAGGCAGCCCACAGCACGTATCGCAAAGAGACGAATCAACACATGTGCATCAAGCGTAAAGTCTCAGAAGCTGTCTCCACCCCTGCATAGGTAGGAAGTTCGAGCACTGCATAGGAGTTATTTCTAGATCCTTGACGTTGCTATCGGATTTATCTGTACATGGTTGAACACAAACCCGCCATGCTGATCAGCGGCAAGAGTCCCAAGACAGACCACAAAGAGAGCGTAAAAAAGAGAAAAACACGAGAAATCTGGCGGAACCACGAAAACCACGAGACCACGGCTGTTTTCCGCTCCCATTTCAGGGAATGAGAGCGGAAAACAGCCTGACTGGATTAACATGCACTATAAGTAAATAACCCATAGTATGAAAAGTTCTCTGCCGAACCATTCAGAAGTCCAGGGACTATAGATAATCGTGAAATGCTAAAGAGAAGGCTCCAGCGCTCCCGAATGACTTCTATGATGCAGTTTAACATTCAGCCATTATCACTCTCCTCCCAATTATCACTCGCCTCCGGTTTCCTATTGCGTTTTTTCATCTATATTACAAAGCAAAACCGTTTCGTAAAATGTGTTCAATCGCTGAAGCAATAGACTACAAGTTTTTCCTCACGGTCTCAGGTACTGGTAGGTTACATGTATTTCAAATAAGTGAATTCCTCACCACTTATAGATGTTTACTACGCACAGAAGCATGTCAAATGACGAAGTCGAACTGAAAAGATGTCAGTAAATCCATAACACAACGCAAATACGAGTGATGACACGTATCACATGGTATTACACATTTTCTTAAAAGCTGCACCAGTCTAACGGTACTGGTATTCATAAAATCCTTGTCTTCCCAAGTGATTTTTTGACAGGACGTGCTCAAGATAAAACTTGATGCTGAAGCACCAGGTGCCTCATATAGTCAATGAACCAACGATGAAGATATGGGAGAATGGGAATCTGGTGCAAATTTTCTACTAACAGGGAGAATAAGAATTCGAACATATTTCCCTCCAGTTTAAATAATGACTATGAAACCTCTCGCCTGCGTGTCGCTACAACATTTTTCTTTAAGTAACATTTGTTATAAAGAAGAGAACATTCTTCTAGGGTAGTTCTAGAGCACCTGATCAAAACTGACGCAAATTGTAGAAAAATCGCCTTCTCGCAACTCGGGAAATACGACCAGGACTACTACCAAAGAGACCAGCATTTCCTTGTAAATAATGACATTCAGAAAATAAATACACCCTAAGCACTACCTTTGGTTATACGTTAGGCAGATATATAAAAGAGCTATTACATGAGAGGATGGTGATTAACCAACCTAGGAAACTCAGACTCGGGACCGATGCGGAAGGTGTCTGAATTCAGTCCATCTCTTTGTATATCAATAGAAAGTGATCGTTCTCGCCTGCAAAGTCCAATTATCACAAGATTGAAACTTAGACAAGCCAAAAGTACCTCAGGTGCAGGCCCCTCTCAGTGCCCTCCGTCACCTCAACTAACTCCACGAAGTAAGGGGGAGAAGAGGACTCTCTAGTCTTCTTCTTGGGGGACGCTCACTGTGGCAAGTAAAGATACCACAACCGAAAAATTGATCCAATCGCCTCAATCTAATCCACTCCCGGTCTATTTAATTGACATAGAATTCGGGAGTTCTTCTTTTTTATGGAAGCAGTTCGGAAATGACCGAACTCATGCTAATGAATGAATGACCTAACAGAAACATCCAAACTATACGGAGCAGGCTGACATCACATGTAGCATCTTTTGCCCCAATGACGGATAAAAAGATGTAAACAGCGGCCAAATTGGCGACTAATTGAGTGCTTGAAGGTGAACAATGATTGTCGAAATTCTACAATTTGGATGCCAATCTTGAAACCCTAACTCAACACATTACTGTGTTCCATTCTTCGCCAGTCCCATGTGTTCTGAAAAATACTTTCAAACGCTACCACTTAATGACAATATTACTATTTTCCACACTCGTAATCTAGGAAAGGTTGAAAAACTGACCGCCTTCTATATATTGGAGAAGGAGTTCCTGTTGAAGAAAAATATTGTGGGGACTGCTCTGGGCTGCAAACCAGATATTCCATGTCAGCGTCCACAATTTATTATTCACAAGTACTGCGTATTTTCATACTAACCACGTATTTACCACTTCGTGGCTACTATGCATCAGTCATTCTAAGGACACTACTTGAGCATTAGTATCAGATGAGTTACCTCTTTCAAAGCTTGAAAAAGGTAACATTTTATCACAGCGTTCACAGCCCAACATTATCACAGCCTTACATATGGCTCTGAGTAGACAGGATAGGCTATGAGTATTGAAACCCAAAACGGCGCCTTGCCATTAAGGGGAACAAAGATTTCAATACATCCAAGATAATTCATAATTTCCTTTCAAATTCTCAGTAAAGGATTGCCCAGAACTTCACTGGTGTTATTACACAATAGGCAAACGGGCTACAAATACTGGGAGTCAATTCCAATGTCCAGATCTCAAATTCCGAAAACTCTTCCAAACTCCAAACTTAGAGGTGACTTATGCAGAGTATGGTATGTTCCAAATTAGAACATTAATTCATGTACTTGTTAAAATAATGACTCGGAAAAGAGACGTCCAGTCAAAGATTTCAATGGCGACAGCAATTGCGAGTTGCGTCGAAACAACCAAGTAATTAATCTCGATTCAAACAGCAAGAGGACGAATGTGATGACTAATGTGACTGATACACACAACCATCGTAAAGTGAGCTGCTCTTATCTCGATCGAAGACATCCAGATCAAAACCACTTGTACAACCTATGAGATGGATCACTCATACAGGCAGGGATCATGTCTAAAACAACAACAATAGCTAGTGAAGGCAACATGAAACTGTTGTATCTTACCTAGAGACACTCGTCGGATCCACCTCCTCGCTTCCTGGTCTTCTACCACCTCCTAGCATTGAAGGTGCTCTTACCCTAAAAGTAGGATGTTCGGGGCTGCTGCAGATATGATAAAGACAACAAAAAGACTGAACATCTACTTTGAACCATCGATCAAAATTATTGACTTTCATTACCATAGTCAGTTTCTAATTTTCCAAGCTCCACTCTCGGTTTAGTAAAATCTTCGCAGATTGTCAGATTCACGCGATCGACGGACACTTCACTAGAAAAAAAAAATCAGAAAATTGAATCAAGAGAGCAGTTGCTCCTAGTGGACACTTTGAACAAACTGAATATTATGAATGCAGACTACAAAATGCATGTGCGTTCACAAAAGAAGACTACTACGTTCACCAAGGACTAATTAGCTATCCACATTGAACAAGTAACATCCACGTCCTGTCAATGCGTACCTGGATATGCTTCCCTCTTCTGAACCAACACGCCTGAATGACCGGATTCTTGCTTGGGGATGTTCGGGACTGAATCAACGACGGAAAAGACAACAAATTATGAGTGTCAAGGTTTATTATTTCAAACACTTCGGCAAATGCGAAAAGTTCTTCTTTTTGGCCATCTACTGTTGCTAAACACTATAGAGAAACTTGGAAATGACGCTCCAGGAAAAAGTAATAAAAATATAAGACGAAATGCGATCAGTCCTAGTTTTGATACCTTGAAGGGAAACTGCGTACTCCTTCAGCATTTACTTTCCAATGTAGTTGTTGGTAGCTCACGGCACGTTCAGGACTATCAGACAAAAGAGTTAAGACCTCCGTGAGATGACCATCTAGGGGTAATGTTAAGGTACTGCAACTTGTAGGTTATGATAAGTCCAGAGACATATACTCCAGAAGGGTCTTATGATCCAACGCTAATCGCAATTATCGCTCTTCCGAATGTCTGCTGTCGTACAAGAAATAGTATAAGCAGAAGTGAAGTTCCTCCAATGAACGAGGAAGCAGCACTGAAGCTTCAACGGTTCTTTCTACAGCCTGAGAATGTTTCCGGGCCTAATGGAATCTGGAGAGAACTAGTAAAAAGAATGTTACTATATTTGTATGCTGTAAATAAAAGTTCAGTCTCTATTTATCTAAATGATAAGTTAGTTACAAAGTATGGTTCTACGTAAAAACCAATTCTTTATGCACCTGAAAATAGCCGAGCTCTCCTCCGCTTTCCTTCTGTTTCGCCGCCGGTAAGGATTAGCTAGATCTGGTTCACTTCGTGATGGACTGCATTGACGGCAAATAAGGCACCAGTGAGACCATACTGGAATACATTCGGCTTTTACTGATGGTTCGGTAACACCTTCGATAAAAGTGTTGGTGCTGAGGAGAGGCGCCAACAAGGTGACAAAAACGGTCTCAACCAAGTCCAGAGAGTACTTTCACACAGACTGTCAAATCCCAAATCTGTATCAAACCCTTCACATCTGAATGTAAAAGACGAAATAGAGGAAAACAACACAACACAACACACTGCAAACCAAACGAAATAACAAACGGAGAGAACGAAGAAACGATACCACACAAGACAAAACCTTTCAATTCAATTATCCTCCCAGAACCCATGTCATGCCAGAAACATGTGTACAGACTCGCATTCACCTTTTGGGCAGTCTCGACCTGAACAAATAACCCACTCACTGTGGGAAAAACTAGAAGCACAAGTTGCCACAATCAGTCAGTAGTTTGCAGAGAAGACCCACTCACTAGACTCAAAATCGAGAATTCACCTTAGCTTCCCCTCCAGACCCATAGGTAGCCGTAACAGCATATTGTGCACAGGGCGTGCACCAACAGGTGAGGTCTGTCTTCTCTGCACTAGTATACGAGGACTGTCCACTTCATGGTCGAGACTGTAAGTCGTTCAGTCGCAATCGATTAGGAACATGATGATTGGAGAGCAGAAAGGTGTGCATCAAGGAAAACCCCACCATACAATTAGAATTCCAGAGCGACATACTTCGAAGATCTCAAATGCAGTGCAACGCCATACACAACTGTACTGAGCTACATTTGATCCATCAGCCGTGTACAGCCTCCAAAAAGTGTTCAAATAATAAGTCACCTTCTACATGTCACCTGCGGTTCAGTTGAGGGAAACACGCAAAATGCAAGCCTCAAACTACAAAATAAACCCAAATGAAAAATGCTACAAGATGAGCATATGTAATCATCTAGTATATTATTAAATGTCATTCCATTCACAACGAAATATACAGAGAAAAAGGTCCGGACAAGCAAAAAATCTGGGCCAAGCGTGAACAATGTCATCCACGATAAAAGTTACAGATCACTGAAAGCACCACTTCTTTACAACCTTAATAGAAAAATGATTTCACCATATTTTCACAAACTTTCCCTCTCCCTTTGGTGGACCCTCAAAATAAAAAATAAAAAATAAAAGTGTGCACGCTGACGTGAAAGACCTCGGCATGCCACGGTCTTTTTCTTTTGATTCACCGCCAGGAGGCCCTTTCAAAAGACTAGAAAAGACAGATGGTTCGGAGATAGTCTTGACATTAAAAGATGTTGTGCTAGTCAAGTCCGGTGGTGAAAACATTCGGAAAAAGAAGCTATCAAGTAATCAATCTTGGAGCATATGATATCCAGCACCAGAAAAAAGGAGATATAAGCTATCTTACAGGCGTAAGCTCAGTCCACGGCTTAACAAACAGAAGCACCACGTTAGACCCAGGCCCAGCGGTACTCACAAAACTGTGAAGGAATTAATGTACACTATCAAAGAAAAGTTTTTAATAAAACGGTATCCAGCACATGTACTTCAAGGTAAAACAAGAAACTTGAAGGGAAAAAGCGCATGAGAGTTACCTTTCGCTCTCCAATTTTTCAGAATAGCCACAGAGGGGACTGTTGGGTTCTAAAGGAGAGTCACATGAGTCATAATCGGCTGAATCGCTATCTCCAGCTCCTGAGATGTGATACATAATCAAAGCCTTTTTTGAAAATGGCCTCAAATTACCAGGACGTCTCATGACATCCACGAGAAGCTCCATACCATTCAAGCCCACGATATTCGAGAGATGCTTATTTGGATTAGCGCATATCACAGAGCTGCCTGGAACGGCCTCCAACTGCAAACCCTGTGTTGGACATTTTACAAGTGCTTTAGGTTAGCCTGCGAAAACAGTTGATTCTCATTAGAGATGAAAGTTGAATTTCACATTTCGATCATATCAGCTTTAAGTGGCGCCACTCACTACTGACGAGCAAAAGCAGTAACTATGATTTGCTCTTGTCAGGAACGGGCAATCCTCCCCCCGTTTTGTTAAGGCAAACTATGAAGACATATCCCCACGATATATTGCCAGAAGGATACTGCGTAATGGATGTCAAGAAATATACGAGTTCCATACTAAGCAAAAGAAATCAAACAAGAACTGTGGCATACGAATTTCAAGGCGAGTATCGTAAATTATCTATGACCAATTAACGAGTCTTACCATCAAGAGCCGACTATGTAACCCAACTGCGTCTCCAAGGAACTTGAACAAAATTGCGCGTGGACGGCACAACCCAACTTCTATTTTGCCCAAAAGCTGCACTGGAGAGGAATCTGCATTAAGTATTCCATCAACAGGAACCTTCGTCAATCCCGCTTCAGAGATAGGTCCACCGTAAAAATCTGCGACCTGATACAGGGAAACGGAGAAGTCATTTACTCAATATTGAGTGAGCTCACATCCATGAGTGAACAGCGTCCTTATACTGGAAATAAGATACCAAGAAATTTTCTCTTAAGAACGATGCGTATATTCCAATTGCCACGGTAGAGAATCCTTGAAAAAGGTGCACCGACTGGAGTCGGCCCAACAATACGAAATCGATTTCGGATACAAGAATTAAAGGGCATTCTTGAAGTTATTTTCAGTCGGATGATAAACAATAAATCTATGGCTGGGACTAGAACAATTTGAAAAAAAACCTCCCCATCGATAACAGTAATAATAAGTATGCTCCAAATACTAAAAGATCTAACGAAGAAAACTCACCAACTCTGCAATTTTCTTTATGACGAGAGCTGGATTTGTTCCTACAGTCTTCACTGCAGAAATCGCTAGCTCCTTCAACCTTGCAAGAACTTTGTCTTCATTTGAATCAACCAGGAGCACGTCTGAAGATGATGATTCAACTCCGATCTTTTTGAGTTCTTCGAAGGTGGGGATTGTCATAAACTTAGCCTTTAGAATCTTAGTCTGCAACAATCGCAGCGACACACTTGATTTCAATACCAGTCCCGCCAAATCGGCTTCATTACCTTGGTATGGGGTGAATTCTCAAGTACATGTATATTACTGATAGTGTAGGAATTAGGGTACTGACAAAGTGGAAAAGGTTACAGACCAAAAGGCGCTTGCACACATCAGTAATAAAGCACAAATAAAGATGAAATTCCGGTGTCGAAATCAAAGTAGATGTAAATTAAATAGCAAACATCAATTACAGCTTCCGACTATCAGACATAACTGATATCCAGACCGTGAAGGGAACTTCGCTCAACAAAGCGCTGAGCTTTTATACCACTAGCTGAGCAAAATTGTTGTGCAAAGCTTCAGCAACTCACTGGAATAACGGAATAGAACCCGTCGGGAATTCTTGATTCTAGGCTTCCTGTCTCCCACAGTTTTTGTGAGGCACATCGTGGTGAAATATCATCTGAAACAGGACTGCCTGCGGAGACTGTCAGATTGAAAGGAGATTCTTGTCCATCTTGGGAACCAAAACCTACAACTTTCATCCTTTCCACCAAATCTGTCTGCCACCCATCCGTGAGCTCTACAGGGATGACAACATCCTTAGGTCCCTCTTTAAAATCAATAGGCTCCTGTGATGAGACACACATATCATCAGCCGTCGCAATCAATCTTCAAAATAAACGTCATGAACTGTGAGAACCCACGGACCACAGCAAGTATAGGAACCATAGCTTCTGTCGAAGCTGGATTGATGAGCGAATTGCTCTAACAAACTCGTCTCTGATTCTCTGACGAACTGTTCTTTCAGCGAACTGTTCTCTGGAAAATTTCAGGTGATCGAAACTTCTCACAAGGAACCCTCAACATGACGTTCCTATCCTGGCTTCCTTTCTGTTGACACCATTGCAGCTTCAATTAGAAGCTTGATTGATCCGACGAACCCTAGGCACCTAGAAGCATTTAACCTTCGAGACGTTTGGCTGAAAAAAGAGGGTGAATCAAAATGACTTACCTTGTCCATGACCGACAACGCCGCTCTTACCCATCCTGCAGATACATATTGGAAAAACTGGCTTAATTGCTAGACTACAAGAACAAAGCAACCTGGACTACATAAATACTGGCATATTTTTCTTTCCTCGTAAAGGGTGAATTAGTTCAAAGTGCTTGTTCACTGGCTCAAGGACCAACACTTTTGAAGCGAATGCAAGGAAATTCTCATCGATTGTTCCAAGTTGCGAAGTAGTACGTCATCATTGAACATGCACAACACGGACTTGTTTCTTAAGCCAATCTAGACAAATTGTGAAGCACACAATTGCCTTATGCAATGGTTAAACTCCACAATAAAATTTTGAAAACAAAACTACCCTCCTTCTACCGCCGTCCTAAAGATTGGCGCAGTTTCTTAGGATCCTTTGTCTTTTAATTCACATATGACAGAAGTTCCTTCCCCGCATCTGCGAACAGTAAATGGCAGTGTTTTTGTTCTAAAATGCTATCAAAGTACGAGGGAGGGCAAAAGATATTTGGTACATAATTTTGAACAGTAGCATTGAAAAAGACTAGAGGTCAGTTTCTTTACTTTAAAAAAACATTGAAGGTGTTCAGCACATATCCTATGCTTCGTAATTGTAACTTCTCACCTAAACATTTATACATTTTGGACAAGGGTAAAACAGAGCATACGACGAGATTAAATCTGTAGTAAAACTTTTCATAAAATGGGAAAGAAGAAGCCCATATGCTGTACCCTGCAGGATCTACGCGGTCGATCTAAGGAAAAAAACTTGTGAGATGTGAGATGTTCTTAATAAATAAATAAATAAAATGTGAGATGTTCTTCGTCTGCAAAGCAGAAGACAGGACCGCTGCGCAAAATGAGAGACCCACAACTTGATAGTTCTACCTGCATTGCTAGCTATTATGCAAAACTGTCACTGGAACTGGTTTCAGCGTAAGCACCTGGTTCCTCAGATGTAGCAGAGTTTAGATGCTGGCCAGTTTCAAGGCGGGCCTTGATTCTAGAAAGAAACTCGGACATCCAGGGCAACTCTCTACCAATTCTTCCTCCTCTTCTCCATTCATGCGCCTGGGGCGACAGGTCCAAAAGTTCAAGAAATGTTATCCTCGCAAAATGAGAAGAATGATCCCGAAACGGAGCCTGGCACTGAACAGCGTGGCATTCATCGCCGGGATTCCCCACTTGACCTGGTTCCTAATCAATGTTTTTTTTCTGATGTCGAGGCGTCATGCTGGAGCCTGCAAGAGAAATCATCTGATTTGCTGACGCTATAGTCCGTTCCCGCTGCACCGGTGGTCACAGAATCTTACTCCATCCTTGTTTACATAATGTACGTCGCACAGCGCGCATGCGACCGCGAGGTGAACATCAACTAGAAGGCCGATATGTGGAATGCATTCTTGCATCCGTCACGAAAATACTTCCTCTTTCTACACCGCATTGAATTGCGAGCATGGACTCGAGGACAGCAAGAATCAAGGGGAGAAAGGGGGAAAAGGAACCCGGGCGACGAGAAGCTTCTAATTCAAACTGATCGCAGGCGAGAGCGATCGACCCGCAATAACGATTTCGCACTGGGCATCAAACCCACCAAAGCGGCAAGGGCGGTGCGCATCGGGGTGCAAGAAGGGTGACACCATTTCGCGTACAGTCAAGGTTATTCTACGCCCGTGTAGATGATGTAAGGTGCCCCGTTTCATAAACCCCTGCAAAGTCTTCGAGGACAGACGCTTATCTCTTGACGCCTCCAATTTTTCAAGTGTACGAGCCACCAGAAAGTCCGAGATCTTCCTTCTAACTCCTCATGGATGAACGGAGAAATATAGACCCCGGATATAGATTCTGAATTCCTGATCGAAAAGCAAAATTAGGTCATTGAAGCCCACTGTAAAGTCACCGTCACCGTCAGACTCTCAAAAGGGACGAACATTACCGACCAACACTGCAATCAACGACAGAAGAGCCCTGAATTTCAAAATCTTTCTCCACTATAAAAGGTAAAGTCTACACGGAGACATCAAGATTTTGTGACCCTCCCCTCTATCTAAATCCGCCTCCTTGTCTTCCTGTCTTGATAAGGAAAAGACCCTTCCCAACCCGCACCCACACACTGTTCTTCCTCGGTCTTCTTCTCCTTCCTTTTGCTTCGCTCTCCCTCCCTCACTTCTTTCACTCCTTCCTTACTTCCTTCCTTCGCCTGACCCTTGACCAATCTCCCTCCGCCCTGTGTGCCAGGTCGGCCGCTCGCTCACGTCTTCCGCAGCGGAAGCCAAAGAGGAGAAATCGTTCGCAATAAACCTCGGAACGAAACAATCGACTCCCGCACCACCACCTCCTTGCCCTCCCAATCAACCTCCTACCTATATCTCTATCCGCACCACCTCCAAAACCTACTCCTGCTGCCTCCTGTGACCTTCCGACGACCACCACTCTACCTGGCTCCCACGCAATCTGCAATCTATCAATCGATCGATCGAAAAATCAATCAATCAGTCAATCAATCAAACTCTCCTCCTCCCTCTCAACCCCGTCGGTTCCCTTCCTTCCTTCCCTTTCTTCCGTCCTTCCTTTGCTTTCCTTGCCCCTTTCCTCCCTTCCCTTTCCTGGCTCGCCCCGTCCCGACCTGGCCTTCGTTGCCGTGCCTGCGATGCTGCCAGGCCCGGTCGCAATCGCCAGTCAGTCAGTCAGTCAGCGAGAGAGCGAGCGACTCGATCGCGCTCTCACTCGCTCACGGAGAGTCCTGTTGCCGCTGGCTGCTGCTCCTTCTTCTCCTGCTGCTGCTGCTGCTCCTCCTCCTGCTCCTCAAATCTCATCCCGCGACTCGCTTCCCTCCCTCCTGCTGCTCCTCCCGCTGCTGCTGCTGCTGCTGCTGCCAGCGTCCTCGTCCTCCTGGGCCTCCTCCTGTTGCAGCGGCATCCCCTTCCACTTTTGCGCTCGCTCTGTCGAGAATCGCACCTCCTCTCCGCGCTCGCATTTTTGCGCTGCGTGCACCAATGGCTCGCTTGTCCACCTGCCGCGCTCCTTCCGCTGCGGGCCTCCCTCGCTCGGCTTCTTTCCAGCGCTCGTCCATTCTCCAACAGCGATGCGATGCCAGGGATCTTTCCTCACGAGTCCTCCCCCTCTCCCCCACCCGTCCCGTCCCGTCCCGCCCCGGCCGGGCCTTCCGCTCTGCTCCTGCTGCCGCTGCATCGGACGGCCCCTTGCGCGGATTCTGATTCACGCCCACGATCTGTCGTCCACCGGAATGATGCACCGATTTTGCCTCCTAAATTCCAGCCTTTCCCTTCCGCCTTTCCGTTGTCTGCATTGGCGCCAGCGAGTTATGACCGTCACTCTCCGGTTATTTTATTCCCACATTACCATTTCCGCCCCGACACTTATTTTAATTCACCTGCCTGCGCTTTAGGGCCAGCCAAATACGGCGACCCCTCCTCCCTTCCCACCTGCAGCCAATTTCCCCCGCTTTATCCAAAATTATTGGATAAAGCGATGTATTATTAGCGGGTTTATTGCCCCCACTCTCCGTGCGTCCGACTTCCCGGGCCATGCTCCCCTAGCCCCGTCCCCCGGTTTCGCGCCCTCCGCTCCCCGAACTTTGCGGCCGAAGGTTATTCCCGCTTTTGCACCCACGCAATTATCACCATTATCCTCGTTTATGCCTCGCCCCCTCCACCGGCCCGACTTGACTGACTTCCAGCGAAGTCCCCCAGCCTTTCCGCGCGCGCTCGCCTCGTCTCGACCGCGCGGGCCTTTACTTAAATCATTTCCTTGGCTTGGGCGAGGGCTTGGGCGAGGGCGTGGACCGTCCCCACCCGCAGTGTCTCGTCTCGTCTCGGACCGAGTCGTGGTTGGGGAGCCACGGGCGCTTGGTGCCTCGGGCCATGCAGCAGCGCCGCGGACGAGGCCCCTCGACGACGGGCGGGCTCGAGCTCGGCTGCCCATTTCCTTTTCATGACCGCGCGGCCGCGAGCTCGCGAGCTCTTCTTGGGCTGGCCGCATCTTTTCTCATCATGCAGGATTTGCTTCCCGCTGGCCTCTAGAAGGTTTTTTCGGTAGAGTAACGCATCAAATTAGGTGGACGAGGACGACGAGGAGGTGGAGGAGGTGCTGCTGATCATGAGTTGCCAGGATTTAGTTTTGTCATCATCGGGAGTGGGGCGCTCGTATTGAACCCACTGAGGGCCCTCGCTTCGTTTGATGATGGATGCTGCTCTGCCCTTTGCTGCCTCTGTTTTGTTTCTTGTGAGTGTTTCTCTTGTCGGCAATCATGCCTGCATGACACCCACATAAAACAAGGAAATTAAAGGAAATGTCATCGTTGTTCTGGGGTGCTACCTATGCTTTAACCTGTTGGAGCGGCGAGGAGGGTGGAAAGATTTGTCTACTTCTACTACGTCCATGAAAAGGCTACAATTCTTCCATCTCAATTACGTGTCTTCTCAGTTAGTATACGATATATGTGCCTTACTTTCCTCTTTCTCCAAATTTATTTACAATAATTGATATATCCTGGATGTGAGCGAGTATCACGTTGTCAATCATTTAACACCAAACATTGCATTTCAGCTATGAAGTTCAAAAATTTAAGCTTCGTTTTCCTTCGATTCGTAGTATATAGAAAGTCCATATCTCCAACGTAAAATATTTTTTTTTCGAACATGTGATAACTCATAATTTGTCCCATAAATACACGTGAATTTAACGTTTCCATTTTTAGGTCGTAGTTTCATATTCAAGTCGATACTTCTCGAACTTTTAAATAGATTTCTGCAGTTATATCATCCAATGTGCACGGTGAATTGAAAACTTTGACCTTTGACAAAACTGATCTAGGAAAAATCTAAACTACCATCGCTTTTCCTTCTATCCGATTCTTTTTTGGAGCGAGAGGATCTCGATATCTGGTACTCAGGCTACAAATTCATATTCTGCATATATATATATATATGAACCCACACCCCCAAAACTTTTTCAAACTTGCTGAATCAAAGAAATGAGCAAAGGAAAAAGCGAAGATCCTTTGTCTCCTCATGAACATGTGTATGAGCACAATCAAAGTTTAATAAGCCGGGAGAGACCTCCCCTGAGCAAAATCTCTCCTTGACAGAAGTACCCGTGCTTGTGAAAGAATCTGCGAGAGCATGGGAATTCGAATCCATTGAAGTATCTTGTGAACCATCTTGTGTGTAGACTTTCGGGTGTTCCAGCCGTCAAGATTCACGTCATCTTGTTGTTGACTTGTGTCCTTTGGTCCATACGAAACACATTTGCTTCTAGTGTGTGCCAGGGATCTACTTTTAGCCGGTCCAAATCCAAGTGGTTATACAATAATCTCCCATTTTATAATCCGTTATCCACCAAATCGAAAGAAAATCCAACAAATTTTAGTCTAACACTGTGACTCGGAGCAACTATAGTCCAGCAGAGCTCAGGTCAAGATAGCCCACGGACGTTCAAGCTGCGGTTGCAATATTCAAGGCGTCCATCTGTTCCACCCGAGATTCTTCCTATTTGTAAAGTAAACACGAGCGAACTGTATTACTACACATTACATCTCCCAAGACCATACATAGTCAATTTTGGGCCAGATTATTCTTTGTCTCTAAATTTTCAACCAGGTTATTCTTGAGACAAGGAGCGCAAAGGGCTCCTATTGGTACAAAAAGTACGAGACCTTGACTTTTATTTCGAGAAAGTAAAATCACGAATCTTGATTTTATTACTCGGTAAGAAATGAGATAAGCCCATGACATCATGATATCCGGGAATCATCATCACGATGTGTGGAAAAAGACGTGTAAGTTTTTAGTAAAGAAATAGGCCTTCCAATTTGGTTGCATATTTCGTTCCCGTTCATGTCGCTGCATATTGTTGGAAGGAATCTATCGTACTCTAAAACAGTACTTTGTTAGGTTTCGTATGCTCATTGTTACTCATTAACACAATAATCTCCTGAACACTGTAGTCATACGTTGGAATTAACAGAATGTTTGTTCCAATATTAGACAGGTATCAAGCAAGTTCTGTTCATGTGTGTTCGCATAGCATCTCAAGATCAAGGCACAGACCACGAAGGGGCCTCAAAACAAGGATCGAATTCGGAATTCACATTTCCTCTAATCTCTGTTTCCGTTTATTTAATCGAAGAAAACTAGGCCCAGTCTTCTCTGAACAGTCATGGTTGTTCATAATCGCAAGAGGAGCATGTTACCATCTTCCTCGTCTAGTCATAAGAGCTAGTCATAGTCTAGGACCATCATTTATCAACTTCAAACCTTTTTCCAGCCTAGAATACACATCTCGATGTAGGGAACTTACTCCATTTGTTCCCTTCAGTAAAGGTAAGATCTGAGTATGTATGTACACATTGACAGATCTTGAGAATCAGAAGGGAACATGGCGGAAAGGCAATGGGATTCTTTTGCTGTTCGACGCCGATGCCAGGAAGACCAAGACTGTTCATCTTCCTCGCATCTCCAAGACGATCTTGTACAGGAGTACGCCATCTGCGCAAATTAGAACTGTTAGACATGAACTGGGTACAGTGGTGTGATTTGCAAACAATCAGGAACAACGACTGCAACAAATGCCTCTTAACTCTGATGCTCATCAATTACCTCTTCCTCGTTTTCTCTCTTATCTTGGTCGTGTAAATGCTGGAGGAATCGACAAGTACAACAAGGGAATCTTCGAAGTTTGAAGCTCGGACAACACTACTGAGTAAAAGGGTAAAGATGACCATAAACATGAACCCGTTCTTATTACTGTGAAAAGTCCGAAAACATGTCACCTTTTAGACTGGGGCGCAAGGATGAAATGAAGTTCAATAGTCACCTCATGATGAAAAGTCTGCACCTACCTTGCAGTTAGCTCAGTCTATGACTTCTTCCGTGCAATCACTCAAAACAAGTCTCGTTGGGTTGGAATCCATATGAGTGACAGAAGTGCATTTAATGTAATGGTTTGACCAGAAAGTTTACGAATCTTGAAACAGTACAAGTTGAGGCCCCCTCGCGCAAACAACAAATTACAGGTCCCCGCCTCCTCCCAAGCCTTTTCTGTTACCATGAATCACATCGAATAAAATATCCATCTTCGACATTATAAAGGCTTATTACTACGAGCCGTCGTACTAGCCGTTGTATGTTGATGACAGCTCAGTCATCTTGGAAAGAAGAGACACACATGTAAAGTAGAAATGAATTGCTCTGAAACTTGTGTGCTCAGTTCCAGATGACCTCATAAAGAGGCTATCTGATTATTACAATTGCAGCAAATTGCGCCAATCCTCGGTCTACAGACTCGAATATTCCATAGCACACGCTGAGATGTGATCGAAAGTTAGCCCATAATCCGTTGGCAATCGCAGAAGTTCACTCGGCGCTACTGACAGTGAAAACCGACAAGTAGTTACTAAGGTCCCTACGGAGGCGGGATGTGGTTCCTCGAGTTACAACGAGAAGCACATTCACCCCTTCCGTTGCTTTGCTCAACAATCATAGGTCCGGTTTATCTTGTTCAGATTGTTGAATGGACAAGGTGACAGATGTTGGATGTGCATAATTTGTTGGTGAGAACTCTACATTCCAGGGCGAAGAGACTGGCCACAGTTCGAATCTACTGGATAGCTGCGAAAGTCAAAGCTTCCAACCAGATACAGATACTGTATTACATTCCTGTACGTAGTTCCGAATGACTGTACGGGAGGAGTATCCCGGACCACAAAGCAACACGTGACATGCGGCCAAGATTCAGCTGGAAAGACATCGTAACAGAGGGGATGTGAATAGCCGAGCGACAATTCTCGGGGCTCTCCGAGTAACGTCGCTGCTCGGCTGTCTCTTCGTGGATTGCTGTAGAATTCAACTCGAGTGAAGCTGAAACTGCCACAGTCGCATCGTCATCTGGCTGGTAAAGCAAAGCACCAAGAAGATGGCCTCCGTAGAGTGATGCTCCACGCTTCTCTCGCCGCATCTAAACTTAGTGTGAAGAAAAGCGGCATGAATTGTCTGACTGCGCAGTGGCTGGGCTGCGCGGCTCGAGTAGATTGTAAACGAGCATTCACTGTACACGACGAAGCTGGCCAAGCAAGAGGATTAGAAGCGCATTGGTGATCACACATAATCCGAATCAGTTAAGGAGATAATATATACGACTTGTGTTTCATCCGAACGCTTTAGTTCTTCTTCTTTTGTCTCAAAGCAATCCAAGGTCAGCATTACATGCACCGACACCTTAATTTGATTCTCCGGTCACGCAGGTCTCAGAGTCGCTTATTGGTGTCTCCCGTTGTCTGTCTTCGCCATCGACCTCTGCAAAGAGCGTTAAAACCTTCATGACATGGAACAATAAGGAGCAACAGAGGGCGGTCTAAAAGTCGTCGGTTGAGTAAGCCCGTGGTGCTTGGCCCTGATTACTCTCCGAGATCCTTGTCTGAAGCCTGATCTACTCTTTGGTGATGGAGACAATGGAAGTGTTGCCCTGCAGTCCTGCTGCACTCTAGAGACGCAAAGTCTGCATGCAGGGCTCAGAAACCTCATTCGGCAGGCAAAACCTCACAATCTCATCAACTCTTAGGTTCAATCACGCCAGCTGATGGTCGATACAACATTCACATCGTAACAGTGCTTGTCCAATTACAGCAAGAGTTAGAACATGTTGGAGACTGATTCATGGCCCCGCTTGGGGAGTGACATAGAAATATATTGGTCCCTCCTTTCGATTTGATTAAAAAGCGTGAGCGGAAGTTTCTGAGTATTTCTGAGCCTGCACGAAATGTCGAGATTAAAACACGACATTAACCCTTCCGCGTACACGATCAACAGTACGAAATCAAATACACAACTGCAGCTGTAGTCTTTTGTGCCATCATAAAAGGATACATGTTTCGAGAAGTAAGTACACTGTACACCATTCTTCCCATCAAAACCCCTTCCACATTAACGTATCTTGGAAAAGTTCTGACGCAATCGCGTTCGTGGTGATTTCTTTCGACCATCTAAATGAACTGCTCAATGTTCTGTACAGAAATTATGCCGATAAACTCACTGGTGGTGGCCTACAGTGACCCATGACTGCTCCGCACAATCTAACTTGCAATAAGATACTACCTAACGTGGACGTCCAAGCAACCTATTACTTCTTGGGTTGGGTGCCTTCGCCGCCAGCAGCTCCGCCTTTACGCAACATTCGTACCATTTAATCGAACAGTGACATGACTACAGTGCACACTCTGATTCTAAAGGCAGTGAAGCACAAACCTAAGACAACATAATCTGTCCACCATCCCGCTGGAACATAGTTTCAATCCAGTAGAATGCGAAGTAAAAGACTTTAGATTGAAGGAAGAGGTTCGTCCAATGAATTGTGAAATGTCTAAACTAACACGACTATCTACTGTGATGAACAAAAACAGCAAGACTAGCATGGCATTCGGGCTGGACGCCGACAATCCCCGTCAAACTGACAAATAACTGTCAGAGGTTTTCGAGAAAAGTCTAGCCTCAGGCGTGATCGAATTTACCTCCAAATCTCTCCTTATGCTTAAGGGATAAGATATTGCACAAAAAGGGTCTCCGGTAATTTGTTTACCATACCCAGGGTGAAGCTACATGCATTTTTTACACGGATTGACCAGGAACCCGGAAGTTATCGAGGTAACTTGCGAGGCTCACAATAACTGAGATTAATCAAGCAGGACATCGAACCTTGATGGGGATCCTGAAGGTCGTGCGGTAAACAATGTGCTAGGAAAACCTGGTGGTTTACCACATTAAACCTCTTCGACAGTAAAGCACTTCTAGCAGAATTTCGAGGTTGGGTTCAGAGGTTGATCGCACTGGAGGTATGATGATCCTGGATCATCAACACCAAAATTGTTAGACTCATTGCAGGGGTAAATGAGAGCTGGGTTCATAGAGGATCGGGTACATGACTGCAATACGAGATTGAAAGAGCCTCAGATGAACTGTATTTCTCAACAGCATCTCTGTTTCAGATAGTGGACAAGAAAATGGCAGCAGTACCAAGTCAAATTTGTGCGTTGCCCCTATGCATGGCTTTAGAAGTGAAGAGTTCCAAAGAAGAAACACGACCTTCCCATCTTGGGCAACTGATTATCGGAGAAATTTTTCAATTGTCCTACAAACAAATAAATGAGTGGTTAACGATCTCGCAAATTCCTGCTAGATCGTCCCCTAATCTACCTAGCAGTGTCTCCACTTTTGTAGCTTCTGTCACATTTTCGTGAAAATTGCTCCACTTGATTGTCGACGTAAGACTCCACCTTCTCCGCAAGCTTGCTTCTCACTATGATTTTCTCGCTTCCCTGAATCATGATTCCCGGTTCTCCGTAAGTAGACATAAGAGAACTGACGTATTCCAAAAGAAAGAGAACTCCGTTGTATATGGTGTCGACTCATTCACATTTAGAATTTGATACAAACACAAAACAGTGACACAGCGCTACAAAAATCTAATCCTACCAATCCTACATAAGCTGACAGTTGAGAGTTTGTGTAGATAGGAGGATACAAAAGGAGACAGCAGTAAACTTGACAAGACAGAACGGGTGGAGATCTCGGTAGGCCTTTACACTTAAGATCATGACGTCGTGCACAGATTGATATGAGGCAAAAATGATATTCTCTTTCATAGATCCAAATGTACGACAGGACCATTGCGATCAGGCTTGGTGATAGACATCACTTGCGATCAAGTTTGATCCCATTGAAGTAATATAAATGATGCAACAAACGCATGGGTTCGCGTGCAATTAGTCAAGAATTGTATTCAGCAATTATGTATTCTGAGACGTGTGCAAACATCTTGCATTCGAATAAGTGGGAAACTTAGCGACAGGCAGACAAAAACGAGGTTACTTGAGGGAAACTATGTACCGAATAGAATAAAGCCTATTGACGAGAGAAGGGAGGCGTGCCAACTTTTCTCAAGAGCCACATTTGAGCAACAATAGAATCTGTACTAATTGGCATTTGCCTAACCACAAACCCCACGCACTGACAGAGCAGAATCTACCACACGTTGGAATGTACCTGATTTCTGTGCTCAAGGCATTTTGCCACCTCTTTCCTTACAATAACATCCGCCAGTTTGGTGCAAAATTTATCTATGTCTCTGGTTTTTAACTGCAAATTTAGTTATACAGGGTCAATAACATAAGAGTTGCATATGACACTCAGCCTAAAATAAATTACAAAAAAACATACATACTTTGCACCAGAGAAAGAGGGACTGGTTCTATGAGAATATGCCCAATCAATTTCAATCTTGTAATTAGCGGTGATCTACAACGTTTTACCTACAGAAAGATGCAGTAAACACAATCTACGTTTGAAAGCTGAAAAGAATGGCAGTCTGTTGGGAAAGGGAAAAAACCTTATGTCTTCGAACCCGACTCTTTACCAAGAAAAAGACCTGCAAAATGTTCACGTTTGTCATCTCACTGTCTTAGTAACACTACAATAGACGAGATGTAAACAAATAACCGTATTCACAAAGCTTTGTCAGCAATCCTCTGAAAAGAATGGAAGAAAACTTACATGATCCCTGAAACTCTGAGACTCTGGATCGTCCCAGTGTTCCTCTTGAAACCCACATCCCATGTCAGAAATTCCGGCTCTGTAATACTCCGGACCATGATCCCTGTCTCGTCTTGTATCCGGGACTTCGTTTGCGATAAAACTTTCACCACATCTTCTAGGATCTAAAAACTCAGGTGGCATCTTCTGTTCTTGACATAGCTCTCTCGGGCAAGGGTTTGTTGATGTGGCAAGATCATGAGTACTTGAGGTCGTCGGGGGAGAGAGACCTGGTACAGGAGGTTCAGGCTCCACGTCTCCTGCAGATTGAACACCATTGGGTGGCAAGTCTCCATTTGAAGGCAAAATTTCCCCACTAACTGACGTCCTTTGAGATGATACATCCTCATTATATATACTTGAGTTGGGAAGCCATGTAGCTTGTGGCAAAAACCTTCGGCTTTCATCCATTGGGAAAGCTGGTGGACCTGCAAAATGTGGCATAACAGGAGCTGGACCCCATGGTCCATAATGGACACCTTGCGGGTAACCATTTGGCATGTTTGGGGTCATCCCATGTAGAAGCTGGTGAGGAGGTCCTCCCAAGCCCATGTGTGCTGGCGGGCAGCCAGGATAGGTCGTACCTGGTAAAGGAACACCTCCGTGTGGTGGTCCTGGATTCGTGAGAGGAACTTGTTGGGGGCCTAGATGGAGAGGTACTGGTCCAGTGGGGATCATCAAAGGACCATTCATCTGCATGGCAGGTGGAACAGACAAAGGACCAGGAGCATGAGGTTGTGCAGGGATTCCATATCCTGGCTCAGGTCTTCGTTGTGGAACACCGGGAGTACAGCCTGGGTGCAGTTGTGGTTGACCAGATGTAACACCGAACGGCAACCTCGCAGGATCTTGGCCACCAGAAGTGGACGTTGAGGGCCAACTTGGTGGTGCCCCAGGATAAGTAGATTGCCAAGCATGCTGCGGTGGTATGTTAGTGGGCTGACCTGAAGATGTACCTAACATCTCCTCAGAGCCCTGCTTACCAACAGGAGCTTCGTATCGATATGGTACACCTCTATTAACATTTTCATGATTTGGCCCAAACTGTCTTTGTTTCTTACTAATCTCTCTGCTTGATCCTTGGAACTGAGGCTGTGCTGATGCTGCTTGCGTTTGAGGTGCTGAAGGGACAGAAGTTTGTCTACTTGGAAGACTTGAATCAGCAACTGGCACATCAGCAGCACTTGCAGCAACGATAGGCTCATAAGTGCCCTTCTCTACCTTGGCAGGAGCATCCCATCGAGAAACTCGTTTGCGTTTCACCTTTTCATCCTTCCCTGTCTCAGTGTGAGGACCATTCTGCATTGACACCTCACCTTGAGCAGGTTTAAGAGCCGTGCTTTCATCTGTAGGAAGTGTGCCAACTTTAGATTGAGTTGAGAAAGTAATTCCTTGAGATCCATTCGACGCTGATGAGCCGCTGACAACCTTCGATGCTTCCGCCCCTTTCAAAGCCACCGAGGTCGGACTCTGCTTTTGTGGGGATGAAAACTGACTACTATCAAGCTGCATTTGGCTTGAAGACAGCATTCGAGCGGGCGAACCGGACTTGAGATATAGTTGTGGGGACTTTTCAGGTCCTTTGTTCTGTTGCTCATAAATCTGTGGTCGTGGAGGTATCCATCTATTTCTGAACCGACGAGCCATGTGACACACCTGCAATCAATGTTCAAGATCAAGATGACTGTCAGATTAACATTGATGGTTTGAGCTAGGAGAACTGCTTGAAAAGAATGAATGAATGAAAGGTCACGTTTAAAAGAAAAAGAGAAAAGGAACTCCTTTTTTAATACAAGAGCCTTAATAATGTGACAGAGCATACCTCTGGATCTCTGTGACGAGTCAATTCAAAGAGAGACTCGGAAAAGCTGCAAAAGAAACAACGACAACATCTTAGAAATATCCTGCAAGGGAATTACCAGAACGTTGGACAGATGACAAAGAAATCATATATACTTAAACCATTATGACAAGCATGGATATGATAAGCTCTATGTAACAATAACACAAGAAACACAACTTTTACCCTGGCCCTTGTTAAACTGACCTCTCCATTCCCTGACAAGGTGGAGCCGAGTTGATCATGTTCTCCGTCAGAACACGCACACGATCTGAAGCGAGCAGCTCGAGAACCTGAAAGCAAATGTTAACAAGTTTGTGAATATCAACATATCTTCATGCACAAACCATACTTTTATTTGTAAGAACAGTTGATAAAGCTGCTATTGTCTGAGCCAATCGCAGTACTGTACTTTAAATCATGTTTTTTGTTGTTTAAGAATTTTTTTTAAGTCCTTTCATTTCTAAGTTTGACGTTTCATCAAGCTAGTACGCCAGTAAACAAGAAGTATCGTTGACCGGCGTGGTTAAGCAAAAATGACTTAGACAAAGGAAGGTTCATAGAGTAAGGTTCGTTAAAGAATGCCAAGTTTTTATTGAGGTTGTATTTCTCAATGTTTGTTGGATGTTTTGAAAACAAAACTGGCTTCGGAAGACAGTAAAAGAAAGCAAAACATTAACAGAGATCCTCATAATCCAAATTGTTTTTCGTAACCAGCAGGTCGGTGGTGACGAAAGAAACTACTCTTCACGTGGACACACAACATAGTTTCTACCACTCGTACCATGACTACCACTCGATTCAACAGTCCAAAACAGACAACCATAAAGAACTCAGAGAAGCATAATATCTATCGTCCTAAGGAAGCAATGAGTTTCTATCGCTGTTGATGGATTTAAGTGGAATAAAAGTAATCCACCAAACATTTCATAACATATGGGCCATGAAGGAAAACGAATGGATAAACATCATGTCATTCCTAAGTTTTGATGAAATAGATCATTATTTGATATATTTATCAAATAATGATAACGAACATAACAACCAACTGGAAATCAAGGCTCATACTGATCACACTAACCTTCATCAGTTTGCGAAGAATAGGTGTCTTATCCCATTGCTTTCGAAGTTGTTTAATAAAGTGATGAAGCATTCTCAATCCTGCATTTCAAATTCAAACCCCGCGACCCGATTTTGTTGTCAAAGGCATAGTATAGACACACTTGTAACAAAAATGAATGCAAGTGTCGTGATACACATCTTTCTCAAGGTATCAGAGTACTTTGCTAGAGATATTAATGTAAAAAAACGAAAAGAATGAATGATAGTATCATTGAGACAAATAGACCATAGAAATTCACAGAAAAGGATTTTCACGCCTTTGGTTCATGATCTCCTCAGACAATCTTCGGACACTTTGGGTTCTTGCGAGCTTTAAAGTACGAAGATTCATTCCGACACCTGCTCTACTACAATGCTGGGGTTTCTCAGGAACAACTGAGCAATATAACAAGTAAAGTTGTGTATTTATAGCGTAAGAGATAGATGACTGGACACTTTGTTTACAAAGGTGCTTAGCATATAACGAACCATTCATTTTCATTATGTCGGAAAGGACTGAACGTGATGATGTCCTCAGAAGAGCCTCCAATAACAAAGAAATGTCCCGAACACTGCACAAGCACGGTATGTGTCAACGCCATGAAAGTAGATTTAGAGAAAAGTACCCTCTAATCACAATGCTCGCTGAAAGCTGTTCAAGGTCTACAAAATAGATGGCTCACATCAATGACCCAAAAGGAATGATCCAACAAAGGATACGTAGCTGCATTTTAATATGAAACTATGAGGAGAAGTTTCACTAAAGATTCAGTATTCTTCTCTTTGGGTACGCTTTTCAACTAGAATTATCATGAATTTGGTATTTGTAGCCTAGCAAGCTCAGCCAGAAAGACATAATCTGCTACCCTTCATCTTAAAACTATCAATAACCAGGAGTCATAAAGTACTGTACCTGCAAGCTGCTGCATCCTTCTTGTTGTCTCCGGATGCATATTGTAAAACCAACAGCTTCAAGTACTGTGCAGCCACATCCTGGATTCACAACACAATTGGATAAGTTTAAATATGAGGTATAACAATCACGTAACCTCGTCGTATTTCATGTTATTGACGTTGAGTCTAAGTTGACTAACTATCAGATACAGTTCCAGGCTCACAAAGAATCTAGTCTACATGATCTTGGAAAAACAATTACGCAACATCAAACAAAGGAGCTAATTGCAATTATGCGCAGCCAACTATTAACTGACCGACTTAAGATGCCAAAAATGTACTAGATCCATCCCAGCAGATTAAGACCAAAATCTACAGTCTAGTCTACTAGTTCCATTCATGCAATGATTGTATGAGATTAGCATTATCTTGAGATGTCCACAATGTTCTCCCAAAACAAAAACAGATGATACATACCACTATATAAAGACCAATGAGATAAACAAACCTTTCTCTTCTTCAGACCACCTCTCTTGTCGAGCAGATCATCCAACTTTTCTTGTACTGTTCATAACAAAACAGAGAATCAAAGTTAGCAACCCAATTATTTTAGTAATGAAAAATGATTCAACCAATCCAGATCTCAACGGAGATGACTTTGATAGTTTTCAAGATCCCTGAATTTTCTAAAATCTGCAAGTTATGATATTCTATTATTATGGATTGCCTATTTTGGAAAGTTCAAAGCATAGAAGCACCACCTATGGATGATACATTTCGTAGGTCATAAAAAAGAAGTTTCAGAAAAAGGAGGGGGTGTAAGATAGAAGTCAAAGGTACTGAAAAACAATGAAATTGGACAAATCAAATCCTTCAAGAAAGCGGTAATGTACGAACCATCACTCGAAAGAGCGCGGGCTCCTTCATGCCGACCGACGTCGACTGTCAATCCCTTTGGATTTGATATACTACTCTTTCTTGAAGTACTACTGGTCTTGATACGCTTCACAGCAACCGGAACTTTATCTTTGACAGGCACCAACTTGCGTTTAATCCTGCTCGGTCGAGTTGAGGTGGTCTCACGATAAGCAAAATCATCTTTGATCTTTTTCAAAGGTGTCACTTTACTCTCGTCTACATGATTATCCTCCTCATCACTGTTAACGATCATGATGGGTTCAGGATCTTCATCATCTTCTGAATCGCTCTCAACTACAGCTCTGGGCGTCTCAGAATCAGCCCCAATAAATCCTCGACATTGTGAAGAACCACATTCACACTTCTTCGCCGATGCGCCTCGAACTCGCACATAGTTGTAGTCAAATGTGACTTCTTCACCCTGTTGACTTGTAAATAGATATATTTAGAATGAGTACACAAAAGAATGAGATACAAGAGATTATAGCTCAAACCTATGCCATGATATCGCCTCAGGAACAAGAATGAAGCTGAACTTTAGCAAGATTACTGACATCTTACCTCTGCTATGTCTCTGATGGCAAACAATCCGATACAAACTTCTCCGTTGACCATCCACTGAAATTCAGAAAATATAGTTTTCAATAAGAACTCTGAGTTTTAAGATGTGATTCAAGGATAGATTTTACTCCTTTGAATGATACAGGAAAAGTCAAGTGACTTTTCACGAACACATCTGCCAATATAATTAAGACTAATAAATGCACTCGTCGTTTAGCTATTACTACCTTCTCAGTCTTACAGTTCGGTTCGCAACTGTGATTGATAAACCTCCCGAAGTTACCTTTGGAACAAGCATCAATTACCTGTTTGAGATGCTCCACAATCAGTACAGTGAGTACATGCAAAACTCAAGGTTGTCCCCTATAAATCCTATTCCAACATAGATTATAAATGACAAAAATTTCATTCCTTTGGGCCTGTCAACTTCGGAAATCTTGCATTCAATACAGGACGGTAAAGATGGCAGTGGCTTCTTCTAATACATGTCATGCCAAGTCACTTTCACTCAACAAACAGGATGGGGTTTTATGTCGAAACAAAGAAGTAGAATAGGTGAACCTCCGTGCTGCTCAACGTCATAAAATAGAAATGCTTTTGGCCATTCCGAGCATAGTCTTGTTGTCGCTCTTCAAATGCACCGACATCTAGCACCTATCAAGCTCAAAAGAGAAAAACAATAAGACGTGTGATGAGAGGTTGTAAAACGTTGAACGTGGAATTTGATCTAAAACTTTATTGACTAAACTTTATTGATCTAAAAATTTGATCTAAACTTATGTTACGATCTAGACGGAAAACAATAACCATAATTCCTTGGAAAAGATCAACAAAGTCTCCCTTTAGTCACAAATCAACCGCGAGTCTCGAAAGAGAATACATCATGTTAGTCCTTGTTCAAAAGTAGAGATAAATTATCAAGAACGGTTGGTTGAAATAGTCCAGATTCACATAATACAAAGATTTAAAATCCTACATGTCGTAAGTCGCACATTAATTACACAAAGAAGGTTTACAAATGACAAAACGTACCTCCCCGACGTACTCGATGAGAAAAGAGTCCTTGGGGGTATATTTCAAAACTTTTAGCCCGAAGCCTTTCTTCCCACACCTAAAGGTTGCAACAGGTGCATACATCCTCTTTTGGAACTGCATCCATATGACCACAAAACCACATAAAAAGATACATCTTGTGTAATTTACAATAAATCCATAGACAAACAATAACATTTGCATCCCATAGATCATTATCTCTTGTAATAGGTTTTGGTTGATCTCGGCCCAAAAGAAAATAAGTGAGAATATATAGGATAGTTAGCGACATGACATACGAAGTATAATTATATGGTTTTCAAAATTCTTGGACAGAATTCGACACATATAATAACACAGGGAACAGATACGTTCAGAGAAAGACAGCAAACACTTACAAAATCTGACAACGAAAATTTATATATGTTAGTACAAAGCCACATTTGGTGTTGAGGATCCAACAAAAACTCATAAGTGTCTTTCCAAAATTTTCAGAATAAAATAAGAATATAGAGTTAATAGAGAACACTGTTTATAAGGAAATGAGTAGGCATAGCATTTGAGCAAAAAACCACAATGATACAGCGAGGATTCAATTAGAACATGCGTGGAAGTGATAAAATAGGAGGCAAACCTGCTGATTGGAGCAAGCCTCCCCACATGGACAATGCTCTTGGACACACTCGATATTGAGTACCCGGTTGAGACAATTATCTCCGCATCCAACACCGCCATCTTCTGGCGGCGTACACTGACAGACCATTATCTGGAGAAAGAAGAAATGAAGAGAGTTGAAAAATGTAGATTTCTATATTTTAAAACAACAACAAATTAATGCTATTTCTTTGATTCCTCCTTGTAGGCAAGGAGGTGATGCAGAAATAACATGTACATATGAACAGCTTCTATACTATTTGGTAATTACTAAAAGAGGAAATTAGAAAGACATGACTCTTTCTGTATGGCTGGACAAAATACACAGCAAAGCCACGTAGCCATTAACAGAGAACGATTAGGCAAGATTGAAGTATAGATGTTTTATATGTACAAACTAGTTACTTTCCTTCCACTTGATCCAACCTGGCCAAATGAATTTCAAAACAGAAGAAAACTTCATCAAGAAAAATCTTACCTCATCACTTCCTTGCGCCTTTGTCCGTCTATGGTGGAAGATGTTACGGCGAATCAACTTCCAGACAGCAGGTTTGTTATCTGAAAAAAAACAATATTCCCTATAAGATAATTCTCAACTCCTCAAGTCAAGAGTCAACAAACTCACCTGTGTGATAAGTTTGTCTTTTTCTGAATGCAAATACACATCGAAAGTAGACTGAAGTCTCACAATGTCCAAGGCCACAATTAGTGAGATATACACGTTTTCGGATTGTCCACAGGTTCTATAATCTATCAAAAGGTACCCTTCGCTACTCTACTTTATGTACGTACTACGATTTTGGACATCAAAAATCTTTGTAAAAGACCAGATAAATTTCAAACAGTAACATTCTTATACAAACACACCTCCACTTCCTGACCCAATCTCCATGAGCTTGGAATCAATCCCGTCCTTGTCATCCCCTTCCTCAGTCACTGAGACTTCTGATATTTGCAATTCTTCGTTGATCTCCGCATTTGACTTCTCCTGAGGAATTGAGCAATCGGCGTAGTCCGGATTTGGATTGTCTCGACAAGACCTCCAGACATGAAAGTAACAAAACCTTAGACACAAAGCCTAGCTTTCTGAAATGTCAAATGTTGCATTTGAAATACTTATGAACCATCCCTTTTGTTATCCACATACTGGCTGATCCTGTTACACGGCTCGTCAGAGACAATTCCTGGGTAGGCAGTGCGACCAAAAGGATTAGCATGATAGAATTATTACCATTTGGCGTTTGTGTCATCAATTTGGTCAGCCAGTTCAACAGGGATGCAGCGCCATTTATTGCAGTCATCACAAAGAACCCAACTTTTCCTAGGAATTCCTACATCGGCAACTCCCGCCTCAGTTCTTTCATTCTCATTGGCATCGCCCTCCGTGACTCCACTAGACATGTCTTCCCCAACTGCTCCAGTGTCTTCTGGGCTGTCAAAATTGTCAAGATCCTGGGAACTCTGCCCACAGATTATGTTCGAGGAATCCTTTACTTCTTCCCGTCCCCTTGCGGCATCTGCATCATCCAACGGTCTAGTCTCCACGCTTCCACCCACTTCATCGACGCCAGTAAACTTAAGACTTAATCCTTCTGAATGGGCCATATGACTTCCATTAACAGGGTTAACAAGCTCGTCTTGTGAACTTACGGCAGCTTTGTCACCAGTTTGATCCTTGATACTTGACAAAGCCTTAATCACCATACCCTTTGCCCTTGATGGACGATTAGACTCGGATTTTATCTTCGTCCCAGAAGCAGTCGCTTCCGAGCTAGAGACAATAGACTTTTTGGGTTTCTTTTGTACACTGTTAGCACAACGGGAAGACTTAGCTCCTCCTGCCAGAGAAGATTCTGCTGAGACTTTGGTTTTATCAGTGGCCAGCTCAACAGCAGAGGCCTTAACAGAATTACCCATCTTCCGTCTCTTCGAGACCTCAATATCAAGTCCTAGGGATGTGAAGTTTCCTTCCTCCTTGATAAATGCTTGTTCTCCATGCACATTTTCCAACTCTTCGTTGTGGGAAACAGATTCAACCGCATTCATTGCACATGCAACGAAAGTCACTTCTCCAACCTGCTTATTTACAGCCATCTCCTTAATAAAATCCGGACCATTTTTGTCACTTGCATCCAAGACTGATCCTCTTTTCTCTCTGCCCTTTGACTTCCTCTTACTCACCAAATTTACATCTTTCTCTGAGGACACACCAAGTCCAGTGGAGCCTAATATGTCTTTCTTCCTACCTCCTTTCTTCCCCTTCCTGCTCGTCTGAGTGCCCAACTGAGCTCCTTCCTGTTGATGAGTTGCTCGACGTTGTCTAGTCCTCGCCTTCCCACTCCCTGTTAATTCAGGTTGATTGGCTAAGTCACCCATTTCAGTCTTATCGGGATCTCCACAACCTCCACTACCAGGGAGACTAGTATCGGGAGCAAAGCCCTGGTTCATATCGCCAACCTCACCTTCCTTCTTGACTAAACTATCGCATGAAGTTGCAGAACCAACATCCTCCCTGAAATCCCTACAATTATCACCTTCCAAGTTTTCACCATCGTCCTTACGTGAAGGGTCTAATCCGCACTCCGCAACTCTATCCTGGCTTCCTCCAGCTCTTCTCAAATCAGCATCCTCATCGCAGCTGACACTATCAAGTTTTACTAATGATCGACTTCCCCTCATAGTTTTGTTACCTACTTTGGACACCTGCTCAGGTAAATCCACGCACGCAGACGAAGTGCAGGTCTCAGTGTTCCTGAGATCTTCATCGTCTTTGATATCCAATCCACGCCCAAAGACTTGTGACCTTCTAACATCTCGGCTTCCACTCGTAATTTTTGCAGCGTGTTTTTTCCCCTTGGTATCCTGACAACTATCTTTCGTGTCACCTGTTATACTTGATGTGTTCTTATCATCTCCAATCAAAGAAATGTCTTTAACACCTGCACCTTCCTGTTTGCTTGGTAGCAGAGGTACCAGTTCAAGCTCACTCTTCAAATTCACCTTGTCCATGGAAGAAGCTCTTAAAACACATGAGGAATTTTTCTTCTTCTTTCGAAAAGAAACTTCAGAGGATTTGCGGTTAGCAGGAGACCCTTTAGATTTTCTAGCAAGATTTTCCGAATCTTCCAATACCTCGATGGTGGTCTCTTCTGGTGTTACAAATGATTCAGAATTCTCTTCTTCAATTTCAGAGTTCTGTTTCTCGACTAACTTCAGAACCGAAACTTCCTCTGACTTCTTACCTTTACTTGAAGAAGCCCGTTTCCGCCCTTTTGAATGTTTCGGCAATTTACCATTGGCAATCGCCGGCTGACCTACCTCCACCTTCTCTCCTATTTTTGCAGCGTGTCTATTACTTCGCCTCCTCCCCAAACTGTTCTCCATAACTGCGTCCATCTCCGTCTCCTGAGAATTCAAACTGCACACAGCATCTTGCAATCCACATTCGACACTGGGCAAAGGACACACAACTTTATCATAGTTCATCAACATTTCGGATCCGTCGAGATCTTCAGCCCGACTGCGTAATGGGCTAGACGGTAATATCTCCCTTAAATCAGCTTGTCCTTCCGCTAGAGCATCTGCACACCCCGCTTTACCCGGAGCTCGTGCCTTTGTCACCCTACCACCTGACTTTCCTTTGGGCTTTGACTTAGTTGGCTCTTCATCCACATGTACAACACCAAGCACAACATCAGCTACCTGTTGAACATCGTCCACAGCTTCGCCTGTAGCTGAACTCTTCCCCTCGCCCTTACCAGCCACTTCTGGACTTTGCTGACTGGAATCGTTGGCATTTCCCCAGCCTAGACGGCTCCTTGTAACGCTTCTCTTACCCGTCCTTTTGGCCGAGACATCTGCAATACCCCTTACCTCAGGAACCTTTGAATCCAGATTATCATCCTTCAATCCTGACCTGCCTGACACCTGGCTTCGAGTAATCCGCACATCGCTGGTACTGCCTGGACCCATAAATGGTTTCACAAACCCATCAGAAGCTGCAAAGCCGTCTCCTGATTCCCCAGCAGTGCCTTGCCCAGATGCCAGAGCACAAGCTCCCTGCAGTTCGAATGCTCGCTTTCCACGTCTGCCAGCGTTGGAATCCATCAGTAAAGCCCCAAGTTCCCTAGTTGCTCTCCCCCTTTTCCGCACGCGTTCTTTCGGAGAATTCGTGTTCAAAGTCTTGTCCTGTCCATCTAATGCTTCGTACGAGTCTGGAGCTTCACTAAGTTGCCCTAAGCTCGATGGCATTGCCTTATCCTCCCCCAACGTTCTGTCCCTTCCAAAGGCCATGGGGGAAACCCTCCCGGGACCGAAACCTTCTTGAGGTTGATTAAGACTATCCTCAGGCACGGGCACAGTTGAATTTCGACCATCCTCCAAGTTGGCATCTGCTAACCTCACTAAGGCTCCATCCTCGCCTCCTTCTTCTCCGGAGGAAGTTCCGTAATCTCGACCAATCCCTGAAAGAAGTGAAGACTCGTCCTTCACTCTGTCCACTTTGGATTCAAGGTTATCTAGAGTTACATCTGCTTTCCGGGGCAGAAGACCGAGGTTCGGCGGAAGAGATCCATCGTATGGTCCATCGAGGTCCTTTCCGCCAGTACTTATAAACGGGACCTCCTCGGAAATCCCGCCCCCAAGAACATAAATTTCATGACTGGCTCCAGCCCCCCTGTTCAGCGTTCCACCATAGCCAGATTGATGTACGCCCCGGAGTCCGGCATACTGACTTTCGTCCTCACCGTCGATATCTTCAAACAGAGAGCCCTCTTCGCCGCTTGAATCTCCATCCGTGTCGCCATCGCCCACCTCATTGTTCAAGTTGCCGTCTTTACCTATCCGAATTTGGTTCTGGATGCCAGATGCAACCTCCTCCATCTCTTCCTCGCTGGTCATCTCTTTGAACAGAGAAGCACTGACATCACTAGTTTCGTCCGCGTGTTCAACAGAAAGGGGTCGAGGAAGTGCATCGTCCTCGGGATTTTCTTCTCGAGGTGGCGAGAAATCCCCATAACCATTTCCAGCCATGTGACTAATCGGAGTTTCCGGGCCTATGCCTCTTACATTGAGCAGGAAGGCAACTCGCCTGTCGGATTTCTTCGCCAATCAGCAGTGACCATCGTCACACTGAGTGGCAACCTGTCTCCTCCCTCCCTCCCTCCCTCCCTCCTCTCTCGCTCCCTCTCTCTCCCTCTCTCTCCCTCGAATTTGAACGACTATCTTGCCGCAACGAGCGTCACAAAATTTGAGGCGGATCGTATGGGCCTGAAAGCGTGACCCTAGAGTGATCCTAGAGTACGAGAGTCGTCATCTCCGCAACACTCTCCCCAGTTGAGCACCTCGGGACGCACTCGACCCTAACCCCTCTTATTATGCGACCAGCAGCAACGACGTCGGAGGTACTTGGCTTCCGCGTCGACACCGAACCCGCCGAGCGCATCTCCTTCGCCATCCCTTTCCTTCGAACTACAAGCTTCACGGTAACCAGCTCAAAGAAATCCTCGCCCTAAACTGCATTCCCACTGACGTACAGAAAGCACACCCCTTCCAACCCCCGCAAAACTCTCCTCTTCGTCCAGTCGAGGGCGCCACGTAATCCCCCGCCTTCGCCGATTCCTCGTCCAAGACAAGCCTCTGTGCGCCGAGAAACCGATCTCTGCCACTGAATCCGCGTCCGAGGCCCGGCCTGCACCATCCCCTCCGAATTCAAGAATTTACGACTCCTCCCATGGCATTCCGCCGCGCAGAACGATGCCCGCGATCACTGCTTCGGCCATGCCCTCGCCTCACCTCGCTCCAACCGACGCTCCGCGCCTTCGCGTCCCCTGTCTGCGAAATCGAAGAATCCTCGTCGCCCCGTCTAGTCTCGTCGACTAATCTCCCAATTCACGAACCTAAATGCATCGTCCCCGTTCGCCCGCATCCGTCCTCCTCCTCATCCTCGTCCTCCTCCACCTCCTCCCCCGTCGTCGTTCCCTCACAAAGCTCCTGGCAGAATTCGCCGCGGGCCCATCAGCAGAGCGCAACCGGCCAAGTCACCAAGCCATCGCGAGCTGCTCGTTCGTCAGCACCAGACCGCAGGCAGCAGCAGCATCAATGGAAGCAGCAGCAGATGTCGAGTTCCCGAAGCCGAACGAACGCTCACGTACGCACCAATCGATCGTCGAAGGACGAGGACGACGAGAGGAGATGAAACCTCTGCTGCCACCGCCGCTCGCTGCTGTGTGCCCTGGCCCGGCCCGGTCGGTCGGTCGTCATGGCCCGAACGAGGCTCTCGAGAAGGAAACAAGTAACCTGCAAAGACTCTCTAGTCTCTAGTGCCCCAGTCGCTGTCGCTGTCCCGGTCTCTGTCCCACGGCAAGACAGGCAGGCTACTCCTACTCATCATCCCATCCCACCATTCGGCCCCTCATTCTCTCTCTCTCTCTCTCTCTCTCTCTCTCTCTCTCACATTCATTCATTCATGTCACATGCCGCATTAACAGCGGGACGCTGCTCTCGCTCGCGCTCGCGCGCCCCGCTTCCCATTTACCGTTGCTCTCGCTCTAGGAATCTACGATTCACACCATGGAACCTCTCCCCTGTCTTATTCGTCACCTTCGCCGGACGCACTCGCCGAGTGCCTCGGCCGGGTCCTCGCGGCCGACGCGTGTCCGCTCTCGGCCTCCTTTTCGGTCTGCCGACTTAAATAATGTTTCTGTACGAGACCCGCAGGCCTATCGCCGAGGCCATGGGGTTTTATACTGGCCCCCGGGGCGCCCTGGCCCTCGTCACGGCCTCACTGCGGCCTCGATGTCAACGGGTTCTGTTTTCTAGCACGTGAATTATTGGAATCTTCGTCTGCTGCGAATGATGCTCTCGCTCCGGCGACGTTTTTACATGCGGATAGATGGATAGCCCGCCGAGATTACCCGTCCCCCTCGACCCTGAGCCCCTGCCTTTTGCCGGCGCTTTTTTCGCGTCCATGGATCGACGGCCGTATGGACTCGCTCGCAGCTTCCTCCCATTTCTTAATGTCCGCCTCCCTTTTCTTCTGAAGCTCCGCATATACGGCTCTCAATCATGCTCCGAGGTTTTATGATCAGCCATACCGCTTGAGTTCGTACACGACACATCTGTTAACCTCATGCATGTGTGGTATGCAATGGTAGTCCGCTCTTGGCCTCAAAGAATATCTTTCCTTAAGGCCAAATGTGCGTTTATTACCTTTTATCGGAGTGGAGTAGATATTCTCATACGAGAAGTAAGTTATGGTAGCTTCACTGAAGTTGATCATACGATATGTTATATTTGTACGACCATATATTCCAGATAGTCAACCGATATAGACTGTAAATTATACAGGAATTGTTGGTTATTTCAGTAACCTTATTGTTCTAAATGGTGTTGTTTAAGAACGACTTCAAAAAAATTGTGAAAATAAATTAAAACTCAGGTCTTTGGTGTACTTACAATCTTCTACATGGAATCTCACCATTACACATACTGCAAGTAAATACACTTGTAAAGAGATCGTGATCAAATTTTTTACAATCTTCACCGTTATGTAGCGCTCCAAAACTACCCGTACTTTTACTCTACTTACCTTGACTACACTTCATGCTTACTTCTCCATACCTCTGCCATCAAAGACTATCTGTCTACGCATCTAGGGTCATACGGACTCGATAACATATGATGACCAAGGGATGCAATCTATTGGAATATCAGTCGGTTCTATTGCATCTCAAATGATGCAAATAACCAAATGTGATGTTAAAATAAAGGCAGAAAAAATTCTGTACGTTATTATATTGCAGCCATATATATTGCTCACTTTTAAAAACCACAGGACCATCAGTCATCAACATCACTGCATGTAATTTTGTTTATTTAAAGATTTGTGTAAACATAATCATGTAAACAGCAAATATGACATAGCCAGTATGAAATGAATCTATGACAACCTCTATTTTTTATTTTTTATTTTTTATATTTATTGATGTAAGAAAATGGTTTTGCATTTTACACTAGCCCCACATTTAGAAGCAGATTTCAATTCTTAACCTTTATCAAAAAATCCTTATAGTACGCTGACATCCTCGCAAGAAGCATCATGTAGATGTACAATATACTTGTGAATTGTTTAATTCGTATTTTCTTAAAGAGTACATAGCAAATACCTATACAACTTTACAATCGTGTAATTATTATGAGGTACAATTCAATCCGAGAGAGACTTAATTACATATGTAAATAAAAAGAAATAAGAAATTTTTCCACAAATTTTTTTTAAATCATCACTCAAGCCACTATCAGTTTTCAAATGATGAAGTTTTATCGCAAATAATATCAAAATATTTTCCGAGAAAAAAATATAAGATTAATTTAAATTATTATTAAAATAGTACGTGAGAGAAGTGTAAAACTATCTATTAAATTAATAAAGTCGTATAGATAAGAGCATGTTTCCAGAAAGTCATATGAATTTCCCGATAATATTTTCGATTATAGTATTGCGAATCCATAAGAAGTCGAAAATACAATTCAACAAGTTTTCTCTGTGATCTTGCACATGCTAATAATACATGCTGAAATAGCTCTCTTGATATTTATTTGATGCACTCATTTAATCTGATAAATATTCATTAACATCGCATATTTTAATCGATTTTAGACGGAATTTCAAGAAATCATGAAACCTGGTGAATATATTCCATACAACATCATTTTCTGATATTTTAAAATTATATTGCTCGAAAAATTGTCTGAATCAACGATCATATTATGCATATAATATGATCGTTGATCAACTATTACCTGATCAAGATAAGTGATTCGTATATTTAAAAGAAGCAAGAATCTACTACAATTTTACAGTATCTATTTGAAAATTAAATGCTTATTGACGAAAAAAATACTTTCGAAAATCAAATAATATAAAAGTAGACATATAATATTGGTTTGTGATAACTTTAACAACATTTGATAAAGAAAATTTATGTGGGAAATTATGTGACAAAATTTTCAAAATTATTTCCTGATAAATAAAATTAGAGTATTGAAATCCATTGAGATTTTAAATTTCAATAAAATTCAAAAGAATTTTTTAGATGTTAGTAAATAAAGAATTTAATAAATTATTTCCTTTTTCCGAATTATAATAGAAATTTATAAATAATTCAATAGTGAAAATTTTATAAGAATTTTGTTTAGAGATGATCCATGACGAGTCACACAATTTTCTGATAATTTCTCTAAGTCAATATTAGTTGGGGAGTCCTATTTTTTGTAGCTATTTTCGATTTTTCTAGTTGGTCAGTTTTTTTTCAGACAAACTAAGGGGAGATATTTGCTGAATACGTTGAGCTTTCTTTGTATACACTATCAAGTAACCTAGGTCGATCATAAATGTGGCATGCAACTTATGCAGGCATGGTAGTAATAGAGATTTGGAAGAAAAGTAAAATCCGGAGGTGTTTGATTTCGTTTTTTCTCCTTCGCTCTATTCGCATCTCCGAAGAAAAGCCTAAATAGGTTTGTTGGCTATTCAAAATCTACAATTTCATTTTCATTTTGATATCTTACATTTTATTTAACTTGGCCTGTATTTCTTCCTGTTGCACTTCGATCGGACTATGGTTCTACGGATTTAGTAATGAAATAACAAGCAAGACCATATGCCGAGTCTCAACTTTATCTACAGACGCAAACCGAATAGGGGATGGAATATGTTGCAACATGTTCAACATGATCGTACAATTCAAACATTTGTCGTCATTTAGCCAATTTAGTACGGGTTCGGAGTGTGATTGACTTACAATTCCGCATTGACTTCAACCTCCAGCCAAATCTCTCGTACAAGATTTTGCAATTTGCGTTGCTTACACACGAAAAATGTAGATGTGCCGATGACTTCATATTAGAGAGTCGTTTTCCAAGATCCATGTTAAAAGTTAATCTGTGAACGATTAGCCAAGCATTTGAGGACGGAAACGTAGCATTTCATGGACATAAACACGGAGGCTGGAAACATAACAACTTACAGAAAGGAAGAGGATACAGGTCTATGGTCCCGTTGAAAAAATCGGTCAGCATTTCTGGTTCTGGGAGTCCCGACATTAATTCCTAAAAACAGTCTCTTATCCAGAAGCATAGATTTTGCATCAGACGTAAAAATTTCTTTTGGAACGGAAGCACCAGAATCTATAAGAGAGAGAGAGAGAGAGAGGTGACAAAAGTAAGCGACGAACAAGTCGAACACCTCGAATCCGTACCGGAGTAATGATATTTGGCGACGACCCGACGCGACGCGACCCGAAGCGAAGACTCGAGAGAGATCGCGTGAGAGCGAATGTGTCAATGTGTCGTGTGCGGCAAGCAGGAATGCTCCTCCGGCAACGGAGAAGAACATCCGCGCGGTACAGTGGTCAACAGCGAGGACCCGTGGTCCGCCGCTGGGTCGTGATCGAAGGCGAGCGAGGGCAGAGAGACGAGACGGGACGAGAAGAGAAGCGCAAACAAAAACTTTAAAGGCGGAAAAACAAAAGACGAGATTCTTTGGGAAAGTGCTGAATCGAGGTCAAGAGGGGACCGGGGCCCGGCCCGGGAGGGGTGGGGAGGGTCACGGAAAAAGCGAGAGGCGTGACCGGACACGTGTCGGCGCCAGTGTTGGAGATCGGGAGTACGAAGGACGCCAAAGCCCGCGGGGTCCGAGGGAGGCGAGCAGGAGCAGGAGGCAGCAGCGGAGGAGCCTGCCCATGTTTCATTCGGGGAGGGAGAGAGAAATGAATACGCGGAGCACGCCCATGGAATTGACGAGCCCGGCCACGAACGAGGCCCTGTCCGAAAGCGCAGCGCAGGCGCAGGCCCCTTGCCCGTCCGATTCGCCTCTGCTCTCTTGCTGCCTCACCGTCCTGACCGGTGGCTCGGAGGTCGAGCAGCCCGCAGCGCTGGTCGGTTCGACCCGCAGATAGTTATAGACCACGACGCCCCGAAGAGGAAGAAGAAGAAGGAGAAGAAGGAGAAGAAGAGGACGAAGAAGAAGAAGGAAGAAGAAGGAAGAAGGAAGAAGGAGCAGAAGGAGCAGATTGCAACTTCTCCAACCGACTGGCTTTCTGTCGAGCCGGAAGGAGCCGAAGCTCTACCCGCCCGCGCGCCCGCGCGCCTGCCTGCCCGTTGCCAACTTTTCCCATCCTTCCCGGGAGAACGACGACGAGAGCAATTGCTCGAACCTGGACGAGCCTTTTCCACTTTCGGATCCTTGTGCTCGCATTGTGCTTGCGGGAGTGGGAGTCCGGGCCTGCACCGAGGGGAGAGTGCTTTTGGTGCGGGGTTGTCTGTTTCAGCTTGAATTGCTGGTTTCCTTGGATGCTTCCGCCTGGCTCCGCAGCAAGAGCGTTCTGCTCTGCTGCTGCTGCTGCTGAGTCGTCGTCGTCGTCGTCGTCTGCCTTTGCCGGTGTCTGTACGGTTCGGTTACAGAATTCTGTGTGGGAAGAAGTGGAGACTCGAGAGGAAGTCTGGGTTAGCCGTGCCGTCGGCCACCGTATGTAGGCATGGCTAATGCTGGCGATGAGGAGGTGAAGACGCTGTTTCTCTCGGGGCTGCCTGATGATATAAAGGAAAGGGAGATTTACAACCTGTTTCGCATTCATAAGGGCTATGAATCCTGCCAGCTCAAATATTCGGGTCGTGGTTATCAGGTGCTGTTTGGTTCTTTGTTTCCTTTGGAGATCAGTCGCTACTTTTTTCGCACGGACTTATGTTCGTCCTTTTTTTTTTTTCCAATTTTTTACAGATGAGTTGTTTTTCTGGATTCTGTATACGAGTCGCCTATTTAATTCTCAGGCTATCATTTCGCGTAGTGCCTGCCTGGAAATTTTCCCAAGTGGTACGAAGGGCATGCGCTCATGCAGGGAATCTCATAGTAAATCTTAATTTCATCTATGAAAACCACAGTAGCGAAGACTGAAATGAATTCTACGATGTACGGACCCTCCCACTTGTAAACTCCCACAGCAAGAGCTGCCGAAGCCCTTAAGCATCAATTTGTGCACAAGTTCCAGAACCAGATATCTCCTTGTTTCCTTCAGTGTATTCAATAAAGGTAAGCCGATTAAGATACCGTCGTTGAGGCCATTTGTAATGGATCTTCTACATGCCTTGTTTTTTTAATCTCTTCAGATATGAATATAGTTCTTTTGGAGGTTTTAGATCTAAGAGAGAAAGCGATGAGCATGATTGCTACAAACCAGTTCAGAGCACCGCAATCAAACCCCCCTTGTATTTGTAATCAGTTCTAAAGGTGCGAGAAGGAGGTGTTTGACAAAAGGAGAAACGCCAGAACCAAATTCCGAGTTTATATGTTTTCTGCCGAAAGAGCCGCGTTCTTAATGTTGATCTTAGCTGCACATTTGATTGAGTCCTCTCCTATTGAATATTATTGTATAATATCTTCATATTATTGTATCTGAAGATACTTTCGAGGCATCAAATTTTACAGCTTGCAACTATCAGATTATCGCAATCTGTCTAATTTTAGTGCGTCTGCTGATTCCATTCCTCGATAATTTTCTACTTATTTGAAGGTGTTACAGATCGTTCATGATTTTGCTTGCAAAATCACCAACAGATTGAGCTTCTCATCTTTGTAAACTATGACATTCCTCTAGCATCTAGGTTGCCTAAGCTAACCCACGTCGATGTAATTTTGCAGATAGTGGCCTTTGCTGTTTTTACTGATCAACAGTCGGCTTTGGCAGCAAAAGAAGCTTTGAATGTAAGCGCTTCTGGACATTTCTTTGAGCCAAATTTTTTTTTCCTTTCTATTTGACTTGATGTTGCTATCGTTGCAGATGGGTTTCTTTGAGGTTGCCTGCTAGAGTGCAATAGTTTCTCGTGATTCAAGAGGCACGATCTTTCGTAAAATTGTCAATAGCTTTGTGATTACTTTTGTTCTTTGAGACCAAAATGCACCAAACTTCATCGTTTAAGAAATGTCGGAAAAGTCTTTGCCCGTTGCAACTGGAGTTCATTTGACTGATTCTTCTATCTCATCACCTTCCCTGTATTTGATCAGGTAAACGGACCGACTTAAGTTCGTTAAAAACAGTCATTGCGAGGAATAATGCTTGATTGTATCATAACTTCTATATGTTACAAAACATCAATTATGAAACACAGGAGATTACAGGAGAAACACAATTATGACACTAATATTTGCGACTTGCGCTCAACTCCTGTACAATCTTTGAATGTCTTTGACAACTATTTGATACGATATTTGTTCCATGCAGGGGCTTAAATTTGATCCTCAGACCGGGGCAACATTACACATTGAACTGGCGAGAGCAAATTCACGGACAAAGAGATCCCGCTCAGGTTTCTTTCCAGAGCTCAAACCTCCCGTATACTCCAATATGAATTCGATAGCATCATTTTAGATCAATAGTCGAGAATGAAAACGTCATCCTTGGAATTCAAGTGAAAACCAGGAATCAGTGTGACTATTCCGCTTAAATTTTATTCTACTGGAAGTGTTGCTTGAAACTTTTCCAAAAAATGTTCGTGCCGAAGTATTTCTATTTAAGATTGAGAATTGTTTTCTATGTAGAGGATAGTGGTCTCGGGGCGCTGGAGAAGAAATATAGGGGTCCCGTGGGGACCCCAGGAGCTTATCCTGATCCAGGTATCAAGTCTTTCTGCTGTAGGTGTTCATGCGTAGGTCGAAGTTTATGTTGAAGAGAATAATCCAACTTATACAAAGTTGCTAACGGACGAAAATAACGAAGCTGTGCCGCAAAGATATATAGTAGAGACCCAGTACGTCAAGATGTGAAATTAGTTACCAAAAAGCAGGAGTTTTTCAAATTGAGTTTGTTCTTGCATTTTCTTACGTTTTTTATGCAAGAAAATTAACTTGTTAATTTCCCTTATGTGGTTTTATTCATCTGCCTCAAGATTAATACGCATGTAACGAAGTTGGCTAGTTTTTGGCACAATCAGCGTTGCTCACCACACTGTCACATAATTTGATATGGCTCACATTGCACTCTATGTTTGGCACGTCTGGTTTGCACACTCACAGGGGTTGCCGGCACTGTGCACTTGCCTGGGATGGTGCACTCGGTGTACAACGACATGAGTGGGTTTCCACCCCCACAGAGGTCAACACAGCACTTCACCTTGTAGCGCCAACGTAGGCTTCAAGATTAGGCACTTATAATAAAGTATCCCACCTTGTGCATACCACCATCTGCTCCGACTTCTGCTCCTGATTCATTTCTCTAGCCTGGCTGTGCGAAGTCCATTAAGCTAATTTGTTCTATCCATTTTCAGCGGTGGTATGGTTGGACCACCCCTTTACACTGGACAAGAAGGTCTCTCAAGCATGATGTTGGTGAGTGGAATTATTTTTTCTTTTATGAGAATCTGTGTGCCCTCAATCTGTTTGTCAGCGAACAAGGGATGCTCTACGTAACTGGACATATCTCATGCTTTTACTGGCAAGATACATAGAATAATCGCATCCAAATCTCCTACTTTAATCTGTAAGATCAATCGAAGTTTTGAAAATTCAAAGTTTACTGTATTCTGCGCCAGCGATTTAGGGTCGAGTCTAAGAAACGGCTTACAGTTCCCCTGTGATAGTGAGGGTTTCATCTTGAAGGTTTGGGGATTCTCTAATACCTAGTCACGTTTACTCTGTCAGGGACCTTCGTTGATACCCCCTCCTCCAGCACCAGGGAGTAACCCTCCATGCTCAACTCTGTTTATAGCCAACCTGGGCCAAACGTGCACCGAGGAAGAATTGATTCAAGTGCTGTCAAGGTGATCTCCTATAGAAGATCTCTTCCGTATCTAGAGCTGAACCATGGTCTCTGCAAAGTGTCAAGAAAGTAAAGCTTTCTTTATATTTTCAACTGGCCTCCTGTTAGTTCATGCGTTTTACAGACTCCCTGTGAGTTTTCCTGAACTGGCCAGAAGTCTCGAACTTCTTCATGTTTTCCTTCTGTCGACCACAATGAGGTCCGTTTTGTACTGAAAAGTTAGAGGATTCTCCGTTCAACATGGGTAGTCCATCTGCTTTAAGTCTACAGGTTAAGTATCTGGGGTTTATATCGATCAGAGAAGCGTCAAATGCAACTTGATTTCGAGGATGTAATCTGGGTTGTGCTCATTGCACTGAAGATTTCTCCTTGCCTGTGTGTTCGTTCATTCACTCGAGCACTTTAAAATCCATTCTGCATCAAGTAAAGTAGATTCCGTCTAATGCTATCTTACGAGACCTCCGCCTGTTCTTGAGCCTATTCCGTCTTTCTTGTTACCTCTTGTTTATGTGATCCTTGGGTGTCTGAATTGGGAATTCACATATTTTGTACTTGTCGGAAAGATAACACACAAAAACCAGTGTCGTGGTGGATTTCCCACAGTAAAGAAGAAATTTTAAATTTTACTTCTAAGACGTAACATCTAAACGAACCAGAAGCACCACAAAGAACTTTGAAACGGTATTAGTTGAGTCCACATGGTAACTGGGACTATTGTCTCCTTTTTCTTACCATCCTTCAGCCTGAGGTAGTTGTTGAGCAGTATTGCACAACTTTCCAGCCTTTTACGGCACTCTCTTTACTCGATGGTGAGGTTGACGTACAGTTATAACAAAGGGGTTCAAAACTTTGCAAACGTTTATCATGTCTACAGTAGGCGTGCATTGAATTTGGCTAAAAGGAGAGTGCTTGCGTTCGGAATAGTCTAGAGCTTTCTTGGTGGGGTCTACGCTTTCCACAGTACATGCGGGAAGTGGGAAGTGAGTTTAGTACAGTGACATAGGTTAAGCTACCACTACATGACAGAAAGCACAGTGCCGGTGACCAATAGTTAAAATCTTCCCGCTTCTTGTATATTCCTGAGATAGTAATCAAAGCTTCTGGTGTTCATCTCTGCTGAATCCCATTGCATCAGATAGGGCTGAGACTCTCCGTTATGCTTTCAGATTCCCAGGTTATCGGAAGATAAAAATGCAGATTAAAGGCGGTCTCCCGGTCGCGTTTGTCGAGTTTCAGGTACGCCTTTCTGAATGTCAGTATTTGAAATCGTGTCAATGGCATTCTTCGTGATTGGTCTTTACCTACCAGGAATTTCCATTTTCCAGTTTGCTCAGTTGTTGCTCACCTAAAAGGCTGCCGACTGCGCACACGATATATCATAATGCTTCTATCTCAATGTCGTCACTCCATGACAGGACGTAATGTGCTCCACCCAAGCACTTTCTCAGCTTCAAAATTCAATGCTCGCGTCATCGGACAGAGGTGGAATGCGACTCGAGTATCCACAAGAGATCTGCATGTCTGTTTGACTGTCTTTGTTATACATTTCATTGCTCATCTGTCTTCTGTTGTGCGGTTTGTCCTTGACTCGTACCAGATATGCTAAAGCAAAAATGGGACAACCTAGAAGAGAAAGATTATCATCGACTCACCTATGAAAGTGGTTTGCTTTCAACTGACGATATTGCGATTGTGGGAGAAGATCCAGGACTGACAGAAGAATAATCAAACATGAAGAATCATGTTCTGCAAGATCACCACTCTCTAACTAGATAGGAAGATGGCAAAGACCAAGGGTGAAGGAAAAAGCTACATTTTTCCGGACGGTCAATATGTTTGATTCTCACGAAGCTACTCCATCATCATGCCTGCAGGGCAGCTGACAAATATAGTATCTATATGCCTACACTGATTTAGTTATCTGGTCATTAGAAAGCAAGTTTGCCAATCAAATTATGTGAATTTGGCCGCACTGCACATGGTATATTAAGACATGGTCATGACTCTCCTCTCTGTGCTGGTGTGAGATGCATGAAACAATTGCTGTAGACACTAAGATCAATACCTGAGTAAAATTGTGGCAATAAAAAGTGGTCGCGTTGAGTTCAGCATGATTCACATGTGCAAAATTAGTAAGTCTTTCAACCTTTCCATCTCAACCGAGTTAGCCAAGCAGAAAAGAGAGAAATAAGTGTTGTTTATTTATTATATTTATTTATTTATATTTATTTCTTATATTTATTAAGAAACAACTATGAGATGAGTTACAATGTCGAACAAATATTTATTCAGTACCAGCTGTTTGTCACATTTACAAGAAGAGGTTTTCAATTCCTGGTCACATCAGTCTTGGTGGGGCATACGAATTATACGACTGCAGCAAGGGGTGGAAATTGCCATGTGCGTTGAAGGATTGGTGTCATTTAGGCTGTTCTGAGTGTCAAAACCACCAAGGGATATGGACCACTGAAATTGTTAATTCTGGGTTCTGAAAGAGTCTGGGTCAGACTTGGCCTCGAAATCTCGGAGTCATCTGGCAGAAGCTGATGATTCCACCATTCCACTTTGCACCAACTCATCGAGCCCTTTTTTAAGCCTTGCTGCTGCAGATCTACAGTTCGGCTCATCCAGGCCTCCGTATGATACTCTAATATAACCAGGTACCCCACTAGCACTGCCCGGTATCACACTAACGCCATGTCTATGTACAAGCCAATGCGTCACGGCTACGTCATCTGTTGCTCTTTCTGGCAACTTTGCCCACATGTATATAGCACCTTCGCCTCCTTTGACAGAGCTTCGTCCAAGAGGACTCAGAGCATCAAAAATAATTTCCCGATTTACCACCAGCTTGCCTACCTTTTCGCGCACCCAGTCTGGACCTACGTCCAGAGCTGCAAGCGCGAGCTTCTGTCCAATGATTGATGGACAAATAGGAATGTTGTCTTGAACCTTTAATAACTGTGCACCGAGGCCTTCTACCGATGATGGGTATGCGATCTGCCCATAGCAAGTTTAAGACTGAATCAGAAGTGCATTTCTTCCTTTCGTTTGCTCTGGCGAACAAATTTCGATTGCAAAAGAAATGAGACTTTAATATGAATTGTTAGGACCCGAACCATGGAGAGGAGGAGAGTTACGCAAACACTTACATAGCCTATCCTCCAACCCATCATGCCATGGGCTTTTGAGAAAGAGAACACATTCAGTATATGGTCGCCCTCCTCGCAAGTGTGCTGTCTCCCATCGTACATGAAATACCTGTACGTGGTAGTGATGAATTTCGCACAACAATTACATTCGAAAATGGTAAATGGTAAAAGGTAAAAGGTAAATAGATCAAGCCTGTGGGACCCAAAGGGTCAAAAGGCTGAAAAACACATTACAAGTCATTCATTCACTGACCAAGAAAAAGACCCTAAAGACCTTCTCCTAGCTACTGCCTAGAGCACTTGAGCGATGAATAATGACATCCCTAATAGAACAACCTAAATCGTAAGTCACTGGCTGTAGTGAAGCTGTGGTAAAGAATAAAAATTTTCCACAACTATTAGAATAAATGAAAGAGACTCTGCATATCCTGTCATGAACTCTGCATATCAAAACAAAATATATTTATAAGTATTGGAAATACGAGATATGCAGAAAACTGACTTCGATACTCGGGTAAACTTACTCATATGTGTTATCGACGATCAGCCAAGATCCTGCTTGTCGACAAAGCTCTGATATTCTCTGGTATGTAACAGGAAAAGCGTATGAGACATCCTCCCATGCATGATGGAGTTTAACTGGTTCGAAATGCGCAGATTTTGTTTCTAGACTGTATCAAAGTATACGATGATGAATTTCAGAATCCAATAAACTTCTGAACTGCTGAAAACTTTAAGGAGCGAATAGTATCCACCCCACCAAAGATACACTTATCTTCCGTTCCTGTCCAGGACGGATTTAGTGAGTAAAACAAAAACTATATCTGAGGGTCGTGATGCTAATCCAACATCAGAAGGTTGAGTAGGAAGGCGTCAATCCTCAGATATCCAATGAATTTCGATCACTCAAGTTTCATAAACACACCTTAAGAAGTGGTTGTGGTACATATGTTCCAGAAGGGTTACCAGGATTCACAACGTAAACAAGTTTGGGCACAGATTTCCCATTTTTTCCCTGCAGAGTTTCCTCGAGCCAGTCTGCATCGACCAAAGGAGCTATTAGTCCCCTCAGCAGATGTGCCCTGTACATTTAATGTCCAAAGGGAGACTGTCCTAGTGTCATTCGACCGATTCGGAGCGAAATTATCCACTTCGCTACTCGAGTTATATGTAAACAGTGGATCATATATATTCAACCATGGAAGAGGACATTTGACAGAATAGAAGTAATTGTCAATCCAAAATACCTGCGTCAGGGTGAAGATTTTCAGCATCACTCGGACCGAGTCGAATGTCAGTGACTCCGGTCATTTGACAGGCCATATAAGCATTGAAGTAATAAGGCACAAACATCACAACTGAATCTTCCGGGTCACAAAGTGTCAACACCAGATTCACCAATGCCTGCACTAAGGAGATTAAATAAGAACATACTTCACTGATCTTATTGTTATCATTAACCGTTCCATCGCTCTATGTGACTCTTTGCTGCAATTTTCTGGATGATATTTGAACGGCATTCATTTTCCATTCTTTGTGTCGAGCAGTCATCAGATTCAAAGGCATCTCCCTTGCATGACAGGGCTCATCTCGGAGCTTTAAAATCTCTATATTTCACGGGAGGGAGAAAAATAAAGATACCTGATTGGCCCCTGCTGTCACCATTACATCTGACTTGTAAAGCTTATTCTCCCGCCCCAGCTGCGAGAAAATTGAACAAGTAGATGTGAGGATGGACACAACAAGAAGCTCATCGGCACGGTGACAATGGAAGGGGTTGCTGGATTTCTGGTTGAGCTCGTAAAAGACCTTAGCTAAAGCTCAACGTATCTACATATTCGCATGAAGAAGGGGCGTCACCTTTTCGACCAGAGCGGATCTGAGTTCCGGTAGCCCATCATCTGCTCCATATTTGCTGCAGATGGGTTCTTCGATAGCCTCTTTAATGACTGCCAAAGCTTTCGGTGGTGGTTTCCAAAACACTACACCCTAAAATCCAGAGCACCTAATAAGAGTCCAGATCATTGCAAGCAAAAGTGGAAAATAATTCGTCCCTGTAAGTCTGAGATATCCTTCAGGTCGTCAATAATGCAACCTCACTATCCACTGAAAGTAACATAACCTGCACAAAGTTCCAGGGATCGTAATGGAAGTAACTCTCAAACTCTTCTCGAATTTACAGAACTTCTGCGATCACGTTCACCGACAAACTAAGCTGCGCAGATCATCTGCAGCTGCCACAGAGAGCAAAGATTTTGATTTGCGTGTGTTTGTGTGTGTGTGCGCGTGCGGGGTTTCAAAATACTCGGGAGTACCTGTGCCAAGGACATCACATCCGTCGTGCCCCGGAGGAGTTGTTGCATCTACAGACATGAATTCCGTCAGTTCAGAACACGTTGGCATAACATCGGAAATTTCAAGATCCCCTGCTCTGAATCTAGGTTGGCAGATTTCTGAGGCAAGAAACCGGCTGTGATCTGTTCGATGTCCAGACAACATGTCGACCGACCTCATTCCAGAGCCGCCACCAAGAGTGCAAGTGAGGACGGGGTCCACAATTGGACGCCATCGGGGATAGGCAAGAAATCAAACAGGGAGTCAGTTTTCGAACGGGCAATTCGGAACAGCTTTGCAAGGCGATCGTGTACCTGCACCATGACGGGAGTGTCCGTAGCCAGCACGCGTCGGGACAACATTCTGTGCATCTTAACTCGACACGGACCTCTGTACCCCTCGCCCAATCCTTCGTCGTCGATGCGAGTCCGAATCGGTCGTCGGCTCCAGCACCCGAATCGCAGAATTCCGGGCAATTCTGTCTCTCCGGAAAGCGTTGCGAGAGCTCGATCTCTCTGATCCGGGCTCACGCGCATCGACCCAACAATCGCTCACTCGGCCACTCGATCACTCCATCACTCTTTCGGTCGCTGACAAAAACCATCCCGCCCCAACCAACCAACCCAACCCAGGAAGTGAGTCCGCAGCGGACGAGCTCCCGACGAGTGCAGTCAGTCAGTCAACTAGTCAACAAGACCTGAGGGCTTTGAATAGCCGGCGGTCAGGCCTTCCACCAAACTCCGAGGCCGGACGGGGACGAGGAGCGGACTCCCTCCCTCGCTCTCCCGCTGCTCAGAGCAAACGGTTTGCCGGACCACAGGCGGCAGGAGCGGTGGCTTGTGCCACAAGACAAGCCGTCAGTCCGTCAGGGCGTCGCGCCGTCGCGGTCGTCGACGTCGCCGTCGTCGGCGCCGCTCCGGCGGGATGGACGGAGCGACCGATCGGATCGGCCGCTCCTCCTCCTCTGAAAACGGAAGGAAGTGGGCGGAGCATCGCGCGCTTTGCATTGGTCAACCCTCTGGTCAAAAGCGATCTTGTCGTCAGAACTGTCAGACCGGCAGAGCCGGTCCCACTTCCCCCGAAACCGGGGACAGTCCACGGTCCCCTCGGACCCGCTGGCCTTTCTGCCATCTCCTCTGCAGCTTTTCCCGGCCCTGCGGAGGCTTACCGGCACGCGACCTCCGTTTGTTGATCGACGACTTCTCAGCTGCCGGATACAGCTCAACGCATATAGATCATACAGATATGAAACGCCAAGGTAACATGGGGCTAGCCCACGGAATCACGTTTGGGCAGATGCATTATTGCACTATATATATACAAATATCTAAGAGAATCATATGTATATATATATTGAAATTACATGACATCAGTATAATATCAAAAATATTAATATTTTTTTTTGAGATTGTTCATATTTTTTATATCATATTGCATTTTATAGAATGTGGTCAGGAATGCTAACAAAGTGAGTGGGAAAATAATTATTGCCAGAACATAGTGTACACAAATTAATGCATCCTTCACATACATATTTATCGGTATTGCTTTTGATTACTGTAACTAGCTTAAGTTTTATTAATTTATTGACATATGGAATATACTTTATCAGAGGTCACCGTTTCATTTTGTATCTTCCGGGCCTTTCTTTACCTTTCATTTTCACATGGGGCCTAGCCCCATCCTATCTCTCGGTTTCATTTACACACTAGTTGATGGGGTGTTTCATAATATCATCGTTTTTTCTTAAAATTAGGTGTCTTTTGTAACAAGCTCTCAACTTGCCTTACCTATGCGATACAAGTTATTTAAATTTCCATTGATCTCATTCTGAAGTACGTTCTATTTCAACATACTAATTTATGAACACTATTCTAAGTCTGTCATGTTAACTAGTCTATTTCCTAAACTCACTGTTGGCGCTAGCTAAAACATAAATTTTTTTGGCAACTGTCTCCAGTATAGCTTAAATCACACGTTTCTTTCTTGGATGCACCTTTGACTTCGTTTGAGCTGTAGTTTGAAGGATGGGGGCTATCACATCCTAAAAGCAAATTCGGTGGCCCATTCCTGTTCAAGTTCGTACCGTGAAGAGTTTTGTGGACAAGTACGATTCTAGTCAGCATCTAGGTGCATGACGTGGACGCAACTCAGATTGCGCATGTTTCAGTGGTGCTGGCCTTTTCTAATTTAGATATGAAAGCGCAAATTGCATACATGCTTCCTGTTTACGCATTTGAAGTTGAATGTACTTAGCAATGTATGGATAAAATTTATTTATACACCTCAAGTGATATAAGAAGCACTTTTATCGCTTTCTTCGAAACTCTCAATTACACAGAAGCTGTGGCATTACTTGCAAGGCCTTGATTTCAGGTTATCATTGGAGAGAATATATAATACAAAATACACAAAAGGCAACCAGGTTATGTTATAACAATTCTCTTAAATTCTATCAGATGCATGTTTGGTTCCTTAGAACCTTCGGGACATCTGAGAATATTTCTCAGTTTAAACGCATGGACCTTACACATAATTAACGTATCATGATGCGTCTCATGCATCATCCTGATAAAAGAAATCGTGACATTTAACAAAGTATTATTTAAAAAACGTTGTATCTCCTTTGACAACGTGACTATGATCATACACTAGAAATAGAGGAGCGCAATCCAAATCACAATGTGAATGGGAAGATCTTATCTTGGGTTCGTGAGGCCCAGTCAAAACCTTTTGAAACCTTTTTCATTTGGATTTATCACTTCATTTGATGTGATAGTGTAGAGCCCATGATATCATAGCATATCATCATATCATGATAGCACTTTGACCCTGGTCAAAGTGCTTGTCGCGTTCAAAAATGATTTTGAACCAAAATACTGGCGGTAGCAACACAAATCTTGATTGGAAGACCATGTCCGGTTCAGACCACCCAGGCGACTCTTGATGGTCCAGTAAACATTTCAGTGCACTATCTGACGACCTCACAGCATCAGTCAAAGTTCCCAGTGTTGGTTATATCTACCCTTGTCTGAGCCTACTACTCCAGGAATGATCTCACGAGTCTGATGACATTTTTCAGAACCTCATCTATGATGGACTTCGTCACTTCTTTACTTGATGGTGATAACCAAGACTACCGTTTGACCGTTAATTAAGGCTTCTGGGTACATGTACTGTACTGTACGTCAAAGGATTTGAAGGAAATAATATTATTGCCATTGCATTGTGAATGATAGAATCGCTTGAATTTGACTCAGTTAATATATATCACGGAACTGAAATAGTTGCCGATACCAGCATATCTGACGAAATTATCAAGGAATCATCCTGGAATATGAGGAACATGCACGGGGATTACACCACGTGGTGGGTACGTGCAAGTAAGTGACTTAATTTACAAATTTACTGATATACAAACAACACTTAAATAATGACATTTGGTTTTCGCCACGCTTACATCGCTATCAATTGACATGTAATTCACGTATATAACTAAAAGGATAAATTTGAGACCACACATACTAACGCAATTTAGATGAGTAATGTACTGTCGCTCGAAAGAAAATTTCAGATCCAGCTTTAACTAGTATGATATTCGCACAACTCCGAATGTATGATTCAGATTAAGAATTAAGCACAACCAAAGATAAGTATCACAACCTAACTTGCACATCCTCTATATATATATATATATATATATATATAGTATTCTACAATAACCTACTCAGGGAAGAGGGAATCAACTATGATTGTACCAAATGGCATTCAAGTATAATCTGTATCTCCTAGTTGGATTAATGCTTCATCAGAAACGATAATTGAAAAATAAATCATACACCATGATTTTTAGTTTTTATCTTAGAATTCTAAAAATTTATTTGTACATAAAATTATAAGGTTCAGTTATTTTTTCAAGGTTTTTTTGAATGAGGTCTTTTAACTCTAATTTTTTAATTTGAATACTAATTACTGCTTTTGTATTTTAATAATGATATTTCCCTGTGAATTGGACAGAAAAAATTTTCTTTTAATTTTGTTAAGTCTTTTAAATGATATAAAACCTGATTTTTGTTTGAATCTTCAAAGTTTTCAATTGCACTCATCTAGCAAGTCGCAACATACTTAGCTCTCCACAAACTACGTTGGTGATTCATTGTAGATGACTCGTAAGCGTTACATTCGAATGATGTGACTTTAAATATGAAATAATTCATTGAAAAACATGGATTAAAGTAAAAAATTGAAGATAAAATGAAATTTAGAGATTTTTCCATGTAAAATAAAGAATAAAAAATATCATCATTTCGTTATTGAAAAAAGTGAAAAAATTGAGCTAATTATTACTTTTGTAATTTTCTTAATGCTAACCTGGTGTTTTAATGAATATAAAGTATGCCCGGATCAATATCCGGGCGTAACTTTAAATTATAGAAAAACATAAATTATTTCACTAGAGTTTAAAAGACTAAAAAATGGATAAAACCATAGTCTATATCTGAAAAAAATATGAATATGGATAATAAAAATGAAAGAAACTGATCTGCAAACCGGATGAAATGAACTAGGATAAACGAGATTTCAATATTAGATCTTTCGGCCTCAATTTTTTTGACTTTCTGCTTAATAGTAGTTCGAAATTACAAGTAAATTATATTTGAAAGTAATGAGGACATGTACAAAGTGAACTACAAAAGAGTTGGATTTATGCTTTTGGCAAGTCATTAGCCTAATAAAATATATGTTAAATACTTGAAAGCTACTATGAAGTATCATACAACCGATGGTGGTGGCATTGGAATTTGTAGCCCTTTTTAAGGTCTCCAGACTTCCATGCCACCACCATCGGTTCTTCGCAATCGTTGACTTTTTTGTTTGCTTTTTGTCAGTCTGCTGGCGCCGAGCACAAGATATCATGGACATTTTGGGCTATCCCTACTGAATCTGTTTTGGGCTTGCGACTTACAATGTATTGTGAAAGAGAGAATGACATTTTTAACTTTTTTCATTCAAAGGGCGATAAGGCCATATGGCCAAGAGGCCAGAAACCAGAAGTGAGAAGAGATATGAGGAAATTAAGACTTTTAACCTCACTAGGAGAAAACATTCAAAAAACGATCAATGTAGAGGATGAAACTGGCAGATATAATTGATGACACGAAATAAGGGACAGAACACAACAAGAAATAATTTCCTGCTATAATTTGGCTTTGCTCCGAATGCTATTTAAGGTATCACAAGGAAGATCATAAGCAGAGGATTACTCAGACCTCGTCTGGTTCAGATGTGACACCTTCCGTTCTGTTTTCTAGGAACGGTAATATGCGGTGTGAGGTTGATCGATGAATTTGAAGCGTGACTGGCTGAGCTTTTCTACTGTAATTCTAAGTCAAACACGCTTTGCACAATTTGGTTTTGTACATGTATATAATTCAATGTTTTCTCACAAAGTAACGGACGAGTCGGATGAGTCAAAACTTTTCTGCTAAGAAGACTGTCAAACTGAGGTGATGAAAACAATCGGAGCCAAATTCTCATTTTAGTCATCAGTATGAAACAGCATGTGTTCGGCCACATGAAACAATACCAGCTCACAACTGCAAATCTGTTAATCTATATAGCCTTGTTGTACTCGGTGGATCCCTCATTTAACCCGTGTAAAGCTTGATGCTACACATAACTGGCCTAGCATGATCCGGCAGCAGCTAACAAGCACATGAATTCTCTAAATAGTTCATATTCACGTGGTTGATCTAATATTCGGAGGATATATGCAGCTAAAAAACACAGCTCATCCTAAAAGGACCAAAGATCCATGTAATGCTGTGAAGCTGTATAGTTGCGGTTGGATGCTTGTTGCTGTGCATCTATGACGGTTGTTCAGAACTAGCTGTTACATTGCAAGATGTTGTGAGGAGGACAGAGATTTTCCAGTCGAGAAAGTGAAGATAGATATGTCTGATCCGGTATCTGGATCTTATTCATCTACCTTTACTGCCACGACGAAGTAAGAGGGAGAAGGCTATACAAGGACTTCTTCTGCAAGTATGTCAGGCTTATTGATATGACACTTGCCATCCATGACTCAGAGGCTTGTTTCAGTCCGCGAGGGAGAGGAGAAAGAGATAGAGAGAGAGAAGAGTGCATGGGGAAATCGGTCATGCCAGGCAACCACTAGCATGTGAAGACTGAGGTCCTTGACATGATGGAGGGGCAGAGAGCTTGAGAGGATTTCTTTTCAGCTCCGACAATCCCGACGTGGAGAATTCGCAGCCATCGTCACACCTTGAAGCTTTCCAGTCTTCTGCCCATGATGGCCCATGCTTGACAACGATGACTGATCGTCTGGATACTGATTCTGGACCCAAATTGCACCGAATTCCACTCAGACATCATCACGGGCCTCTTTCGGGGCCTGAGGAGGGACTTCCAGAAGCTCTGTCCGATGCTGAGCGAAGGCATCGCCTGAATGGATGGAGGAATCGTACTTCTCTCCGTCACCCCACAGAGCATACGCTTCCTCACCGTGAGCAGCGTCGTCTCCCACGAGCAGCTTCGACTCGGACATGCGGAGAGGCACAACGAGGCCGATGACCAAGCAGATGATGCTCGTCACGACGATGTTCCATCCGATGACGAAGAGAGCTCCACAAATCTGCTTAGCTAGCTGCAGCCCAGCCTTGTGGCCGTGATGGTCCCCTGCATAGATGATTCCTCGCTCGCCGGGAATTGACAAGAACAAGTTGCAGAGCGTCGGCTGCGCGAAGAATCCTGCCAAAATTCCTCCCAGGGATCCCGCCACGGCATGGGTGTGGAATACGCCCAGAGTGTCGTCCACCACGTTGAACAGCTTCTTCTTTCCCAGAATCATCATCGTGAACCACGGAACGCTTCCGGCAAACACTCCCATAACCATGGCGGCCCACCCTTGAACCAAACCTGCGAGACATGCAGACGAGAGCTCGTTCAAGGACTGTTTTGTTTTGCTTGCCCTCCCTCAGTCAACTCACATCGCTGTACATGCAGAGAAAAACGTTTTTTCCATGGACACGAGATGCGATCTCAATTCTCGAGCCGATCAGAAGGCCGGTCTACTGATGCACGAAGTAGAACACTGTGGCGACCATCGCCACTATGCATTTCATTTCATCACGTGCGTCGCTGTTCAGAAGGCCACCGACTGCCGAGCATGCACGCGTTCCCACATCTCTGGACCGACTTCCGATCGAGTCGAAGGAGAGCCTCGTCGAACATTTCATTGAACAGAGAAGGAACTTATGGAGCGGGTGTGGACGAGGGGAGGGGAAAAATACTCATGCGCTGGTGGTTTTATTGGGAGTGGACGATGCAAGCGGTGTTCTCGTCGGCTTACCTGCTGCAGGAGTGATGACGACCAAACCGGTGATCATGCCTTGGACAGCTCCGATCACCGATGGCTTTTTGAAGACTATGACGTCGATGCTCGTCCAGACGAGCAAGCTGGTTGCGGCGCAGATGTTCGTGTTCAGGACGGCCATCGAGGACACAACGCTTGCTGCGTAGGGTGCTCCTCCGTTGAACCCGTTCCAGCCCAGCCACAGCAGACCTGCTCCCGCCAGAGTGAGCAGGACGTTGTTGGGAGGAAAGCTCTTACGATCCTTCTCGAGTCTGGGTCCCACCTGAAGAATTTAGGAAGAATCAGTCAACTCAGTCAAGGAGCGAGAATCTCAGATCGGAATAGTTGAACATCGTCATGCCGCCAGATTCACTGGCAGGACAAAAAAAATCTGGATCGGATTACAGCATTGAGCTGACGATGGTGAATTTATTGACACATCGATCAGCTATGAAGAGCTTCAATGAGAATGCAGGCTTGAAGTTGGAGAGTGTTATGTACCCAAAAAGCAGCGACATAGCCAGCGATTCCGGAGGAGAGATGAATCACATAACCGCCAGCGTAATCGATAACTCCCCATTGGAAGAGAAAGCCACCTCCCCACAAGCTGAAGGCTCCCACAGTGTAAGAGCATGTGAGCCAGAGAGGAACGAACATCATCCAGGCCAGGAAGTTCATTCGGCCCAACAAAGAGCCTGCAATGAGGATCAGAGTGATGGCGGCGAACACGAACTGGAAGTAAACGAGTGTGGCCTGGGGATAGAAAGGTGTCAGTGGGGCATAATAATCCGTTCCCGTGGACGGGAGGTGAGCCTGAGACAGCAGTAACTTCTGATCCAGAGAAGGTCCGGCCTTTCCCCACAGAGGGATGAGCTCCTCGCCAAATGACATCTTGAAGGCCCAGGCAACCCAGCATATGAGCACCGCGGCAAAAGCATAGAACGACATGAAGGCCGAATTGATTGCCCATTTCTTCTTCACTACACTACCGTACAAAATCACCAGCCCAGGAACACATTGCAGTCCCACGAGTGTTGAGGCCGTGAGCTGCCAAGCGTTGTCTCCCTTGTTGAGCCAATCAGGTGCTAATGTCCCATCACCAGTAGCTTGGTACGCCAAAGGTACTGGGTTAACTGGAGCTGGTCCTGGAGCTGCTGCCATTTTTTCTGCTGAAGGTTTTGTTTGTAATAATCAAATTCTGCGCAGATGAAAGAGCGAAGCTAATCAGTATCTGTCGATCGATGGATGATAAAAAAGGCTAACTCACAATCAAAGTAAGAATCCAAAGTATTCTCGCTATAAAGATCGAAGGACTATCTTCAGAGAAAGCATGGGATAACCACTCCGGTGAAATCATGGCTAATAAAGCACCTAAAAAATTACTGAAGGTAAAGAGCACCGACAACATTGAAGCCCAAGTGCATGACTGGAGGCCAATGAGCATAAGTGTGTAGAGAAATGACATTGTCCAAAGAAGAGATCACCAAAAGACACTGATCATCACTGGTACCTCAGATTTGTGACAAGGAGTCACAATAGATCGTCAAATTCATGCAGAAGCTAGAGGACAAGTACTTTGTACTCGTCTCGGGAGCAAATTAGTCAAGAGCAGCTAAAGTTGCTCTTTGTGTTAGCTCCTGAGAAAGTAATGAGAATGGAGATGTTCGCTGGTTTTATAGCCTGGCTGGGTTTCCATTCTTCAGAGGAGCATGCACGTCGAATTGCGGTGACGTGTGTGAGAGAGCTTAACTGTTCTCATAACACGTTTGCGTATTTCCTGCTACGAGATTCTTTCACAATAAACGACGGGAATACAGGAACATGTACATGGCCTGCTCCGTCACCTCCATGGCTTTCGGAACTGAAAATGTTCTTAGATCGAACTTTTGTGTCTTACATTGGAAAGCATAATCTAGTCACTCTTTACAGGAGAGAAACTTTGGACCTCCAACTTTCTGGGAATCCTATGCACTGTAATATCGCAATGAATCTGGGGAATGTGTTGAATTTGTCGAAATCCACTGGACACCAATGACAGTGCTATACAGTGACCTTCCTCCTTATCAGGAACCACTTGTGCATATCTGGAATCTTCGGGCATCTTCCGGTATTGCTCGGAGCTGTCAACTTAATCGTTCCGCAGCATGTTTACATACTCGACCAACTGTCCTCAGAGTGGAGATCTGGGGGTGTTTTCCTTGGATATTCACACCTTTGTGTATCAATATCTTCGTATATTTTGATTTATAATGAATATATACAATGCGGTTTACGTTTGTCATCAGGTGTTTTTCTCTAATTCCGACTTGCACTAGCAAAATACGCATCGTCATGCCCAGGTCCAGTTCATCTTCCGTTTACTGTTGCGAACATTCCTCTTGTTATTCAGATTGATTTGAAAACATCTTGCATTTCATAATCTCAGAAATTAAGTTTGAGCTCCATAGATCGAGACATGGGACCAATTACAAGGTGCACGATCGAGGACTTTCATGAGTAGGAGCTGCCATGTAACCAAAATATGAGAGGGTTCAGCCTCTTTCGAAATGGTGTGCCCGTTCTTCTTTTGCTTCAGCTGCAGAGCTTGATACAGTTTTCCTCATCTTTTCTCTGAGTCTGTTTGGCCATGAATGCTTAAAATAAGGTGATTCGGTCAAAGACGAAGTATATACGACTATGAATAGACGCTAGTTATAAAATGATTTCTTGCTGTTGACCCCACTCCACAACAAAAGACACCTCGAGATGGAGACGCAGAAGATCGAGCGTCCACGAAGGCTTGTGCTTGAATCGATGCAATTGCAAGCTGAATATCGCATATCCTGAGGAAATATCGGCAGATTGGGTTGCTAATGAGCACAGTATGCTGCCATGACAGATCTGTGAGAAACCTCTGCATACTACATCTGAACATGCATTTGAGGACCCACATTACAGCATGCATCTTGCTAATTGAAACCGGGTTACCAAAATGGTCACGGAAGTTATGGACACCGGATCCTGCTGATCTGTAACAGGCCAGAGAGGTAAACGCTTCCAGGACTTAAATGGAAAACCGGTCTTCCACCACTTGTAGCAGGTACTTGTATCATCGGGGTTTTATATAGACCCTCTGAATTATGTAGGGAATGTAATTGATATGTCCCATTTTAACATCTTATTTTGGAGCTGAGCATCACTTCACTGAACGTACTAGGAGTCCAATCTGATTACTTTGCATAAAATTGTACTCACAAGACATTAACATGTATGAGATGACATAATATTAACAAATCAACTTATCTGAATAGAAAAGAATATGAGAATTTTGTGACCTTACCAGATGACATATTGATATTGATGATCAAAATCTGCATGATTTACATCATAAAGATATGTAGATGGCGGTAGAAAAATTTCAAAGAATGATCAAAGAAACGCAAGGTGTACTGAGGAGGGGCTTAGAAAATGTTTTAATATTCTCTATCACCAGATATTGTGGTAAAAGAAAATTCAAAATTTTGCTGTAAGAAAGCTTCTGTTGTCTTGAGGATCTACTCCCCTCACTCAGTACATTACAAGTGAACATGAAGTTCATAAACGTCCATAGAGTTAAAGTTTAGAGTTTAACTACATTTCTTAAATTATGCTCAACTAGTTTTTTTAAGAATTAAGACATCAAACCTATTTTTTCACGTTTTTATTTCTATGAGCAAAATGAACAAAATCCATTACCGTTGACATTGAACAATGCAATCCATACACATCCAAGTCAGAGGTTTTTTCCACGACACAAAGACCCACAATCACATCCTGGGTACAAACCAGATCTTTCACTCTGCAATTGAAAATTTGAAATTCCCATACAACAATGAGTTGTGAATTATAGCATAAACACCGGTACACGGAATTGTGTTCGCGATGGATGGCAGAGGGAGAGTGTAGAATAACCCACACGAACACGCTCTCCACGATTCTAGTACTTTGAACCCAAACGAATTTGAAATAGAAGCCATGCACTTTTGCTACTTGAGGTCTCTACGAAAAGAGTTCAATTGCTCTGAAAAACACATCGACGCCGAGATCTACATTCTGCATCTCCATTATTCGAAAGGTTGAAAATCTTTGCCATTTGATACCCGACCTGACCTTAAGTCTCTCTCCATGAACGTAACACTGCCATCCCGGCTTCTATTTCTGCCTTCTCTCTTCCCTCCTCTTCACTGCGCAGATCTTCCACATCTTCCTTGCACATGCAACGGCCGGCCAGAGAATGTGAAGTGCGAATGTGCTCAACAGGAATCAACAACCAACAACAGCCGGGGCTAACACTTGTTCCAGATTCTACACCAACGGATTACACCAGTCAATGAATGGATGTAGGAATCGAGTGCGAAGATCATAGTCATCAACTTTGGGAGGCTAGCGCATGGAAATCCAGCACATCTGTTCCTCGGCATTGTATGTAAGATGCCGGTAAAATCGCCCTGCTTGGATTTGATTCTCGCACAATTCAGGTCGAAATATACTGAAATTTTGCTCTGGCACTTTTCGTTGACATGCCAAAATCCAACTTCTCTTGAAGAGCAAGACTTCAAATCAAGAGCTAATAAGTGATGATCGATCTCACATCCATCTAGTGGAGAGCACAATCTCACCGTCCCCGAATAGAGAACGCCTGTGCCAGACAAATCAGTACCAAATGGAGGGACTCGTCTTTAGCTGCAAAAGCATCCAGCAACTCCACATGCTGTCTCCACGAGTGCTGAATTGGTCGAGTCCTATGCACTTGCTAAAGTGGAACATCTCCACCCGAGCGCCGCTTCAGGGTCGACATCAGAGTCGCTGAGGTCCCAATTTCCTCTTCCGCAATCGGGCCCGTACAACGGCGGCTGTTCACAGAGCCAAAGGAGTGCAGCTACATTCTCGCTCATACAAGACTAGGGTTAGAAAATTTTCTCGTCGAGTCATAGGTCATGGTACAAGGAGTGATGATGGTGCTCCTGCAATTGAGATCTTCTTTTCTACAAATCTGGCAATCCATATCTACCTTCTGATCTAGAATGCGTAAACAAAATTTGATTTCTTGCGGCAGTACGTACTTGCAGCAACCTTTTCTTTGGGAGGTGCTTTCTGGTGCCGGAGGGTTGTGAGGTCTAGATTGCCTCTTTAGGTGTCGTATGCACGTCAATCGCACTGTACGAATGCTTGCAGTGGAAGTCCACAGTTTGTCCTCTCGTCAATGATCGATCCCAGAAATGGCGCAAAGTTTGTTACCCAGCAGAACAGCCTGAGGGTTGACTAGTTGAGCCGTGGGCATCCTTGAGTTGAAAAGGCCACGAATGTCAAAACGTAAATAAAATGTAAATTGGTCGGTCCTTTTACTGTACGCTGTCGTTAGAGTCCACAAGATGACGAGAGTGTGGAAGTGAATGTCGATCTCAATTGATTTCATGAAGTACGGAATCAGCAGAGGAGTGCGAAGGATCTCGAGGACATGATTTTCGTCATCTTCGTCTCGGCCAAAAAGTCATATCAATCGAGCGTGCTGTGAGTCACAAACCTCATGCAGCTGCCTTTGTTTGCATATGATGGCTGCGTCCATCGGAGTTAGATGCATCATTTTGCTCCTGGTGATAACAAGAAAACCGAGCCAGCCACGCCCTATTGGATTAAACTCTCCATGATGCCAGCCAGTCATTTCTCACGCTCGAACTCCATAATCTCACATGATGCCAACGATGATTCAAACTATCAATCCTCATTCCCACATACTCCGTGCTGGATTCAAAAAAGCCCCTTAGCAAGGATCCGTTTTACTCATGGGAAGTTTGGTGGTGGTGATTGAAATTGAAATGAGGTTTGCAAGACTTTCTCAGCTCCCAGTTGAATGTCTCGAGCACAAGCGTCTACATATGAAGAAGACCTCGACGAAGTCTTCTGGTCCAACGAACTCGCCCAGCAGCCAGACTGAATGTCGAAGCATCGAGCTTTGTCGATCTCGATGAACCATTAACGTCCAAAGTCTGCCCGTCGGACTTCTTATACATCCAACTATCTACGTTGGACTTGGAACAAGTACAAACCTTTTTAGGTAAATATAATTTGAATAAGAATTATATAAGAATAATATTAAGTTTTAAAGTTAGTTTCTGTTTTTATGAATTTTATTTATGATATTTTTAAGGAATATATGTATAAACGAATTTACTAGTTTGTGTGTTATAAATTAATCTAATAAAAGGTAGTAAATTATCTATAAACGATGTATATTATACAATTAATTATGTCTCAAAAATATGTATTATCCATCATTTACATAATTTAAATTTAGATAGTTAAAATTTAGTAAAAAATATAAAATAAAATTATATATATATTCTCTAATTCCTATCTAACTATAGTAAAAATATAAAATCAAATGCAATAAAAAATTTCATTGTATTTCAGAACTCTAAGTTCAATCCATATTTAATTTAAGAAAATATTTATAATAGAGTTATTCATCATTAAAAAATCAAAATAAAAGAAAATTGGTTCGATAAGGCATATCATCAGCTGGGTCTGGGATCAACCAGGTGACAGTGAAATCAGCTCATTTGACTACAGAAGTAAGATGCAAAAACGACGAGAAGACCCCGTCGAGGCTAACAAGGGTGAAAGCCGTCAGGAGAAGAGTCTAGTACATCAATGGGACGAATGAGTCCACCAAGAGATGCGTTCTCGAGCTCTTCGTTCTCCAAATGGTTATACGATAGATACGATTCTTGAAACTCACATTATGGTCATCTTGGGAGTAGCAAATGGGTACGATCGCATGTGTCCGGTAGCTGATAGAAAAAACAATTTCCGGAATAAGCAGTCCGCGCGGTTTCTCGGTCAAAAGACCGCGGTCTTTTGATTGGAATTTCAGGTCCATCAAGACGATGGATAGAGTACATGAATTAGTTAAATGTCGAGAAGGAATTGTGCTTCTCAGCCGTATCTTCGAAGGGGCGATTCCTCCAACGAGATCGGGGGTTGATGTTAGAATTATTATTCTCCTAATTATCGGGTGCTCACTAGCCTCTGACCTAATCTAGAATGGAATGGAATGGAGTCCGGGGAAGGTCGGAACTGATCTTAAGCTGCCTACGACTTGCCATTGAACTCTTTCATGGAGAATGAGTCGGCATTGTGCATGGACGCGTCGAAGATCTCTCCATCGCCCCACAGCGCGTACGCTTCCTCTCCGTGGGCGGCATCGTCGCCCACTTTCAGCTCCTCGTCCGACATCCGAAGAGGCACCACGAGCTTGATGGCCTGGCAGATGATGGTGGTCGAGATGATGTTCCATCCAACGATGAAGAGAGCTCCACAGATCTGCTTGAGAAGCTGCAGTCCTGTCTTCTCACCGTGGATGCCGCCATGATCGCCGGCGTAGATGATCCCCCTCTCCTCGGGAATCGACAAGAAGAGGTTGTTTAGAGTGGGCTGCGCGAAGAATGCTGCCAGCACTCCTCCCATCGAACCTGCCACTGCGTGAGTGTGGAATACGCCCAATGTGTCGTCGACGATGTTGAAGAGTTTCTTCTTGCCCAGAATCATCATGCTGTACCATGGAACGCTTCCTGCGAACACTCCCATGACCATGGCTGCCCACCCTTGAACCAAACCTGCAATATGAAGGTGAATGATTGGTGTCAGAGACAGTCGTGAATGATGCAGCCTGCTCGTTATGAAATGGAAGATGCAAGCAGCTCACTAGCCTCCTCTTAAGATAAATCGAATTCATCGAACGCATCGATTGATTAACGGATTAAATTTTTTGTGATAGATTCCTGCCTACAGTGCCTTAGATATTTCTCAAATTGTTTCCTGTCGTGAAATTGTGCAGAACTTTACAACTGCATTCGATGTCACTAGCACAATGTCATACACTACTACTGGAATAATGCCAATTTTGGTGCATTTATGCAGAGTTAGGTTTGATGAGAGTATGGAGCAGCCTCGCCTGAATTCTGAAGCTACAACATTCTCCGCATGTGAACGGGTACTAAAGTGTAAGTTCCTTCAACTCTCTCGTCATATCTTTAATTGCAAGTGCTGAGATTACCTGCAGATGGAGTGATGACAACCAAGCCCGTGATCATACCCTGAACGGCACCTATCACTGATGGCTTCTTGAAAACGATGACGTCTATGCTGGTCCAGACGAGCAGGCTGGTTGCAGCGCATATGTTCGTGTTCAGTACTGCCATCGACGATACAATGTTGGCTGCGTAGGGTGCTCCTCCGTTGAATCCATTCCAGCCCAGCCACAGCAGACCTGATCCGGCCAAAGTGAGCAAGACGTTGTTTGGAGGAAAGTTTTTGCGGTCTTTCTCTAGTCTGGGGCCAACCTGAAGAGATTAATATTGAGCTGGAGTTAGTCAAATGCTTATTCTCAACTGACCAACTACAGAGAAATTCAAAAGTCAAACTTTCACAACCTTGGAAAGATGAATGTAAGTTTTTTTTCAGTGGAGCTGATATCTGCATTTACAGCATGAATGATACACAGGTCGTTTGACGGAACTCGCTCAAATAAACTTGATTTGATTTTAGAAAGCATCTTTGGTTCAATGTACAAAATTGAACTCATAAATGTGTAGATGGACGCTCGTTCACTCGAGAGAGAAATACAAACCCAGTAAGCAGCGACATAGCCAGCCACTCCAGCTGATAGATGGATGACGTATCCACCAGCATAATCAATGACGCCCCACTGGAATAGGAAGCCGCCACCCCACACACTGAAAGCTCCCACGGTGTAAGAGCACGTGAGCCAGAGGGGGACGAACAGCATCCAAGCCAGAAAGTTCATACGGCCCAGCAGAGATCCTGCAATAAGGACCAGAGTGATAGCGGCAAACACGAACTGGAAGTAGACGAGTGTTGCCATCGGATACATGGGTGCCAATGGAGGATAAAAGTCTGTTCCGGTGGAGGGGAGGAAAGCTTGTTTAAGCAAGAATTTCTGGTCAAGAGAAGGCCCAGCTCTCCCCCAAAGAGGGAGGAGCTGCTCTCCGAAGGACATTTTGTAAGCCCATGCAGTCCAGCAGATGAGGACTGCTGCGAATGCATAGAGGCACATGAAGGCAGAATTGATAGCCCACTTCTTCTTAACGACGCTCCCGTACAAAATCATCAACCCGGGAATGCACTGCATTCCAACAAGCGTGGATGCCGTGAGCTGCCAGGCGTTGTCACCTTTGTTAAGCCAATCAGGGGCCGCAGTCCCGTCACCAGTGGTTTGGTACGCCAGAGGTACTACATTGAAAGCAGCAGGCCCTGGAGCTTGTGCCATTTCTTCTTGTCTGGACAAGAATCGGAGTACAGAGGACGCAGCTCAATTATGTTTGTGATGATGGTCTGCAGTTTGTGAGCACGAGTACATACATACAACAGTTAGAACAATTAGTTTTCCACCGCTAGAAGGACGGTGTGAAGCCAAGTCCTCGTACAGACCAGACAGACTTCAATCCAAATTCAAAGTTAAACTCAATCACCAAAGCTCAGATTTTGGAACATTCTCAGGGAAGAAGAAGTATTCATCTGTACTCAATTTAGCAAGCAGTGATGGAGCTCGACACGCCATAATATAAATATCTGCGAAACTCATGGATGCAACAGGCTACTCTTGGAATCTAAGTACTACCTTCAAATTTTCCTGCGGGTAGATGCAGAATGTTGAATTAAAAGCTAGTGGATGTCTTGTGGTTGTAATACTCGCATGCCAAGACGAGGCGGATACAGAGAGGTCACTGTATGTCAATGTCGTGAGGAGCTCTTGAGAAGATATGTTATCTGGAGAAGTTCGCTGGTTTTATAGCTTCGATGAGTCTCATACTGCAGGATGGAAGCATGCGTATGTACGTGAATGCGACCGTACGTACTTGCTATCGTCCTTACTTTTTATAACCGGAACTCGTACAGATTGAGGCCAGCTGCCATTTGCTAGATTATTAAGGAATCAAGTTTTCTCTCGGAGTTGAATACGTTCAAGACTCTGGAAAACTGCATCCAAAACTGTAAGTTTTTGATGTTCTAGCGATGAAAGTGTTACAATAGTTTAAATATTTTCTTCCACTTGACCACTAGCTCTATGCCACTGACATTCATATAATAGGCATTCATCCTGATTTCAGGATCACATGTACAAGCACTTTGCGTCAATTTTAGTGAGCATGGCCCCAATCGGAACTCCACAACTGGATCTGCCTGTTGCTTCATACAATATTCTCCTGATTAATAAAAGGAGAGATGGCTTCGGGTCGGGCATGGAACATTTGATCAAATGGCACGTCGTCTACCCGAAATGTCTGGATCCTCTGACGAAGTGATGGTTTTGACTCTATGAGTGAATATTATAAGTCCTCAGAGTTGACACATACATGCAAACGACGTCCGGTGATGAAGCCGATGGAACTCAAGGGGAAAGCGGGAGCACTTTTATTAGTAAGATGAAAAAGTTCGAGTCCAGCTCTTGCTCTTTGGAGAAATCCCAAGGTCGGAACTGATGTCCCGCTCTGGTTCTCATCCATGACAGTCCCGGGTAGAAAACTGCACTGCGGTCGTGCAACAGCACATTCGATTCCAGCTATGGATCTTCCTCATAAGACTCTGATGTTTCACCGATTCTCACCTGCAAATGCTCGAGTGTCCGCATGGCCGAGCTAGAACCCAGGTAACGTTTCGCCGAATCACAAGAGAAGAAACGCAAGAGCTCTTACGACCTCATCGTTCTTTATAACAGCCAAACTTTTATTTAACCTTCATATATATTTATATATGGAGCTTGAATTCAGATTGTTGAACTATGCATATCTTTCACATTTCATGTAGAACCTATGTAGAATCATGAAAAAATTTACGACTGACCGCTCAGAGTATTATACTGTGTAGGGCCATCTTCATATACAGGTACGAAGCATATCAGTTAAGATACGTAAACATCTCGAAGTCTTGGATTTTTCTCTCTCTGTGCTGAGATTGATATCCAGTGGAAGAATGGTATATACCACGAGCGAGGCTGATCTAGCAGATTTCAGTAAGTCCGTGAGATATGCCCCTACAGCCCTTGCCATTGGAATATTGATGACGCTCTGATGATTTCGTGGATCACATGAATGGAAAGTGAGGATTTTCTAGGCTTCGAAGCATTGAGCTTCTATTGTAAATCTATTGTCATACTTTCATGTAAAGGTCTGCCAGATTTTAGGCATTCACTGGCCAGTTCTCTTCAAGAATTATTGTTATCGTTCGGTGTTTGTGAAGATATGATCTGCCCTTCATCTGTGAGCTGATCCCTCTCTCTATTTCTTGTGATGCAATGCTATGAATCGTGCCCTTCCAATACTTCATTCCCGTGGATTCTCGGCCGGCATCAGTCCCCTTCAGATTTTCTTCAATGTCCATCGATCAGTAATTCTTCATGTCCGAGCTCTATTAAGTCAATTCATTGTCGAGATACCTCGAGCTCGTAGATATTTATGTCTCGTATCCTCAAGGAGTTGAAACTTTGACCTTGTTAGTGCGGTAGACCAGGAGAATTCGTCGTTTCGTGCATCATGCTCTTCCGTGCTCGAAATCAGTGTCTGTGTCTCGAAGATCGGCTTTCAAGTTCCAATTCCGAGATGGCAGTGAAGACAACGGGCAGGATGATCGTGGATGGATAAACCAATCATTGCTAATGTTCGTGAAATTCCAACTTTGGGAGGGAATCGAGGAGTCAAAACCTCGTGGACTTGTTAGATATTTCATGATCGACGAATTTTCTGTAAGCTGCTATGTCGTTACGATGTATCGATCGAATGTCGTGCATGTCGTGCATTTGGTCATGCATGGTAAAACTTCAACAATCTTTTCACGCTTCGGGCAGAGTGAAGGAAGAAGATGGGGCAGAATATGAAGCCCGGGCGTGCATGTGCGCACACAAAAGCAAAAGAAGTCGGACCCTCGAGCTGATGATGGCAGACGGAAACCGTGAGGAACTTCAATTAAAATGGTGGTGGTGGACACATTGATATTATAAGAAGCTTCAGCTCGAACGCCAGAAGAAGCTCCTTCTCTAAGCTACGCTTCTAAATCTACGCACAACCATCGGACCGAAACCAATCGAGCCCGATCGAGAGGAAAAAATTTGGGCGATCCAGCGATCCGGAAAGGATCAGAGTCTGGAGGACTTGACGGGGTCGTCTTTGGCGCCCTGCATCGACGCATCGAAGGTCTCGCCGTCGCCCCACAGAGCGTAAGCCTCTTCGCCGTGGGCGGCGTCGTCGCCGACGGCCAGCTCGGCGTCCGACATGCGCAGCGGCACGAGCAGTTTGATGGCCTGGCAGATGAGCGAGGTGACGACGATGTTCCAGGCGATGATGAAAAGGGCACCGCAGATCTGCTTCAGCAACTGCAGTCCGGTCTTCTGACCGTGCGCGCCGCCGTGGTCGCCTGCGTAGACGATCCCCCGCTCGCCGGGGATGGACAGGAACAGGTTGCTCAGAGTGGGCTGCGCGAAGAACGCTGCCAGCACTCCGCCCATGGTCCCTGCGACTGCGTGAGTGTGGAACACGCCCAGCGTATCGTCCACTGCGTTGAAGAGCTTCTTTTTGCCCAAAATCATCATGCTATACCAAGGAATGCTCCCTGCGAACACACCCATTACCATGGCAGCCCATCCTTGGACCAACCCTGCCACATTCACATACGATAGCTCCGACATTCAGTCGTGCCTCATTGCACTTCGGATAACCAGCAGCAGGACGAGGCTGCGGCGAGTGAGCTTCAGGACTTTGTATGCTCGAAATTCGGACTGTCAGGTCCAGGGATTTATGATATGGACAGTTTAAATCATATGGATGTAAAAAAAGCTCACAACTAGCTATAAAACTATATTGTACAGTTAATTTCTAAGAATTTATAATCAAGGTGAACATAGTTTGAGACATATACTCATTATTGGTGTTGTTACATTGAAAACAAAAGTATGTAAATTTGTAAATAGAGTGCCATCACCTTAAAATGATTGTCAGGTTTTTTCTTTCACAAATACTTTCATCTTATTATTGATATAAAACTATACGTTAGGCATCAATGGTGAAAACTTGCAAGTCAATGCTTAAATGATTTTGAACAAACATGTGGAAATAAGTTATATATTACAATTTTCCATGATTATCGTTTTTTTTTATCTGCTTAACCTGCTAGTTTGTATCACGATTTGCAACCGGTGTTCATTGAATAGTAGAACTCGTTCAGATAAAGTCTGCGTTCAGCAGGAAATGAAAAAGGCCGCGGGTGGTGATGTTTGCACGAGGAGCTTCACAGAAGGTGGTACCTGCAGACGGAGTGATGACGACGAGGCCGGTGATCATCCCCTGGACGGCTCCGATGACCGACGGCTTTTTGAACACCAGCACATCGATGCTCGTCCAGACGATCAAGCTGGTCGAAGCGCAGATGCTCGTGTTGAGCACAGCCATGGACGCGACTACGTTGGCCGCATATGGTGCTCCACCATTGAACCCGTTCCATCCCAGCCACAACAGTCCAGCTCCTGCCAGAGTCAGAAGCACGTTGTTCGGAGGAAAGTTGGCTCGGTCCTTCTCCAGTCTCGGCCCCACCTGAACGAGCAAATAATCCATAACTACGAGATCATGATCATTTTTCTCATCCATCTCACTAAAGTTCAGGCAGCTGGACAGCGAATGTTTAACGAACATTCCTCGCACAATAGAATCAGATCGCTAGGAACTCAAGGATTTCTCTAATACATTGAGTGTTGACTTTATGATCATAGGAACATTAGAATCTGATTCGTGGACACCATTCTCGAGCTCGTGAGCTATGGGAGCCCAGTGATAATCACGTACCCAGTAAGCAGCAACGTAGCCGGCGACCCCAGCTGAGAGATGAATGACATAGCCGCCAGCGTAGTCGATGACGCCCCACTGGAAGAGGAATCCGCCGCCCCAGACACTGAACGCCCCGACGGAGTAAGAGCAGGTGAGCCAGAGGGGCACGAAGATCATCCAGGCTAGGAAATTCATTCGGCCCAGGAGAGAGCCTGCGATGAGGACGAGGGTGATGGCGGCGAAGACGAACTGGAAGTAGACGAGCGTGGACATGGGATACAGAGGCGCCAGGGGAGGATAGAAAGCCGTTCCCGTGGAAGGGAGGTCGGCTTGGCCGAGCAGGAATCTCTGGTCCAGAGAAGGCCCTGCCTTTCCCCAGATGGGAATGAGCTGCTCGCCGAAGGACATCTTGTAAGCCCACGAGACCCAGCAGATGAGAACTGCAGCGAAGGCGTACAGGGACATGAATGCTGCATTTATGGCCCATTTCATTTTCACCACACTCCCGTATAGAATCATTAGGCCGGGGATGCATTGCAGTCCCACGAGCGTGGCTGCCGTGAGCTGCCAGGCATTGTCACCTTTGTTGAGCCAATCTGGTACTGCAGTCCCTGCTCCGGTTGTTCGGTACGCCAGAGGAACCGGATTGAAAGCAGCAGCAGGTCCTGGTGCTGCTGCCATATCTGCTAGTCCGAACCCCGATCCAAGTGCTCGGAAGAAGCTCTTCTGCAATCCATAGTCAAACAATGGAAATAAGGAATATCAGATCGTTAACGCATACATGAGATCATCCTAAACCACAACACGAATGAGGAACAGCAAGTATTCTGGGCATCGGCAGTTCGAAGCGTTCCAGCTAATATTGTCGTGTAAATCTACGACTCGGACCAACGGACTCGTACTGGCTGGCTGGCTTTGGCACTGCTCCGCAACTCTACCGAACACCTATTTGGGAAAACATATAGCGACTGTGCTACACATCATGTGTACGGAGTTCATTGGACATGGAACTATCCTGACAAGACGAGCTCACAACAGTTCGAACATTACCACAGCAGAGTAGAGTAGAATACAATTAGTGAAAGCGAAGATCAATCAGTGGTTGATTTCCAATAAATGGTGTAAGATGTGGACTATCTGTACTGTTTTCGAGATCTTGGAATAGGTTGAAGGATTAAACCTTTCCTCAGATTTAGCTCAAGAGGGAAGGTAAGTAGACTGGGAACTGCTGCTGCTCTTATAGCTCGAGTGAATCCCCCAGATGCCCAAAGGTTGGGGTGGGCATGGATGTCAGGCGGTTTTGCTCCAGATTCCCAGCACAGATGAAGCCAGGAAAGGTTGAATACGGAGGCAGAAGTGTACAGGAACTCTGAGTCTGAAAACCATTTTCTGGGTTTCCAAGTTTTCCTGATATCTCGAAAAACCAGATCCATCTCTAATGCGGACGGCTTCCGACATCCGAATGTCCGGGAAGTCAATATTCAATGCTCAATCTATTCTGTGACAGATGTACAAGATACAATGAGTGTTTCACGATCGATGATCCTATTAGTTGACATGCAGCTGGATGATTCTCATCTCTTCTTGTAGATTCTGACATGCACATCGCTGACCAAGCACTTGCTCTTTGGTGAGGTTTCAAGGCCATGGTCGAGTTTAAATGCTCGTCTCGTGCATGTGAGATCACAAGTGTCCTCGCTGAGTCTCGCACGTGGAAACTCAAATGTCTGCTGAGCTTTACCGTGATAGAAGGTCAGTTTTACCTGATGTGATATTCCGATGCAAAGAGGAAAGCTAACTTAGGCAAGTTCAAAAGGTACGAGGGCAAGTTACACATCTGTTAAACATTCCAAGTTACCTGAGAATGGTTGAGGTTGGATATGATCAGACTCAGATTATCACTGACTGTAGCCACAGTCAGTGATTGCCAATTCGTGGCGCACTGATTGTCACAAGGACTCCATGCTTAAATGGGATGATTCTGGTCGATATTTCACGAACTTAAGGCCTGCTTGAATTCCATCGCCTTAGCTGCAGCGACACACATTTCCAAATAAAATATGGTTTGGTTCATTTAGAAATTCTTTCTCGTATTACCTATGAACGCATGATGTCCTTCAAAATTCTTTTCGTCTGATTGAGTTGCCATCTAGGTACCGTACAGTGGATAAGTCCTGAAAAATAGTCAACTGTACGCTAGTGATGGAGAACTCCTATCCACGAAATTTTGGGCAGAAAACTTTTGAACTCGGTATAGTAAATGAAGCTGCATAGATATGAGAAACAAGTTGACTTTTGCCACCTAAGTCTCGGTCATGGGTTTCTGCATCTTTGTGCTACCCTGCCATCGCAGTTGAGATAATGCTGGCACGTGTATCGTTTCCAACGATTTCTTTCATGACCATGTAGTCATATAGACTACTGCCAACAAATCCTATACCATAGTATTTCATTTAAAAATATAAGTTAGATGGATTGTGAGTCAGAGTAGATAAATAAAAGTTTGGATAACGAAATTTAGGGTTGACTTTGTGGGTAGGGAACCATGTGTCATGATGGTGTTCGAATTCAAAGCTTGAGCTCTATATATATATATATATATATATATATATATGAAATTACTAATGCAATCATGTCAAATTATATATTGTCTGAGTTCCGGATTAGCATCAGTGCTCGATCCGATAAGGTGGGGATATCAATGCACCTAAACTCGAGTTTACCTTTCTGCAAAATGTTAATGATACTAATCCTATGTCAAGTGCAAGAGAGTCCATATGACCTGTTCTGCTAGATATATCATCTTCAAGTCATCCATATGTATCAGTTTCGTGTATATATATATATATAAATTCAATGTGCGCACCCTCTTTTCTTGAAGTAGCCATCGAAGGAAGATAGAACATGACCATAGGTGGCCAGAAGAGTAGAATCTTCTCTTGAATTATTTCCAATCAGGACCAAGAGGTGCCTGCAAAGAGCAAATATCACCACGGAAAAGAATACAATGCCCAATAGAACAATACTTATAATTTCAAGAAGCAATACGAGCACAGATAATATATGCATATTTATGTTCTTCGGAAAGAAAGTGACATGAGTGTGGATTGTCACCATGACAATCAATTTTGTTACCATTAGATGATACTGCCACTAGCCTGAACAAATTTGGGATTCCATAAAGCCAAAAGACTCAGACGTGAATGTCTCAAAACACGAGCCACACTCCTGTAAAAAGCAGTGCTTAAGATGACAACCTTCAAAGGAATAAATTTCAATACTAAATTTTAAAATAAAGAAGGAGACCTTGGTATTTGAAGATATTCAGAAATATTTGAAGCAAATCAATTGAATTTCGTAAGTCTCAGTTGAACAGTTCATGCAGCTAAGTTCTATGATGTTGAGATTGAATAAGAACGTGAACTTGAAAGCTACTCTAGCTGAAGTAGATATCAGTGGAATCCTATCTGATCGGATGCAATAAACTGGAACGATACAACATTCGAAAGTTCAGGTGATTTGAACGGTAGAGTACACAGGACTTCAACACAGCAAGAGAATGATAGGTTTTGGTGTTGAAGCTCAGTGTGCATCTCTGTATGCACTTCATGATAATCTGGATGCAAGATTCGGTTATCCCAAATCTATCATGGGAGCTTCCTTGGGAAGCCGGGGTAAAAGCAGCGAGACAGCAATCTGAGGCCTCGAAAATCTTCATTACAGTTCACTACCATCGTTGTGATGGAGAAATAAAGCATACAAAATTTTCTGGGTGACGAGAAAATTTGTAAACGTTGACTACGGATCTAATGAAATTGAATGGTTGTCGTTGATTTAAAAACCCTCCTTTTCTCCTGGATCTTAAGCTTTGCAGGTCTGAGAAGAGAGAGGAGAGTGGACAGTATCTGAGACTATTTCTCATCTAGGTTTTGTAATCCTTCATCCCATCTGCGCTGTGCAGTGATGCATCGTACACTTCTCCGTCGCCCCAGAGAGCGTATGCTTCTTCACCATGAGCTGCATCGTCTCCTACGGCCAGCTCTGCGTCCGACATACGCAGTGGCACCACCAACTTGATGGACTGACAGATCAAGCTGGTGACAAGAATGTTCCACCCGATGATGAAAGCAGCCCCACTGATCTGCTTCACCAGCTGCATGCCGGCCCTGTGGGCATGGACTCCACCTGCATCGCCAGAGTATATGATGCCGCGCTCGTTGGGAATTGACAGGAACAGATTGTTCAGCGTTGGCTGGGCGAAGAATCCTGCCAGAATTCCTCCCATGCTCCCTGCAACGGCGTGAGTATGGAACACACCCAAAGTGTCATCCACCACATTGAATAGCTTCTTCTTGCCCAGAATCATCATGCTGTACCATGGAATGCTCCCGGCAAACACTCCCATGACCATGGCAGCCCATCCTTGCACCAAACCTGTCACAGATCACATAACAACTAGGTTCAATTTTGATCATCTTCCAACTCACACATGATGTTAGCTACTTTGAATAGCTACCATAAATCTATGCCAGGCACACTGTCAAGAGTAAATGGAGCCTTGCACTTAATTTCATGGTTCAGAATTCACGTCTGTATTATGTGCAGTGGCTCGAGAGTAAGACATTTTCAGAGTCCATTTTCAGTGAGCAAAAGGATATCGGAGAAATTGAATGTGTACAGCTTATCGAGAATTCAATGGGTTAGAATGATGAGCTACCAGCGGAGGGAGTGATGACAACCAAACCGGTGATCATCCCTTGAACTGCACCGATCACTGACGGACGTTTAAAAACAATAACGTCGATGCTCGTCCAGACGAGCAAGCTCGTTGCGGCACAAATACTGGTGTTCAGTACTGCCATTGAGGAGATAACATTGGCTGCGTAGGGCGCTCCTCCATTGAACCCATTCCAGCCTAACCACAACATGCCCGCCCCTGCCAAAGTGAGCAGAACGTTGTTTGGAGGAAAGTTCTTACGATCCTTGTCTAATCTGGGGCCGACCTGAAAACGAAAGCATCAGTTGCAAGCATCATTCACTGAGCCCACGTTATGTCAAGGCGAGAACAAGGTGCATTTGTAAGCTCAATGATGTCAGGTTCGAACCAAATTCAAATCTCAGAGTTAGCAGCTTCGATTTTCTTCCTTGGAAGCATCCTGTATGAGATATTGCTGTCATTATAATAGAGATTCTACATCAAATCCAGGTCCAGAAAATTCCATGACGAATCTTATACGCTTGTGAACAGGTAAGAAGCAGCACTGCGCTAGTAGTACCCTGCTCACGAGGAACACTTACCCAATAAGCAGCAACGTAGCCAGCAACTCCGGAGGAGAGATGGATGACATAACCGCCTGCATAATCTATGACACCCCATTGAAATAGAAAACCTCCACCCCATACCGTGAAAGCCCCAACGGTATAAGAGCACGTGAGCCAGAGGGGAACGAAGAGCATCCATGCCAGAAAGTTCATCCGGCCCAGAAGAGATCCTGCAATGAGGATGAGAGTGATGGCTGCAAACACGAACTGAAAATAAACGAGGGTCGACATCGGATACAGAGGTGTCAGTGGTGGGAAGAAATCTGTTCCTGTCGATGGGAGGTCAGCTTGGCTCAACAAGAATTTCTGGTCCAGAGCAGGTCCTGCCTTCCCCCAAATGGGGAGGAGTTGTTCTCCAAAGGACATCTTGAAAGCCCATGAAACCCAGCAGATGAGCACTGCTGCAAATGCGTAGAGGCACATGAAGGCAGAGTTTATTGCCCATTTCTTCTTCACCACACTGCCGTAGAGGATCATCAGTCCTGGTACACATTGCAGTCCCACAAGCGTGGATGCGGTGAGCTGCCAAGCATTGTCACCTTTGTTGAGCCAATCGGGTGCTGAAGTGCCATCTCCGGTAGTTTGGTATGCGAGAGGCACTGGATTAAATGCAGCTGGTCCTGGAGCTTGTGCCATTCCTTCGGGGCTAACCTCCTCTCAAATTGTCGTGTAATAAAAGGATCTCTACTTCTATTCTATCTTCTGTGCATTCTGCAGGAGTAGAAAATAGACATAGAGAGGAATCCCTCTAATGATTAGCACTAGTAGCCCAAAAGATAACATAAAATGGCAAGTAACATACTCTTTTATCTCAGATACTTAAAGACATACAGAAGGAAGATTTAGAAGTTTGAAAGTCCAAATGCACTTCGCAACTCAGTGCACTGAGGTGAATTCAGCTTCTAACGCAATGAGGTGGAGTATACGTCATGGCTAGCTTAATACAATTCCCACAAACTTGACAATACCTCCTAACTTGCAATTGAAGTAAGATCGTTGAACTAAGAGAGAAACGCGTGTAAAGAGTAGAAGTACCGGATATTCAAGCAGGAAAGTATATCGAGCAGGTCGAGAGCTAGCTGTTGCTTCTCACCCAGCGTTTTCGAGAGGGTGAGAAGGAAATGAAGCTTTCCCAGTTGGAGGAATCCTTATAAACTGATGTACTTCCACAATCCTCGGGTGGATGGATATTCAACGATTTTCATGTGTCCAATCACAAGGTTTGCATCACGCGTTTGAAGCATTGTCATTCCAGACGATCGGATCAGGTGCGATGAAAATAGACTACAAACTGAGCGCCGCAGGATGCTGCAGCGAGAGTCGAATTTTGTGAGGGTCCAAGGACGCCAGTGTTATCTTGAACAAACAGATTCGTCTCTCATGCAGCTGACACTACATTTCCTAACCATTTGCACCTGTGAGGTTTATGCTGTACCACTTTCTTTATCATGGAAACATTTCTTTAGAAGGAAAGAAGGTTGTTAGAGTATTAAAGCATTCGGACGAACTAGTCCCACTAGGCCTTTTCAGAGATCTACAGAAAGGAATATTTACAAACAAGGAATGTTCGTTTAGACAAGGTCACTGTGGAAAGCAGAGATTTCGGAATAGAAGTCAACCAACGGGAGCTCTTCATCATAAACAGTCGTGTATTTCTTCCTCGTGTCCAGGAACCACTTATAAGTACACTCATTCCAATATGATTTTCGACCAGATCCCAGGATTAGCTGCCTGCACAGAGGAATCAAAAGTGGGCTCGGACATGGACACAACTGGACCCATCTGTGCCAGCGGTAAAGATAGAAGATTTAAATATGGACTGGTTCAAAGCCTTAGATTTGAGTTGTTGGTCGTTGAGGCCCAAATGGAATCTACAGCTCTTGTGAAATATTTTGATGTTCATCCACCTGAAGTGACCATCTCCTGATGCCTAGTTTAAGATTCCACTCTCGTGAAAAACGCTAGAATTTATGCCCGTAACCTATTAGACGCAGACGGAAAGGATGCAAGAATATTTGCTCTTGATGAAGAACACGCTTTTGAGCGTCTAACCTCCTGCAATTTCAGCGTTCGTTTAAATTTACTACAGGTATTCAAATCATAGCGGAATTTTCCATTTACCAGGATCCACTACGAGAGTAAAGTAGACTGCGTATAATGTAAAACCATATTGTTCTATTAAGAGATTGCTATATTTTCAAAGTATCAGAAAGTTCATAAGAAGTAGATACAATCATAATATTTGTTCAAAATTGTAGCTCATGATATAAGTGCCAATTTAGAGTCATCATATAATTGAAGACATTATTGAAAGCGAATCGCGCTTAATTTGAAAAAGGACAATCTTAGTGCACCTAACATTGTTCGTGGCAGAAATACGGGTATGCCAGCATTTGCTATGAAGATGAACCTGTTTTCTTCATTTCATATCAAAGAAACGTGGAAGTAATTATGCGTCAGAGACCTAAGATACTTCCTTTATAATTCTACTCTTTCCGATCTGATATGGCCACACAAATTCCAATTTCATACTAAGAGAAAGGTCTGAAGATACAAATATAGATAGAGGCCTATCTTGCCAGCAGTGCATGACTGAAGCTTATAAGGAAGATCAAGGAGAATCTTATAATTGGCTCTGATAAGAAGAAGATATGGAAAAAAGCGTTGCAAATAAGATTCTCGAGCTAAAGTCTGGTTCGCAGAGCCATGATATGCATCCATATTACTGAGTAGTGTCTTAGGATTTTCCATCTTTTTGATATGGATTCAAGGGAGATAAATAATATATATTCAGCGAAGGAAGCGAAAATTTGAAATATACATGGTACTGGACCGTAATCCAAAGGACGAAAGTCATTCCCAGGTGCTCATGATGCCAGATCTACATACAGCTGAAGCAGGTTACTGTCACGCATTTCATATATTTCGTGATGTTTTTGTGTTACTCAACGTAAGTAATCATCGAACAGGCTTACCTAATGGATGTAAGGCAAGACCTGCGGCTTTGCACAAAGAATCAGTGTAAAAGGCACAATCAGCCTTAACGGCAGCTGTTACAGCAGCTACAAGTGCTCTTAACAATAGTTTCGAGCTTCTAGGCAGACAGCAAAACATCCGATTCTACACCACGAATTCATTATCGTTGAAAAATCAATTGTTTTATTTCATGCTGCGGAAAAGCAATTTCTACCACAAGAAACGACCTACTTACAGTGAAAAATCTGCCGAGGTGTGCAGCTTATTATCTGGGTGACTGTCTAATTAAGATTTAAATTACCTAAATGCACGTTTCCACCCAAAATTGTTCTAGCCTACAAATACTCGGTTTTCTGATCCGGCAGCAGCTTACAAGCATGTCCATCTCTCTAAGTTAGTATTCACATGGAGGAACAAAATTCGGAAAGATCAAAAGCCTTACACAAGGACTAAGATGATCCATGGGATGCTTTTTGACCTTTCTACAAGGGTCATATGCCTGTAGCCGTGTCTATGTATATCGTTGAATTAGGAAGGTTACTGTTAACTGTAAGACGTCTCTACAAAGTATTGAGCACAAATAACCTTACCACTCTTTGAAACCAAAATTGAAAAAAAAGAACCGAGTAAACATGTTTCAGTCAAGAATTTGGACCTATGTACAGCAGAATGGCACAGTCAAGACTTCATCACTTCCCGAGATCAATCAGCTTCTGGGATGCGAGAGTATCAGGGTAACTCTACCTACAACCCTTATTGGCCACCAGACTGGTGGCGTTGAAGCTATTTCTCGGAGTGTGTTATTCTTCATTGGTTTGGATGCTGGATCTGGAGGAGATCTAGGAAGACGATGCTACAGCATTTTGGGGCCCAGTTTTCCAAGCCGAAGTCTAGAAGAGGCCACAGGACACTTCAGCACTCACTGTTTCTGCCCATGCTCGGCCGCATTGAGAGGACCGAAGGGGGCAACAGCGAAGCGTTTTGCTGTCTGAAGTTTTTGAATGATGGAATCAGCGTTCCTGAATAAGAGAGGTGCACTACATGATTCTGAGGTCTACATGAGGTTTTGGACGACGGTTTAAGGAATGTGTTAAAACGAACACATGAATGTTGTAATCTAAAGCTCACCATCTCCCGCCGCCTTGAATGAGTAGGATTTCCCACTATGCGTAGTCGGATCAGCACTGTTAGCTTTGAATGCGTAAGCATCGCCACCGTAAATGGATGCATTAAAGGTCTCGCCATCGCCCCACAGAGCGTACGCTTCTTCACCGTGAGCAGCATCGTCTCCCACGTCCAAGTGTTCTTCTGACATACGCAGAGGTACCACCAGTTTGACAACTTGACAGATGATGGTAGTCATGACGATATTCCATCCGATGATGAAAAGGGCTCCACACATCTGCTTCAAGAGCTGCAACCCAGTCTTGTGGCCGTCGCTTCCTCCGTGGTCGCCTGCATAGATGATGCCTCGCTCTCCAGGAATAGACAAGAACAAATTGCAAAGAGTTGGTTGAGCAAAGAATGCTGCCAAAATCCCTCCCATTGTTCCTGCGACTGCATGGGTGTGGAATACGCCCAGAGTGTCATCCACCACATTGAACAACTTTTTCTTACCCAGAATCATCATGCTGTACCATGGAACGCTCCCGGCGAAAACTCCCATAACCATGGCAGCCCAGCCTTGAACCAGTCCTGCAATAAATAATGATAACGATCTAGATGAATAGATGCTTGCAACCTTCTCTGATGACGGCTGTTATAGTTTATGTAAACTTAACAAATTAAACATCTCAATTGGATGGTTTCGTAACATTTATGCTAACATGGAATATGCTAAAAGCTCACTTCAGTTGCACGCGTTCTGAAAGAATGTTATCGCTCAGAATTTGTAATGAGGAAATCAATATCGCCGGTTCTGGATGTGGAAATACTTCATTCCATGCTTCTCTCATTCACTCCGTATTGGTGACATGAACAGTGCATTTTACCTGCGGAAGGAGTGATCACAACCAAGCCCGTGATCATACCCTGAACGGCACCGATCACAGAGGGCTTTTTGAATACAATAACATCTATGCTGGTCCAGACGAGCAAGCTGGTTGCCGCACAAATGTTTGTGTTTAGGACGGCCATGGACGAGACAACATTCGCTGCGTAAGGTGCTCCACCGTTGAATCCATTCCAGCCCAGCCAAAGCAGGCCTGCTCCGGCCAAAGTAAGCAGAACGTTGTTTGGAGGGAAGTTCTTGCGGTCCTTGTCGAGCCTAGGGCCCACCTGGAAGATGGCAAGCAAACCTCAGACATGATCAGATCAACTTCAGTTCGATAAGCCGGTAATTATTAGAGAAAGCTAGAGAAGAATCAGCTACAAACTGTGAGAGTCCTGTGAATTAGCTCGACCAGAACAGAAGACATGAGTGGAAGCACGTACCCAGTAAGCAGTAACATAACCAGCAACTCCAGACGACAGATGAATCACATAACCACCAGCATAATCGATAACTCCCCATTGGAAGAGGAAACCGCCACCCCATACGCTGAAAGCTCCCACGGTGTAAGAGCAGGTGAGCCAAAGGGGGACGAAGATCATCCAGGCCAGGAAGTTCATTCGGCCCAGCAAAGACCCTGCAATGAGGATCAGAGTGATGGCGGCAAACACGAACTGGAAGTAAACAAGTGTGGCCATCGGATAGAAAGGGGCCAGTGGGGGATAATAATCCGTTGCCGTTGCGGGGAGAAATGCTTGTTTCAACAGAAACTTTTGATCGAGAGAAGGCCCAGCTTTGCCCCATAGAGGAATGAGCTCCTCCCCGAAGGACATTTTGAAGGCCCATGACACCCAGCAGATGAGCACTGCCGCGAACGCGTAGAGACACATGAAGGCTGAATTGATTGCCCATTTCTTTTTCACTACACTTCCGTACAGAATCATCAGTCCCGGAATACATTGTATTCCCACGAGGGTTGCTGCCGTTTGCTGCCAGGCGTTGTCACCCTTGTTGAGCCAGTCAGGTGCTCCTGTCCCATCTCCAGTAGTCTGGTACGCCAGAGGTACTGGGTTGAATGGAGCGGGTCCGGATGCTGGAGCTTGAGCCATCGATGCTGCAGCTGAAGATTTCGATCAAATCGCCTAATTGATGAAGGTATATGTCCTGCAGTGGGGAGCCCGCAAGCAAAGAATTGATGAATGCACAGGCACACCAGAGATCAGACAGTCTGTGGTAATAATCTAAAAGAACTCTCAGATTCACGAACGCTTGACAGACACTGCAGAAGGGCCTACGAGGCTGACTAAAGTGACACTCAAGCTCTTAATAAGGCAAGACCATTCAACCTGCTCGAAACGAGAAGACGTGGATCATACCTCAATTATAACTCTGCATATCAGCAAAGTCGATAAGAATCAAAGGCTATCTTCATGAGCAGATATTTGGTCGGAGAAGCTCCAGTCGCTCTCGGTGCTAGCTCCTGACTTGATGAGTAGTGAGAGGAACTCTGCGGTTTATATAGCTCATGAAAATTGGGATTTCATTCACGTAACTAGGGGCATGCATGGATGTAATGAAATTAAAAGTGTCGAAAAGAAATCTTGCTGCCTCCGAATCTGACGTAATATACGACAAGATCGATGCGAAAATAACCTTCCTGGATTTGGGAAGCGAATCCCCCACACTAAAGCACTACTGGCATTGTGTACTATTTAGAGAAGCATCACAGTCACCCATCGAGCCAACTTTAGATGTCCAACAATGCCGGATTTTGAATGAGCAGTCCACTCCACCGCTCCCTGGATGTAGGAGGAAACCTTTCGCTCTTGTACGAATTCAAAACAGCTCCTCCATCTAAAACAAATTTTTCTACACCACACCATCCGTGAAATCTTGTATGTTGATTTTCTCAGCCATTAGAGGGTGGGATTTTGTCAAAGAGAAAATAAATGACTTTTATTGCCGGGCCCCCTGCTGCTCCACACCGAATTTATTTCTCGGACAGATCCCAGGCAGAATAGTAAGCTAGTCAAGCCATGGACATCTGTTGCACTTAAAATATTGTGAAGGTTAAGGATTGGCTGTGCATGAGACTATTGGAAGTGATTCCCGTTCTGATTGCTTCCCCAACTGGATCTACCGGTTCCAACTTCAGGTGGGGTGGAGTTTTCTGATCATAAAATTGCGGTGGGCATTATTCAATTCCTGTTGTGCCTACTTCCACAAGAGGTAATTGCTTGAGTAAGCAGCCAGGGTGGTAACCCGAGCATCCAATATCTCTCCGGAAGGCTAGCTTGTGTACGTGGTCTGCACATCCTCTGCTTTGTAATGTAAACTATCATAAAAATTTGTTAATGACTCCCCGGGCCCCTGTCAAAGCCTACTGATCTACAGATTTCCTGCAAAAGACTGTACCTTCTCTATTAAAAGGTGATACATCTAGATTATTAGCCCAGTTTCTAAGAGTAACTCTTCTGAAACCTCAACAGGGGGAAGGTCAGAATTGGCACAACCTTAAGTTTTGAAGCCAGCTCTTAACCTCCCTCTCTGGACTCGGGCGTCTCTCCGAATCCTCACTGTCAAAATGGGCGTGCTTCTTCGTAGCCTTATAATGACAAAATTTCACTTTCGCCGAATCACATAGCAGCATCCACTTCGATCATATGTCCGCTACAAAAGCTGATCAGCCTCAGGATACATATGACTCAGCAGCTTCCAGGACCCACATCGTAGGATTCAGGAAATGAAATGCCTTTCCCGAAATCTAAGGAGGAGAGAAGGAGAGTATCCAATTTTTCGAGCTAAGAGTTCACTCAGCTCGTTGTCTTGAGACATTACAGCGAGTGCCGCTTAGAAGTGACTTTATTTGATAAAGCAACTGCCACTGGCGATGCAAGATATTAGTTAAATTGGAATTCGGAGATGTTTCAACACGATAGAAATTAGTGATCACTTGAAGTTTTATCGCTCCGTAGACATTGATCTTTCTGTCTGTAGTTTCAATAGTCCGGCCTGCGTTGAGAAATTCCATATAAGAATATGCCAGTTCCAATAAGAAGCCCAAGTTTCAATTTGCTAATTCCGACAAAGCTCGAATCGAAGGAATCAGTTAACCATTCTAATGAGTATGTATGTTAAAAAAAGCCTGTGGCAAATTTGTTTCCTCTTCGGCCAAGAAGCTACTTTGTCTAATATCGAAGCATATTTCTCGTGGATGTCTTCTAGATGAATAATAAGAACCCAACTAGAGTTTCTCCTGGGTGCGTCAGGTATGCTTGCAATCGTCCAAATGCTATGTATATTGCTAGTAACTGCCAAAGACCCTCAGCTTTTTATGTCTGGAATGACACTGAGATGTGAGAGAATGTTCATAGCACTATGCGCTTGTTCATTCGTCGTTAACGCAGCTATCACCTGAAGCCTTCTAATGCCCACATGTTCTGAGAGCAAATGTTTTCCCACAGGAAACTCGATGGCTTTTTTCTGAAAGTTTTGTTAAATGAGCTATTGGATCTGACACCGAAGCGCATTGAAATGAATGGGTACTGCAAGTCTATAAGCACACAAAAGTATCTGAGAGTAGAGACTGAAAGCGAAGTCATCTCAAGACATCGAGCAGAGATCACACCACTGTTCTGCCCACATTACATAACCGTCAATGAGTTATTTTCATACTTCTCCATCTTTCGAAAAGTTCCAAAATTTCTCCCTCGCCACTCCAGCTGCCACGTCTTCACATCTGAAACAAATTGTTAATAAAAAAATCCATTTCGGGCTAGAAACCATCTAGGTAAGATTTCTACCCTGGCATGGAAGAACTGAACAGAGACATAGCTGATCAAGTAACCAATGAGATTCTCAATGGTTGAAAACCAGGGAGACCAAGCTTCTTTCCGACAAAAGCCACAATATGACAAGCGATTCAAAGCTTTTTAACACAGGAAAGAGGAGGCTGTTCCGTCAGTCATATATGTACCTTCAATGAGCACGAGTGCAATGGAACTGACCGGTCCTGTTCAACTGAGTTGGTCAAGACATGCCATGCCATGATGGCTACACTTCAGCCCTCGAACGTTTACTTTATATTTTGAATCAAGCAAACAGTGTTTTCCAGCTGCAGGGGCGAAGTAGACGCCCTTGTATCCGTCAGCCGCATCATAGTACACAGGAATATTGATGCCTTCAAGCAGTCTATAGAATATGCCAGGAGAAATCCTTGGTAGCTGAAGCCGATCTGCAGCTTACACCAGGCGCTCTGGATTTGTTTACAGTAGCTTCACTGCGAGCCTGCCAAACTTTGTTTCAGCATTTGCCACCTCTGTATCACTTATTTTAACAGGAACCCTGAATTCCACTCATATCATAGCTTCATATGAGTGCAAATGAAAGACGAGTTATTTTCCGTACTGGCTCAAAAGTTAGTCCATTTTCAGAGGAGTCGATAAAAATGAGAAAACATTTCTCTCGATATAGTTGAGAAAGACAGATCCATTTAAATACCTCTCGTAGCTGGTACGTACAGAAAAACTTGCGGTGACTGAAGCTCTCCAAGTCGCATAATCTTGAGGTGAAATCACCGCTTTCTTAGGTTATGTTCACACTCGGATTCTTCATATGTGTCTGAGTTTCATATCGGAGATGAAAATGTCAATGGACTCGATTTGGTGTTTTATATATCTGGATCTTTTTAATGACTATTTTGTATTCATCTAGTTGACGATCGTGTTTAAATTGCATTGTTGGTTATGGACCTTAGAAGAAGGTCATACCTACATGCATATCTCGTCTCAACTCACAATCTTCTCACATAATATGCAACATCATATGTACCCACATACACAGCATGTAGCAAGTCTCCTTATTTTCTGCATGCAGATTGCCCAGGATGATAACTGCCTTCTAAGAGTCATTCCCGCTGCCGCTACTGAGAAAGTCTTACCTGAGTTCATTCTCACCTCAGAGCCTTTCGATTAAAGATTCTGAGAGTAAATTATGACGTACCAGCTTGCAAGAGCCATCTGATGCATATCTTCGCACTGACCTACCTAGCGTCCAAAGTTAGTGGGTGAGAATTAGCGATAATTAGCTGAGACGAGCTTAACCTCCGACCTGGGCACTCTAAATGGTGCTCGGGGAGCTCACTTGTAAGTCGGCCGCCAGTTCTCGTAACCTGCATCTTCTTCCGAACAGGTACCCGATGGCTGAATCGTTATATTCGTTCAGTTGCTGCTCCCAAGAGTATGTCTGTGGTTTCACCACGTGCATGTGGGTGGAATAGAATGCTACATGTGGAAGAGTTTTGGTTCTACCCACCAAACTCGGGACAGTTACGATTCTCCTCTTACAGCAAGCAAGTATATTCCGATGGTAATGAAGAAACGTCAAATGTACGTGGACCCCTGTGAGCGACAAGTTGTAGGTGCAATAGTTTGCGAGGGGCCCTGATGATCTTGGCCAGAGGAACTTCAAAATTGCAAACTGAAGGAGCTTACAGACCCTAAAGGAACTTGTTTGAGAAATTTCTCGTATGCGCTGGGTTGTTTGTTGATATCTCTGAAAAATCATGAGGTAACCATAACAGATAAATTACTTCGAACCGCATCAGAAATGTGATCAAGGCTTGCAGAATCCAGAGATTCTGATTCAAACCTTGCACCCACGACTTGATGCGTCCACCACCACCCGCGTCCCGGAACAAACCTCAAAATCGTGTGAAGGTAAGCAGCTTGAGAGATTGTGTCTATTGTACCCGAGAAAATCAAGCAACAAGATGAATGACTCGTCCCGCCGAGAAAAATCACTTGTATCTAGAAGTGAATACTTTTGTTGTCTGATGTGCATGACTCTTGTCTAATATGGGAATTTATGAAAATATTCTTTTGAAGGTGATTTTACTCATATTAAATTTAAATTTCTTTATGAACAAAGATAATGAGCGTGATGAGTTTACCAATTCAAGAATAAAATAAAGAAGTACCAAGACGGAGAAGCCGTCACGGAGAAACATGTGATCATGTAAAAATGAAAAGGAAAAAACGAAAAGAAGTTCGTCATGCGCAGCATCAAAACCACGAGTTGTCCTCACTCACAAACTGTTTTCTCCGGAGACCCTGAAGAGTCAGAAACGCCATCACGTTGACATCAGTCGCACACTTTCTTCGAGACCAGGCCCTTCTTGAAGACGGCGAGCCCACTGCGCCAAAATGTTGTCAGCGTGGTGTGAATACACAAGAAGCCGACCGAGTCTGCTTTAGTACACCCACCACGGCCTGAACTTCTTTTATTCAAATCGCAACGTTGTGCGTGCAGCGCTCAGGTTCAAATGACGGGCATTCCATACTACATTTGGCACATGGTACGATAGGCCAACCTCTCTTAATTTGACCTCTCTTGGTGGCAAAGTGTCTGTAATTACAATTCTTTCATAGTGCCTTCATCACGAAAAAGTTATTATAACTCAAATTGACCAAGTAAGAGTATATTATCATCCCCTTCATTATAGATCAGACATTTTATCAAAACAACCACTTGAACGTATTATTCGCAACATAAAGGCATCAGAATTTTTCTGCTCTTAGCAGATCGCCGTCAATTAAGTCAAACTCCTATGTCTGCAGAGTCATAAAATGATTACAGTGAAGATTCGTCTCTGTGCTTTTCTTTTCTTTATTCCGCGACGCGAATTTAAAAACGTAAAGAATGAACTAAATTAAGTTGCAGAATGGTCGGAAGCTTAATTTGGAGCGGCGCTGAAATAATAAGAACTGCATTTGACACTCTCCGTGCTCTGATCACGATATTGTAGTCCATATCTTAAACGTCTTATTATTTCCGTAATGTGTCGTCTAGCTTCGGTGATGGAGCAATAAATTCCTTCGATTGTTGATATTTGGAAATCAGAGAGGAAGGCATTCATAATGAAGTAGGGATTGCTCGCTCCATTTAGGATGCTCCTCCGTTGGCCTCGTCTCATCTTCGAGCCCCAATAAATTCTGTGCGCAGAATTTTTTTCTCTTTCGTCGAGGAATCAAAATCTGGACGATCTTCAGTCTCAGAACTTGATGTTGGTACGGAGCCGCATAGCAAATCGAAGATTTTTCGAACTTTTTACTGGAATTGTGTTCGGCTACTGGGAAGATGATCGAGCACTCGGAGGAAGAACGTTCTGATCGGGACCACAGAACGATGCAAATTCTCCGAAAATCTGGAAGTCTCGAGAGATTTTGAATTATGACGAATCATCAGGAGATTGAGAATTTCCATGCGATAAGTGAATAAAAATTTGTGCACCTGCTCGAGCACAGCTAGTCTCTTCCCGTATGTGCGGCTTCGAGATTCGTTGCTGCTGGAAATAATGAGATCGAATGCATATCTGACGCCATAGTCTCCTGGAAGACGACGGTACGTGGCCCATCCTCCGACTCGAGCTTCTCCGGCGACGGCTCCCGCGCAGCTCGAATTGATGATAAGCCCGAGCAGAACGGCGGTCTCACTGCAGGCAACGCACTCAGACAGAAGCCCCAGCGATTCCAGATGTTCTTCCTCTGCGCAGGCGGCGTAGAGTCCCACTGCTGCTGTGCCCGTCGTGTGCTTGGTGGTGCAGTGCAGCACCGAGTCCCAAAAATTAGCTTGACAGCAGGAGATCTCTCTAATAATTAAGAGCGTCCTGCACATCCGTGGCATTCGTACTCCTCTCTAAGACCTTACAGTGGATCTGGTTTTCCGTTGCAGCACCGAAGCTCGTCTTATACAGCGACACAATCATGCCCATTATAGTTTCTCTCGGACAACCTCGTGAAGGTACCATGGCTCATAAATTCTCTTGGTGTTGAGTATGAATTATCACAATTGCCTGTAATGGAAACAGTTCGTGGCCTGAGTTTTCATGTTGTTGGATGGAAAATGAGTGTTTTATCCTGATCATTCATTTTCACCTTCAGGTCGACAGATGCTAAAAACTCATGGAAGCAGTAGAGAGCTCAGGGCGATTGTGTTGATGCTGAAAGGAATAAGAAAGAAGACGGCATCAAAGGAACATTCAGAGCCGTACCTGTCTCAGAGTGGACTTCAAGTCACAATACAGTACCAGAAGGAAGGATTTGGCTTCCAAATGGAGACTGCGTGTCGACCAGATGTTTCGCTGAATCCAGGGAGAAGATCGATGAAAGTCAGGGATAGGACAGCATGGCAGCAGAAGCCTTGTCTGTGGCTTAGTTAGCCTGCTAGCTGGCAAACCAAGAGAGAAACAGTAAGAACCAAGAGTTTCTTTGTTCCACTGGTTCAGGGATGTACTTTTCAATTGAACCTGCGACTGCAGCAGCAGCAGCAGCAGCACGGTGCTCATCTCGATCGATGCCGATGATCCTTGGCATGCACGCTACAGGATCGCACCAGAAAAACATGAAAACAGAACGGGCTTGGGATCCGTACTTTCCCTGGCTTCCGTGAGTGCATGTTCCAAAGCATTCACCTGTAGCGGGATGCCTTGCCACACTTATGGCTCATTCAAGATTCCAACTGTCTTGGAAGTCAGAGCTTCATGATACCTCTGATTGTAGTCACATCCACTACCTGCAGCTGAGCTTCATACTATCTTCTGTCGAAAAGCTTCATAACTTTCCCGTCTTCTATGACCCCATGTCCGATGGTGCGTCCGGATTGATCCGGAGCTGACATGCTCAGTACCAGGCTGTTTTCATTTGCGGAGAACTTATGGCTGATAATTACCAGGAGACATTTCATGTATAGCTGTGACATAAATTGCTGATCATCGGAGATCACATTGCTCGCTCACAAGTCGATTCTCTGTCTCCACAAATAAATACAAACTTCCAGGAACCTCAAGAGAAGTGCACTTCCTTCGTTGGACTTTCCCCTATATACCGGCTGATGAGTTACAGCTGGTCCTGGTGAAAATCGTTCTCGTTCATTGATGAACTCTTTGCGAGTGTGCGGAAGTTTTGTGCTTCCAAGCACTAATTGGTACCTGAATGTGTCACTCACCTTGTCGATCGGAGAAACTTGCCTGGAGACCTTGTATCTTTGGTGGATGTTTGCTGTCATGGTTCTATTTATGAGCTGAATCTGAGACCTCTGACATTCCAGTAGGGACATGCCCGCATGGTTGTGCATCTAAAAATTAGACAGCCTCAGTTCTTGGCCTGACGTTTGACATTCATGCGAGAGCTTTACCGATTTCAACTGCGGAAACGCGAGTGTCCACATTCCATCTCCTTCAGCTCGACAAAGATGTAGAAGAACACGTTCAGATTCGCCGAGTCTCATAGGACGGGTCATGCCTCGGAGGTTCGGACTACATAGCCCAATAAACTATCCACTTATTTCTCGTATATTCCTTTCTTCGGCAACTTCAAGGACCCACTTCTTATATTCTCATGGATCTCGATGCTTACAGCGGTGTTGGAACTTAAGCTAGAGCCCTTGAATAACATGTCATGCCGTGATGCAACGATATATTCTGAATTTCTCAATATTTCAGAGATGATGATTAGTCTTCAAGCCTTAGCTCCGAATCTGCATGATCTCCCTCTAATTTACGTAGGCGAACGTGTGCAGATCAACTGGAGAGAGAGTTCACAGTCTAGTGGCAGTCAAGGCTCAGTCGTCTTCGACCAAAGCCCACAAAAGGACACACGTAGATCAGTTTCATTTACTAAAATTTGGTTTGGAAGGAAAGAGACCTGAGGGACAGCAGTTTTTTGAGAATCGGATGACATATTCTGCTCTTCATCTTGACGAATAGAGCTACTATTGTAGGATAACTTCAGGAAAGAGTACATGATTTTCTGATAGAGCCATGTAACATCTTCTATTATGAGTGAAGATCAGTCTCATCATAAGACATTAGCAAACTGTGCATATGGCAATTCATGCAAAGTGGAAAGTACCTCCCCTCGGGCCAGAGTGAGTTTACTTCAAGCTTTCCTATACTTTCCATCTGCTTGTACAAACGTGTTTGAAAGTCCGCACATTAAAAGCCATGCTGCTCATTCTTTACCGGATTTAGCCATCATTGATGCCGACCCAAACCGTGTCAAACTAGAATCATCCATTTTATTGAGCCACTGTAACAAATAAACAACCTTTGCAATAACGAGTGCAAGATCCTGATTCGTGTGCATGATCTTCACATCGGAACCAGTTTCTAATCTGCGTTCTGAACGGCTCTGTGTGCAGCATGGATATCATAAAGTACGAGGTGTGGGTCCTTGAACCTATTATCACCCCACAGGAGATTCTGTGACAGTTGTGTTCTAAAGATATGTGAAGATGAAAGAGGTTTGCGTTTGAGATTCGGCGAAACTTGAATTGCATCCTGTGAAGGTGTCCGGAGTCGCGCACTTCTGCCCAGACCTTCGACGTTCGGTGAAAGTCAACCTTTTCCACCAGGAAGTCCCGGCCTGCCAATTCTACAGTTCTGGAACATTACGAAGCCCCATTTCATACGAGATTTCCTCCTCTTATAATTTTGGAGTTAGTATAATCGGCCAATGAATCAATGCACTCCCTGGAATTTCATCATTTTACTGGATATCTGATTAAAGTATAGTTGACTTGTAATAAATAAAAAAAGGATTTAAAAAGCTAGATTTCTTTCTGCTTCAAGAGCTTTAGGACATAAAAGGTTTCGATTTCATTCTGCTTCGAGTACCCTCAGAAGCTTAAACTTGAGATATAGTAGCACCTTCATGCTCAAGAATTGAACAAATTTTTTTGAATATTGAGCAGGTATTACGAGCTGCATCGTACATGGATTCTGAGCTTCACCACAAAAAGCCAGTGGAGAGTTCTGGGTGTGAAAACATGAAGGAGCTGAAGATAGCCAGATAATATTTATAGACAAAAGTTTCCAGTTTTGACATGTACTCCTGACATCAAATCACCTTCCGAAGAACAATCCTGCATCCCAAAAGCAGAAAAATTTAATGCTGTACAAGAAGCACAACCGATTTCCATAGCCTCACAAATCTGGACTCAGCTGCCCCTCGAGAATTACGATCTCTAAATGAAGCAAAAAAATGTTAGCTTTTCACTTTAAATTTGTTCCCACCACTCCATCTCCACCTGTAAGAGCTAATACGCGAAGAGGGACAGATGTGAGAACTGTTAGTTTATTCGACCAACTGTAGATTTTCGTAGCATCCTTTACGATGCACGAGCCGTGAAGTCGCAGACGTGGGATTCGTACAATTAAGTGTACTGTGAGAGATACAGTGCCATATATCTTTGCCTCGCGACTGGCAATCCATGCACGCCCTGAGCTATAAAAGCTGCTGAGCTTTGTTCTCTTATCACCATCTCAGGTCCAGGTCCAAGAGCGAACACAGCTCTCCAAGAGTCACAGCTTCCGGAGGTAGTGTAGTGTCCATCCTTCGGTGTTTCAATTAAAATTCGATGACATATCTTGACATAGAGTCACAACTTTGAGGTTCAAAGCTCCACCAGGAACTCATCCTGCTCAAGAGGATCCTCCAAAATAGGTACGTTCTCCATAATGCAGTTGCTCTTAGCTGATGCTAGTCTCAAATCACCATCATTGCCCAGTCCGAGGCAATTTTCATGGAATGAAAATATGGCGAATTTCACGACATCAAATCGTTTTCAGGATGAGCTTTCATGCCCAGTCAAATCATGATCAGGAAACCTCCTCTTTGAATGACTTCGAGAAGATTATACTTCATTCGTTCTTCTACTTATATTTTTGATATATTGAGTTGGCTAAACTTGTGTCATCATTGCCGGTCTGAAATGCAGAACATACTTGACATACACATTCTTAAGCAGCGCTCTTGCATCGATTCTGTAAGTAGCAGATCCTGAAATGGCCCTCGCTCCTGGACCTGCTCCAGTCAATCCAGTACCTCTGGCTTACCAAACCACTGGCGATGGTTCTGCAGTTCCTGATTGGCTCAACAAAGGGGACAATGCTTGGCAGCTGACGGCGTCCACCCTCGTAGGCTTGCAATGTATTCCGGGGCTGATGATTCTGTACGGGAGTATAGTGAAGAAGAAATGGGCCATCAATTCGGCGTTCATGTCCCTCTACGCATTCGCAGCAGTGCTCATCTGCTGGGTGTCATGGGCCTTTAGAATGTCCTTCGGAGAGGAGCTCATCCCTCTGTGGGGAAAAGCCGGACCTGCTCTGGACCAGAAATTCCTGCTGAAACAAGCTTATCTCCCGGCCACTGGAACGGATTTTTTTCCTCCGCTCGCCCCCATGTACCCCATGGCGACTCTGGTTTACTTCCAGTTCGTGTTTGCAGCCATCACTCTGGTCTTGATTGCAGGCTCTTTGTTGGGTCGGATGAACTTTCTTGCGTGGATGCTATTCGTTCCCCTCTGGCTCACCTGCTCCTACACCGTCGGGGCCTTCAGCCTTTGGGGTGGTGGATTTCTCTTCCAGTGGGGCGTGATAGATTATGCTGGTGGCTATGTTATCCACGTCTCATCTGGAGTGGCCGGTTATGTCGCTGCGTATTGGGTACACACTAAACCTCATGCCTCTCGCAGGATGTCTCTGAGAATCTAATTGAATCCAATGCAAGCATTTTCTTCCAGCTCGTTTTGGGAGCGAGTCCCATTCATGAGCCGGCACAACGTCGTGAGAGCACGTTTTCGTTGTCCAGCGAATCTTTTGCATGCTTCTGGTCCGACATGAAGGTCTGAAATCTGAAGCTTTGTCTCAGCACGTGAGTGAGCTGAGTACTCGATGAAGATCTCAGTTCAAGAGCGCCTTTAATATTTAAAGATGATCATAGGCAGAAGTTCATAACATTGCATAGCTTTTTGATAAAATCCAATTCATCGAGAATACCATTCAAGTCATTGACGTGGACTTTGTGCATTTTCCAGGTAGGTCCTAGACTCGATAGGGACCGCCATAGCTTCCCTCCGAACAATGTGCTGCTGAGTTTAGCAGGAGCAGGCCTATTGTGGCTGGGCTGGAACGGGTTCAACGGAGGAGCACCTTATGCTGCAAATGTAATCTCTTCGATGGCGGTGCTCAACACCAACATCTGTGCCGCAACCAGCTTGCTCGTCTGGACCAGCATTGATGTCATTGTTTTCAAAAAGCCCTCAGTGATCGGTGCCGTTCAGGGTATGATCACCGGTTTGGTCGTCATCACTCCGTCTGCTGGTGAGTACAGATCCAATCGACCAGGACAATAATGTTGTTTTACATAAACCCCACACAAGCCCACGACTGTAACGATGTGCTTGCTTGGACTCATAATGCATTTTCTCTGATCATGCAGCTTCCAGCTATATGTTAGAATATCTAACCTTGTTCAAAACAAATGATAATAATGATGGAACGATGCAAAGTCAAGTGTTAGACATCAATTCAGATGGTGAAAAAAGCATGACCAGCAGAAGCTCTTTAAACTCTTAGAGGATGTGTACGTGGAGTGGACAGTATGGTTTTATAGGCACCTGAGAAATTGGCACAATTCGTTTGTTAATTAGCTTTCTGAGCTGCTACGGAAATTAGAGGGATACGTTGATTTACTTACAGTTGGGGCAACTCGGTAGCTATATCGTGACGATCTGATTATGCTAATCTGGTTGGATGATGTAACTCTGTGATTACTGGCTCCTCACTGTAGGTTTGGTTCAGGGCTGGGCTGCCATGATAATGGGAGTGTTCGCTGGCAGCGTGCCATGGTACAGCATGATGATTCTGGGCAAGAAGAAGATGTTCAACATCGTCGATGACACTTTGGGCGTGTTCCATACCCACGCCGTTGCGGGAACGATGGGAGGCTGTCTGGCTGCTTTCTTCGCTCATCCAACTCTCTGCAATCTGTTTTTG